GCGCCTTAGACGTCTGGGCCACCCGTGCCCCCTCAATTCATTCAAGAAAACGTTACTTGAATATGGTATATACGAATTTAAAGAAGTGAAAGAACACCAAATTATTTTATATTACTTGAAATTGTTAATCTGCCAAGCCATGACAGATTAACAATAGTATTTTAAAAGAATTGGGTGTTTAACTTTTTTGGAGAAGTATATAATTGTTAGCCATTAACACAAATATGTAAAGTATGTTATATGCAACACTTCTATGTTGTCAGCATTGGAACACATGTAGTAGAATGAGTTCAACACAAGAAGTTCACTCAGGGAAATAACTGAAAAACTCTGCTGAGCGAAAAAAGTTAATTAAAATTGTGTTCTCTCCTCATTAACTGAAATTTCATTTTATATTTCTGCAATTCTTAATTTGTGAGATCCTTCCGTATTCACCTGTATAATTTACAAATTTGAATAATATTTACAAAATTTATCTATTTTTACATTGCTTTGCAACTACTGTATCACTAAAAATCATTATATCTTCCAAAACTAAACAAATCAAGTACAGAATGCCCACACGTGTTTGCTTATAAAGTTTATGATCTAATATGAATTTATTTATTCAAAGAACAGAAATTTAAATTCAACAGGAACTCTACTTCCAAATCTGACAAAGTAAATTGTGTTTTTTGTGCATTGATGTTTGGACATTTTGTCTCAAGATTTGAAGTAATTTTGTCAAAAGCAATGGTATAAAAAATGTAAAACAAAAACTGGTCAGCCTTGATATAAATTTCATAAACCTGCTGTGTGTATTCACAGTAACAGTACGTTGAACACAACTCGAGCACTGCACGGGATAGTTTCATAAAAGAGAAAAACATTTTTTACTGAGGAAAATTACTTTTGAGTATATTGGTTTCAGAATGGCTTCTTTTCAGACTGAAACATTGTGATACAGTAGGCATAATTTGAATCCTGATTTTGGTCAGAGAACCAAGATATTTGTTCCAAAATAGCCAACATGATGCACCTTGTTATTAGGTATGGAGGGATGAAATAAAATAAATTATCTGCACCACTCATGAAAATATCAAGTTTTGTCAGGTCACTTGATGTAACAACATAGTGTCTGACAAGAAAAGCCAAACATCTTTTATTTACCAGCACAAGAACACTAAATGGCGATACCTCCAAGTCATCACCAATACAAGATCACTGAAACAGAGAAGCACCACCGCTAACTTCATGGCCACTCTGCCCCGTGAGGAGGAGGAGAGACCTATTCGCAATCACTGTACACACAGGTCAAGAATTGCATTGAGTATATATATAAGAAGTCATTATTACAAATGATTCCATGAAAAGCTTGGTCGTTTTCGACTTTCTCATCAATCTTGTGCTAAAATTCATGTTTAAGGAATGTTACGACAATCTCAGCTGGTAACCATTTCCTGTTAATCCCTGACTACACCTCACTGAAATCATAATTATGCTGTTTTCTGCACACAAAAAACCCATCTGTAATATACACAAGAAACTATGGACTGTCTTGTACATTTTCGCTTAAAATTACTTTCAGATTGTTCCGGGAGTTGGTCGACCTGGACAGAAAATAGCCTCTAAACTTGTAGTACAAACTCTCTCTAATGGCGGCCATAGTGACTTTGAAGTTTCAGTGTCGTCAGAACAGAACCACTTCTGGTTTTAATGAGTGAGTAAGTATGGTTTTACGCCGCTTTTAGCAATATTCCAGCAATATCACGGCTGGGGACACCAGAAATGGGCTTCACACATTGTACCCATGTCGGGAATCGAACCCGGGTCTTCGGCGTGACGAGCGAACGCTTTAACCACTAGGCTACCCGACCGCCCGGTTTTAATGAAGTTCAGTTAAACATCTGCCATAGTCAGTACTTCACAGGCTTTACCACGTACACGATGTCCATCCATCCCGTGGTGTGGCCGCTATATGGTGGAGAGGTGGTGTGTGTTCATATTTAATCAGCTAATGTGTGTGTGTGAGTTGGGTTTAACACCGCTTTTAACATTATTCCAGTTATATCACGGCGTGTCAGCTTAATGTGGGAGGAAAGCCCGAAGTGATGCAGGTCTCAGACGTTTACCACTTCGGTGAAACCCACGAGCACGGGTATGGTGCTGACAAACCTAGAAACATAATTGGGGCAAACCGGGATTCGAACCCACAATCCTAGGTTTCTGGCGTGTCCAGGGGACGCAACTCTGCACAGCGAATCGCGGCGCCTTAGACGACTGGGCCACCCGTGCCCCCTAATCAGCTGATGAAATGAATCTGTGTATTAACCATGGAAAACTATAAGCCTTCTCAGTGCGTGAACATTTTGCAAAGTTGGTTGGTTTGTTGTTAAACGCCGCACTCAGCAATATTCCAGCTATATGATGGCAGTCTGTAAATAATCCAGTCTGGACCAGAAAATCCAGTGATTGATATCATGAGCATCAACCCGCGCAATTGGGATCGATGACATGTACATGTTATACAAGAGATATTGCTGTTTATGTCATGTAATCTGACTGCTCTTTGGTCTGAGCGCTCCCCGGTTTCCCTCTCTCTCAAACCAGGCCGTGTCTTGACTTGTTTACAAACAGCGACGACTCTGCAAATCGGTGACATGTATTCACGTTGATGGAGGCATGAAATGGGTACAGACCTGTGAAGTATTGACAATGTTAACCCTGTCTTACCGTACTCCAGAAACAGCCGGGTTGAGATCTCTCCAACCTAATGCAGTTGTCGGGAATGTTCGAGTCTCACCACAACACAATGTGAGAATGTAAAGCCACCTTATAGCAGTGTTCGAAATACCTGCCTGCCCAACCGTCCGAGACGGGTTGATTTCAACTCGGGCTGCCAGATTTTCAAATCCCCCTGCCCGACGGTCGGGTTATATTTCATATGTGACAATATTCTAAATATTTCCCGATGATAATCATTAATTCACATGTAAAGATGAATGATGAAATGTAACCAAAAAGAAACCCCGTTAGCTTACCCTGAGAAACATATGATTATAGTGGGCAGGCAGGTTTTGGTCAGGGCGGGCAAGTATTTCAGCTAGCCAGTCCTGTGGTCTGGCTGAAATTTTTGGGAGTTTCATACCCTGCTTATAGACGAAACTACAGATTAGCTGACCTCAGTCTGACTTATAACTGCTGACAAAGATTCTGGAGAAGATGTAAAAGTAACACACAAAATTATAACCCAGTATGGACACAGGTAGAAGAAAAATCCTGTGAACAGGACATGCCAGTCTGTACAAGTTTGCAGGAGCAAATATAAGACATGCTAAGACTATACAAAGTTAATGCTAAGGCTAAATAAATAATAGTCTTGGTTCCCAGGCGCTGTCTGCATCATCACAAAGTCCGCTGTATGTTTCGTTTTTATTTCCATTCCCTTCTTTAAATCTTTAAGCATTCCATGTCTCACACAACCCCAGCAGCAGTGAAACGCCACAATACTCAAAAACTTAAGAACATAATTTTGCAGAAATTATTGTGAACAAAATTTGGTTACGTACTAGCTTGAACCCCCCCGCTCCCACACACACAATAAACACCACCCGCCTGCACTTTATTTTCAAAAGCCACTGTATGAGAACCAATTCTTATATTTATTTAAGCCTTAAGTTCAAGCAGCTTGTGAAACATGATATACCACTCAACATTTGATAGGGATATTCTGAGTGAGTGAGTGAGTGAGCGAGTATGGTTTTATGCCGCTTTTAGCAATATTCCATGGCTGGGGTCACCAGAAATGGGCTTCACACATTGTACCTATGTCGGGAATCAAACCTAGGTCTTCGGAGTGACGAGAGAATGTTTAACCACCAGGTTACCCGACTGGGACATGTTCAGCATCAATTAAAGTTACTAAAAGTAAATACACAACTCAAGTGCACCAGAAGTTGTTTTCTAGTTACGTAACAGCGTGAGTAACTCGGGTTTAACGCCACTTTTAACAGTATTCCAGTTTTATCACGGTGTGTCAGCTTAATGTGGGAGGAAAGCCCAATGTGATGCAGGTCTCAGACGTTTACCACTTTCGGTGAAACCCATGAGCACGGGTATGGTGCTGACAAACCTAGAAACATAATCGGGGCAAACCGGGTAACAACAGTATGACGGCCGAGTATCCCTCTTAAATGTTGAGTGGTAAAGTAACTCTCTGGAGTAACATCTGACCTTCAAGTAGTAGCAATCATGTGTTAGAAAGGTCATCCTCAATAATCCTGGGTATTATATTTTCGTTATTATGATAAATACTCTCCACCCATTTGCCTTCCACGTTTGTTTCAAAAGTGATGTCACATCTCTAACCAATAACTTCCAACAGAACATTGATTGCATGTTGGAGTATTGGGTTTGACAGGCTGTTTATAGCATTGTGTCATTCAATAGATTTCAGTATGAAGCTATGGTGGCAATGAAATGATTTGTTTACCAATAGTAATACTGCATGTGATTGGTTGACCAAGCACTGTATTTCGCGTTGTTTCAATAACCAAGAAATAAATTAGGCCACACTAACAGACTACCGTTTCCAGATTGACTGATAACAGAATGGGCGAGGCTTTGCACTTTATTGTGTGTTGAATTATTGCCCTGAACGATGTCACCGATTTCGTTCTGTTGTCTACATTTTTTTGTGTGTTAATGATTAAATAAGCAGTCTGTGAAGTGATCGTAGTTGGTATATTTATATAGGAGTACTGACTAATAGTGTTGCATTTATGTAGTAATTAACAAAGCAAATGGTGTGCAAACTTTGCATAAATCCGCTATGTAGATGTACCGTATTTCCTCTATTAGACGCCCGGGCTTCTATTTATTTCGGACAAGCCTTTGACCCGGCGTCAATTAGAGGCCCGGCTTCTATTAATACCCCCATTTCACTATGACCATGAATGTCCCGAATCGTCACGAAATGGAAGAGAAAGGGAGTCCTCATTATGTAATTTAGGTCCCAAAAAGGGATCATTAATTGTATCAATTGATCGACCCGGCGTCTATTAGAGGCTCGGCTTCTATTTTTTGCACTGAACAATTGACCCGGAGTCTATTAGAGGAAATACGGTATACATTATGCGCACCAGTGTTTACAGGTATCCTTCAATAAACACATAAAATATTGAAGTCAGTTCTAAATAATAGATGGATAACTGAGGACGAAGGAAGCGGAACTGAAGCAGCATCACCGAGCTTAACCACTACACTTGTGGGATGACATTAAGAATTGATGAAATGAAAGCATTATCAAAGACAAAAGTAGCTGGGATCAGTGAAGTAAATTTATTGAAAATGAAAATTTATAACAAATGTATGGCTTCACAGACTGCTGTGTGCACAACAAACCACTTGTCGTGACAAAGGCAGTGTGATGCCGTTTAATAAATACTGGGGTACGAGAGAAAGTCAAGTCTAGATTTTTCACCACAACAAGGTAGAATTTGAATTTATAACTTAAACTTATAAAATGATTCTTTTTATAAGAAAACCTGTTTTCTTCTCAAGTAAACACCAGTGCACTTTTTATCTTCAAAGAAAATGAGATTTTTTGGCTTTGCCCTCTTGTTAATAAATCCCCATATCATTGATACATGACTGATATATAGGAACATGAACATTTACTTTTGCCTCTGAGTATGTGTTATTTATCTGTCTGTCCAATTTACTGAGAAATACCTGTAGGGAATGATAAACTCCCACCAGAACAAAAAAGTATACTTGATCCAATATTTCCATAAATAAAATAAATAACCAGTTTTACTTGCAACGCCGGAGGTGTTCTCTGCATCACAAACACACATGCCACAAGGAACAGGTGCCCCTTCGGAACACTCGCTGCTTCTACTGACAGACATCAGTCGTAACTATCTGGCACATTCATATAATTTAGGTCACATGTACAAAATTGTTTCAACCAAACTTGGTCCACACATGACAGTCACACTATGACCATATATATGTCAACAGATGCAACCATGACCTGTATAGTCAGTGTGTGATATTGTGACCATATATGGCCAATTAATATCATCATGATAACATCCGGTCAACATGAGCCATTATGGATATTTTCTTTCATGACCAAATATGGACAAGATATATCCACCATAACCATATATGGTCAAGATATATCCACCATAACCATATATAGTCAACCTATTGCCATGACGACCAAGTACTGATAGAACAAACAATGGAAACAAGACCTAGAGAAAAATTAAAATAGCCAAGTCTAGATTGCCTTAGGCCTGAAATTAAGGATCCATTTGGATTTTATCTTATATTTTGTAGAAATAGATTTTTTAAACAAGAGAACTATTTCTGGGTCTAAATGTCAGTCCAACTCCCAGTACTGTTTTGGTAATGTGGTAACATTCCTAAATAACATCTCTCCGCCTTATTTTGACATAAGTGTTCGTACAGAATAAAAGCAAGCTTTCTTTCATGTTCCTTTATTTTCTTCCATCAGTATATATGACAAAAATGTTCATCATTGCCATATAAGGTCAGAACATGCCATGATCACCATATATGGTCACTGTGACCATATATGGCCAGGCTGTACATCCCGGTCATATATGGTCAACAAGACTTGTCATGGTATACAAGCAATGAATGCCATCCAGTTGAGACAAGCAATACTCCCACAGTGACATAAGTCTCACATCAACATATGGCAAGCAATATATTTATCCAATACCAACAGACTGTTTCATGACCAAATATGGCAGCACCACAGAGGGGGCCATAGTTAAAAGTTATGTAACCATAGCAACAACATCCAGCTTTGTACATGCAGATTTCTTTAGTTTTGGCACCATCCTTCCCTGATAGACTCGCATTAATAATGATGGCTGTTGGAACAAGAACCACCACGTTCCCAAGTATACTACTCAAACCAAGTTAAGGACCATCGCTTCTTTCCAATTGCTATAGCGTCATGTCAGATTAGCTACAGTAATATGAAGGAATTGGGTGATCCTTAACATTTGTGAGTAGTATAGGAGTATACACAAAAGACCCTACATGTACCTGGGCATAGCAGGGTATCCAAGCACTAAGGCTTTCTAAACTCCTAGCTCAGCAGATACCAGTATCTGGTACATAGCTCACTTGAGTAAACTCCAGGTACCATGGTACATAGGTCAGTTGACACCATTGTACCAGGTACGTAGTTCACTTGAGTATACCCCATGTACCATGGTACATAGCTCAGTTGACACCATTGTACCAGGTACCAAGGTACACAAAAGGACCCAGGCAGCAAGCACGCACAGTAGCAGTGCCTGTGCCAATGAGATTCCAACAGCATCAGTAACTCCAACAACAGGTAACATCTGAGTATCCTTCAATCACAACAGTGGTCCTACCTCCAGCACTGGAGGCTGCAATGAATACTGATTCTCCCTGCCTCACAGCAACGGGTATAACCAACAAGTCCATTCATTTGATAAATGCTATATCATACATTTGGCATCTCCAGCGACATTCTTTGGAACTGACCTTCTCCCTGGGAAACTTGTGATTGTGAACAATGCTGACAGAGCGAAGTCTTAATTGGTCATTACTTAGTATACTTGGCATATTTTAAAATCAATTTGAGGGTCCTGATATAGTGGTTCACAAGTCAGTAGTCAGTAAAATTGGGTTAGTGACTTTGGTTTACACCGCTTTCAACATTATTCCAGTTACGTCACAGTGAGTCAGCTTAATGTGGGAGGAAAGCCAGAAGTGATGCAGGTCTCAGACGTTTACCACTTTGGTGCAACCCACGAGCACAGATATGGTGCTGACAAACCTAGAAACATGATCAGGGCGAACCAGGATTCAAACCCACTAGCTTAACTTCCCCTTCGAAGGTATTTTTCAATCAATAAAGTTCAACAAACTTGTTAGGGAAACTGTATTAATCTATTAACTAATGTCTGAAATCATGGGTCTGAAATACATAAGAATATTTTCTAATAATATGCTCTTAATGATTAAGGACTTGGGGACCCTATCACATACCTGAATTAACAATGGAACGGATACTCTATCAGACGAGGCAGTTTCCCCCAGTACATCAGTAAACATTAGCTAAACTCACCCAGAAACAGTCAGCCCCACCTATTGCATTAACTCAAACTTAATGATCCAGTCTCGTCTCAATTTCACACAGGTCTCTCATTACCACGATCTCAAAAAAATCAGATCTCAGTTGTAGCTAACGAGATTGTCATGACAGTACATGAGAAAGGCTACAGCCAACGCGTCCTTTTCCTTCTCCAATGATAATGTTCAGGATGACTCACATCCCAACATCTTCGACTCCCAGCACGGTTGCCTGAATTAGTAAGAATGCCCACTCGTCTGAATTCAGAGAATTTCACTTTCTCTGAGATAAGTATTTTTAAAATCCAGACGACTTAACCTTATTTCCATTTGAAAAAATGTGGTTAGTGTACATTGTCATGACCTGGATGCACTTATTAACTACTGTGACGATTTCATACTTTACTGTAGAGACATAGGACCAGGCGTTTTCTACTTTTTGGATTACGGACCCACAGACTAATTTTTGAGAAAATGAAAAAAAGAAAAAAAAAAAAGATTTCCTTTACTAGCAAAGAGATACATAATCGATCTTTGTTGATCTCGAAGCCGAACATGAATAGCCTCCCTTGACAATTGTCTGTGTTGTAAGTGGTAGAATTTTTATTGTTACAAGGGGCTTCATCATCACAAATGGCGGTCTTTTGAGCACAGAATATGTTCATAAAGTATGCCAGAGCCATTCTGCATTAAAAAAAAATGCATCTGGCTTTTTTTTTTCCCCCTCCTCCAACCCTGGACTTTGGGTTGAAAAATCCGTAATCCTAAAAATAGAAATCACTCACCGTCACTTTACAGTGTTTCATAAAAGGATAGTTAATGGTATTCAACTTCTGAAAACATTTCAACCATAAGATAATTAAGATAATTAAGAATGAATTAATATATTTCCCTCAATTTCTAACGTACATCGACATTCCATTGACGACGTTATACAGTGCTATGACGTCTCAACACAAAGTTACAGTGAAGGGACCTTAGCTTACTAAACAGTCCTCATCTCATTTCCCTTGGCTGTAAGCAGTTCACAACCTGTTGTAAAGTAACAATTAACTCACAGCTTGTGTGATGTATAACACCCTGTCCTTGATGATTTGAGGTTTAGTCCATTACTCTTGCCTGCATTGCTTTACCTTGTCGATAGATTGAACTGATATGTGTCGCAAAAGGACGAGTTGGGCAGTGAATTGAATACAGATTTCTCCAGTGTCAAATATTGGTCCCTGTGACCAACCAGTGAACCTAACTAAAGCTTGATGATCATTATACCATATACGGTTCAAACAAATACTTAACCACATACACACATCTTGTTCAGCTAAAATTAATTTCTGAAATAGGTAGAACTCCTACATATTAAAATATTGTTAAATCTAAACTTTGACCAGGGTCTGATATCAAACCTCTAATTCCATCGGAGGGAAAGCAGTAAAAGTGTGGGATGGGAAGTTGTACGTAACGCTAGACTTCACACCATACATGATGTACAGGTGATGTTAAGATCCAACATGCTTAAAACATGTAAAATGGTTGAGATAGTTATAAAATATATCATGGCCACAACAAATTAATCAACTGCTTGTCAAATAATTGGTCAAAAGTAGAAGAGGATGACAAAAGATGTTTTAAAAATTCTGATGTCTTATTTATTTATTTTTGTGATAATCTACGATCCTAAAAGTAGTGAAAATCAAATCTTTATTTCTGGCGGACACCAAAATTGGGCTTACATCATAGTAACCATAAGAGGAATCAAACCAGACCTTCTGCTTAAAGAGCAAACCCACCTTACCCACAAGGCTACATCATGAACAGAAGTTATATAGAGGAGAGCCTATCATGTTCATAGATTAAGGTATGGTAGCCCTCCTTCACAGAGGTGTTCATGGATTAAGGTATGGTAGCCCTCCTTCACAGAGGCGTTCATAGATTAAGGTATGGTAGCCCTCCTTCACAGAGGCGTTCATAGATTAAGGTATGGTAGCCCTCCTTCACAGAGGCGTTCATAGATTAAGGCATGGTAGCCCTCCTTCACAGAGGTGTTCATAGATTAAGGTATGGTAGCCCTCCTTCACAGAGGCGTTCATAGATTAAGGTATGGTAGCCCTCCTTCACAGAGGCGTTCATAGATTAAGGGATGGTAGGCAAACTGGGAAAAAATTCTTATAGAATTCAAAATTTGGATTTTCTTAAACTAAGTGGTATCTAACATTGCATTCAGTGCCATAGTGAACAAGTAAGCATCTAAATCTCTTTGACTCTCTTTCATGGTCAAGGTTATCAGGATCTCACCTCAGTGAATTCATAACACGACATGGGGAATGTTAATTCCAATGTAGGATTTGTACTGAGTTGTACTGACAGTTGTACCGACAGTTGTACCGACAGTTGTACCGGCAGTTGTACCGACAGTTGTACGGACAGTTGTACGGACAGTTGTACCGACAGTTGTACGGACAGTTGTACCGACAGTTGTACCGACAGTTGTACTGACAGTTGTACCGACAGTTGTACTGACAGTTGTACCGACAGTTGTACTGACAGTTGCTGCAGGCTTGGGGCTGAGTATCGGCCTGATCAGCAGCAGTAAACATTTCCCTCACTATTTAAAGATCATCGTTTTATTCTAACACAAGTATATTATTCAAACAAACAATTGATCAATTAGTTGTTGGCAGAGTAAGCCACCATACATCTACAATAAAGTGAAAATATTGCCGCAGTCAGCAATATTTCAGCCATATCACAGCAATTGATTACAGGGAGTAAGAGATGTTATGAACGTTATCATACTAGAAAGTTTGGTTTCACACAGACGTACGTCCAATGTCACTCTCACACAGCACTCATCACTGATCCTTCTACTTCAAGTAGCCAGTTTGGTTTCACACAGACGTACGTCCAATGTCTCTCTCACACAGCACTCATCACTGATCCTACTACTTCAAGTAGCCCACCAGCCTTGTCACGTTCGTCTACATCACTCTACTCCTACACACTAAAATCTCACTCCCATACCCATCAGTAAGAATCAGTGTAAAATCCATGGAAACTATCCAGAGTTCCATCAATAAACATGGAATTGAAAATAGTGTAGTGACATTTGAAGATGCATGACGATTTTCATTCTCAAAATAAATTATATACAGCTATGACAATGAAACCCTTTGTCTGGTACATGAGGATGACATGATTATTGATGACTGGAACATTGTGCCGCTGTAACCTCATCACATACTCCCTAATCCATACGACTCTCATCCTCACCGCCATCTTTAGGCATATAGACATCTTGAAAATCACTGCATGAAAATATGACGATAATACACAATGTTGGTGTGCTGATTTCAATAGTGACCAGGGCCCACTTGCACAAAGCGATCTAAGCGCTAAGATGATGGTAACTCTCATAGGCTTACAATAGTCATAGCGCTAAGATGGCTTTGTGCAAGTGGGCCCAGGAGTTATATATACTACTCAAAAGAAGTAACAGAGCACCCTAATATTTCATATGACATGACATGATTAACTATAGTCATATGAAAAGAATCAGGTCTTTTGTAACTTCCTTTGAGTAGTGTCAATACCGTAAGTACCGTATTAGCCGTATTAAGCGCCCTGCTCCCCCCTCTGACAAACTTCTGGATCAAAATACAAGAAGTCTTCATAACCTGCCCCTACTAAGACCAAACATTTACATAACAATAACTATAATTGAGAATGTTTACGTTAGATCGTTTGAACTAAGTTTGTTGAGTACAACACAATTTCTGGAGACAAAGTTAGCTTGCTTTTAATAAGTGGACCCATTTGTCAATTTTATAAGCGCCTGGGCACTTATTACGGCAAATACAGTCAACTGAAATTCCATGCCTGTTTCTAATAATTCACATAATCTTGAAAAAAAAAAAACCACTTCAAGGATAGAAAAAACTCTTTAGAATGTGAAATAACCACTGATGAACACATTTGTTGTCATGACGATAATTGATCTGGTTGGAACACATGTATTAGAGCTCTGTTTTCAAGGTGTTTGATTGACCGTGTCTACCACATTCCGGTCAGTTCCAAATGCCTACAAAGCTGAAACAACAACCAGCACTATCACTGGTGTTATATTATAAACTGGTGTTAAATCATAACAGGATATTTGCATATAGTTTTTAAAAATGTCAGAAAGAGTTCACTTTCCTCATATTCTTTACAAAACATTACATTAAATATGGTAATTATCGAGCTGACATCTTGCAGCCAATCATCAGCCCTAAACCAAGTCCTTCTCATGGTCCAACCATGAATCCAGCGTTATTCCATAGTAAATACACGTCATTTCATCCATGGCATGCAAGAGAAATATGTCACCCATTGCCATGGAGACTTGATTCTAAAAGAAGGTCCAAAATCTCCATCACTGCCTCAGTCATCCAATCACAGCACCTGTATCATTGCACAAATGGGGGATAAGCTCCATGGGAAGTTGCCCAATCCTGGCTTCCGTTGTGTCCAGTGTGTGGCACGTACTGATGTGTTCTGGGGCCCTGTTGTAACAAGGGATGTTGGGGCTCATTGGACTTCCAGGACACAGCTTCAAGTCTTGTCCTTCGGTTTCCCATCCGGGACTCGATGACAGCCCCCATGAGTCTGGAGAGGGAGAGGGAGAGGATACGGTAAACCGGTTGCCATGGGAACCGATGATGATGATGCTAATGACTGACTAATGGTGAAGCCAGGCTGTGGTTTTTGATCCTGTGAACAGAAAACAAGATTCTTATTGAGTCGACGGAATAAAATATGTATGATCATATATAGATCATATGATCCTTATAGATCCAGTATAAAGACAGTGTAAGGATCTATAACGAAACATGGCTATTACAGTATAATAAAGAAGTTGTAATCCATAAATGTTTTGTCAAGACTTATTTCCAATTGTCTATAACATCTTACCACTGCTGGCCAAATAAGTGAGTGAGTGAGTGAGTGAGTGTGGTTTTACGCCGCTTTTAGCAATATTCCAGCAATATCACGGCAGGGGACACCAGAAATGGGCTTCACACATTGTAACCATGTCGGGAATTGAACCTGGGTCTTCGGCGTGACGAGCGAACGCTTTAACCACTAGGCTACCTGACCGCTCCACTGACCAAATAAAGACTAAGGTGTGACGAAAACAACAAAATAACAACAGACTCCGAGTCATTGACATTTTGTGCAACCTCACTGTGCACCAGGGAAATCCCATCCCTTGATTTTTCTACTGAAGAACCAGTGTGTAAGTGGTAGAACCAAAGTAATGTACACAAGATAGTCCTATTTTCAGGGCTATTTGGGCTAGCAGGCTTGTGATACATCCATTTCTGGATCCTGTTCCTCACTATTGTCTTAGAATGTCACTGCCTTGAGCACGTAAACAGTGAGTGAGTGAGTAAGTATGGTTTTACGCCGCTTTTAGCAATATTCCAGCAATATCACGGCGGGGTCACCAGAAATGGGCTTCACAATTTGTACCCATGTCGGGAATCGAACCCAGGTCTTCAGTGTGACAAGCGAAGGCTTTAACCACTAGGCTACCCGACCGCCCCTATGACTCATGGAAGTCCTAAGAGCTATACTCATGAAGGTGGCCCGTGAAGATCTGTGTAGTGGTCTGCAGCAACCCATGCTTGCCATAAGAAGCGACTATGTAAGGGGCGACTAACGGGATCGGGTGGTCAAGCTTGCTGACTCGGTTGATGCATGTCATCGTATCCCTATCGTGGAGATCGATGCTCATGATGTCAATCACTAGATTGTCTGGTTCAGACACGATTATTTACAGACTGCTGTCATATAGCTTGAATATTGCTGAGTGCAGCATTAAACAACAAACAAACAAACAAAACTCATGAACGTGCCTCATGAACATTGTGCACACTTTGCCATTGCGAGATGTTAAAGCAGTATGTACAGCAGATAGCTGTACAGCTGTGGTACATATTGCAGGAGAAATATTGCTGATTTTGTGATGCCATCTGAGGCATCATTCGTACAAACACTTGCTGGGTTCCTCAGACGAGTGACGAGCGAACGCTTTAACCACTAGGCTACCCGACCGCCCAGAGCACGTAAACACTAGGAGAGAGTAGTGGCATCATAATGTTGATACATGGTTGTATAAAATGGTGGTCACAACTGGGGAATGTTGAAGGCAGCTGGTTAGTGAGGGAAGGCTGGTTTCTATACTTAGGTCTTGTCTTCAATATGCTAGGTATTCACAGGGGTATAAAAGTAAAAAACCATGTGCGTACTGTGTGAAGCCAAATGGATTTACACAAAGTGTGTACACCAATTTTTACATATATCTCCATAAATGTAAAACGTAAGTCAATTCTTATCAATAAATATGTAATAAATATGACAATAACTTCACAGACTGCTTATTTAATCAATAACACAGGGTAGACAGCAACATGAAATCAGTGACATCATTCAGCGCAATGAAGCCACCCCCATTCTATTATTAGCCATTCAGATTGGTTGGTTGGTTTGTTGCTTAATGCCGCACTCAGCATTATAACAGCTATATGACCGCGGTCTGTAAATAATCGAGTCTGAGCCAGACAATCCAGTGATTGATATCATGAGCATCGATCCACGCAATTGGGGTCGATGACATGCATCAACCAAGTCAGCTAGCCTGACCACCGGATCCCGTCAGTCTCCTCTTACAACAAGCATAGTTGCCTTTTACGGCAAGCATGGGTTGCTGACGACCTATTCTACCCCAGATCTAGCCAATCAGGAAACAATAAATCTGTTAGTGGGCTTGGCTTTGTTTATTGATAGAAACATAAACACCAAAATAATTGCAAGGTTATCCAATCAAATGCCAAGGAATCACTTGAACTTGTTTTTCAATGAACATGGTCTAATTCAAGAAATGTTGCAGTTTGAAGGAAGCGGTCAGTGTGTGTTGCTGACCTGAGAGGTAGAGGGCAGCTGTTGGCCTGGTTGTGACCGGTCAGGGAGGGTCTTCACTGTCACCCCTGACCCTGCAACTAGTGGAGACACACACTCTGTCAACAAAACAAAGCATGTTTTAGGGACATAGACTTGTTAATCTGTGGTAATTGTGCTAACTGTAAGAATGTATACTGCCCCGGTCGGACAATGATGACAATGCCAACAGGTCAAAATACAGCAAAGTTATTCCCCATTGGTGGCACTGGTTTGGCAAGCCAAAGATGACCTCTGGTCCCAGGTATTGTCTGGTGTCTCATTACAGAATAAATGTTACTGTAAGCCACAGTCAGCAATATTCCAGCAATATCATCATGATCATGGCAACTTTAGTTTCAATAAAATCGTGTCATTTACTCGGATTCCTCTCTGAGTGAGATCTGAGTTTAATGAGATTGTGGCGACTTGACAAGCCAGTGACTAAATGCATGGTCAGCCATCTATACCATGGCACAGTTAAGTCTGATCCTCCCTCAGGGCAAGCATGGGATACTGTCAGATAGGTGGACTGTCCACTACAACTGACAACAGAGATTGGGGGTCTCGTCATAGTTACTACACGAGAACTGATCACAGGAACTGGGGGCGTCGTCATAGTTACCACACGAGAACTGATCACAGGAACTGGGGGCTCCGTCATAGTTACTACACGAGAACTGATCACAGGAACTGGAGGCGCCCTCATAGTTACTACACGAGAACTGATCACAGGAACTGGGGGCATCGTCATAGTTACTACATGAGAACTGATCACAGGAACTGGGGGCGTCGTCATAGTTACTACATGAGAACTGATCACAGGAACTGGGGGCGTCATCATAGTTACTACACGAAAACTGATCACAGGAACTGGGGGTGCCGTTATAGTTACTACACAAGAACTGATCACAGGAACTGGGGGCGTCGTCATAGTTACCACACGAGAACTGATCACAGGAACTGGGGGCGTTGTCATAGTTACTACATGAGAACCCATCACAGGAACTGGGGGCGTTGTCATAGTTACTACATGAGAACTGATCACAGGAACTGAGGCCGTCGTCCCAGTTACAACACATGTACTGACCACAGGGGCTGGGGGCGTCGTCGGAGTTGGATGGTGTGATGGGGTTGATGATGGGAGGAGCTGGACTCTGGCAGGACGAGTGGTCCACCGGGGACTGGGCCACCTGTAACCAAACACTGCACATGTCAACATTCACACAAATATACTCATATCTGGCTCTTACACTGATAAATATTCACCTGCACCCTGGCATTTTTGTTTTGTTCTGAAGCAGTACAATAAGTACAGAATTATCCAGGGTCAAGCCATTAAATGGCAGCCTGTAAATAATACGAGTCCAAACCGATTGTGACCAATGATCCATGACATCAGGGTGCGATGACATGCATCCAACCACGTCCCCGAGCCTGACACCTGTATACATTGTCTCTTCTTAATGACCAGCATAGGTTGCTGGGAATGGACCTACTTCAAACAGGAAACCCCATAGAGCATCCTTAAATAATATGATTTTTGTTGTCTTTTGTTTATAGTGGACTCAGCAATAAGCCAGCTAGATTCTGGACCAAACAATCCAAAGATTGTCATCATGAACATCGATCTACACAACTGGGATACAATGACATGAACCTTGGACCAGAAAATCCAATGACTGACGAAATGAGCATTGATCTACGCAATTGGGATACGATGACATGTATCAACCAAGTCAGCTAGCCTGACCACCCGATCCCGTCAGTTGCCCCTCACAAGTATGGGTTGCTGAAGACCCATTCCAACCCGGATCTTCACGGGGTTTATTCCTTTGACATAAGGTACATCAACCTGAGTCCCCCACCTGTGACTTGATGTCGGGAGGTGAGTCTGGTGGTGAATGCGACATGGAGTTGTTGTTGACGGTGTTGAAGGGGAGGGAGAGCCTGGCGTTGATGGTGAGCAGCTGGTTCCGCCTCTCCGTCAGGGACTTCACATACTCCTCCAGCCGCGTGTTCTCAGTCTTCAGCTGGTGCAGGCAGTTCAGCAGCGACGCTACTAGAATGAGAGAAGTAGAAAGTATATCATCGAAAGTAGACATGCGGAAACACGACTTAACATTGTGACAGTATTCTGCCGTGAAACATCTTCAACATAGTTTCAACAGTATTTTAGTCGTGTCATCTTATTGTAGGCAAAGTCCAAAGTGATACAAAAGTTAAGCATTTTTCATAATGGCGAGTGAGTGAGTGAGTGAGCAAATCTGGAACCTCCAACCCTACAACTTTTTTCTTGTTTTTCTCAAGACCATAGCGGTACCATATGTTATGCCTCAATTTGTTGCACTTGAAAGAACTAACCAGTCATTATCTTCATTATGGTGACGTTAATTGCCATTGACAGTCACACTGCAATTTACCATATTGCAAAGAAAAGAAAAATTTAATAAAAAACAACAACTCCCACCCTGTCTTTGGCCTTGAACCGTGTCTGGTTCTACAGGATGTTGTTTGTTTGTTGTGTAATACCACACTCAGCAAAATACCAGCTATGCGACCGCGGTCTGTAAATAATCGAGTCTGGACCAGACAATCCAGTGATTGACATCATGAGCATCGATCTCCACAATTGGGATACGATGACATGCATCAACCAAGTCAACAAGTCTGACCAACCAATTCCGTTTGTTCCCTCTTATGACAAGCATAGGTTGCCTAAGACCTATTCTACCCCGGAATCTTCACGGGACCTATTCTTACCCGTATCTTCATGGCGGGAAATAAGCATGCGTTGCTGAAGACCTATTCTAACTCGTATCTTCATGGCAGGAAATAAGCATAGTTGCCTCTTATGATAAGCAGGGGTCTCTGACGACGTACTCTAACTTGGATCTTCACAGGTTGAGATAAGCATAGTCGCCTCTTACTACAAGCATAGTCGCCTCTAACAAAAGGGATGGGTTGCTGAAGACCTATTCTAACCCATATCTTCATTGCTGGAAATAAGCATAGTCGCCTCTTAAGACAAGCATAGTCGCCTCAAGCATGGGTTGCTGACGACCTACTCTATTGCGGATCTCTACGTGATGTACTGACTGTCAAAGTGCTGGCTCTGCTCCATGAGGAACTGTGACCCCTGCTCCCACTGTCTCTCCAGCAACTGCTCCATCGACGTCGGGAATCTGGAGGAGGAGGCATCATGGCATAGAATCACAAACTTACTCAAAGTGACATTATTAAAAGAATTTGTTCCTAAGCCACATTCAACAATAACAAGAGTTTGCCACTAACGTGGCTATATCCTCCGCCCCTGTTGCAGAATTTATGACATAATTAAATCTAAACAAACCCTAACCTTTTTTAACCGAGGTGGAACTTGTCATGGAAATTGTAAAAAAAAGAAGAGTTTGGAACCTAAGTCCATCTTGCTGCCATGGAAACGTAAAAATATAAAAATTTCTAAAATTTCTAAATAGCAAAAGGCACCAGATCAGCATGTACCTGACAAACCTGCAAAGTTTGATGAAAAAATATTGAACGGTTTATGAGTAATGCTCCGGAAACGAAACGTGACGGACGGACGGAGCCCGTTTCTATATCCCCCGCCAACTTTGTTTTGTGTATGTTTTGTGTATGATGTGTACTGTACTGCTGTGCAGGAGAGTACGCAGTAGACAATGAGTTTAAAGCACTAAATATGGTACTTCAAACTTAAAACAGTTAACCATATTGTCCTCAGGCAGTGTTCGAAATAAGTGCCTGCCCGTAGGCCCATAGCAGGCAGTCATGTTCGGCCCGTAGGCCCATAGCAGGCAGACATGCTCGGCCTGTAGGCCCATAGCAGGCAGACATGTTCGGCCCGTAGGCCCATAGCAGGGAGACATGTTCGGCCCGTAGGCCCATTGCAGGCACAGGGTTCCCCCTAGACTCCAATATCTGAGAGTCACCTTGACTCAGCCTAGGAAATGTTTTATTGTATGATTAATGAAATTTAAAGTGTTCACTGTTAATGTTACACTTAAAGTTAAGTATCTTTTAAATATTATGTCTTTAGTTTAAGTTAACAAGTGCTAATTAATGTTCTCAGCTGATTGTACTTCAGAGGATAAAGGATATATGAATGAAAAACAAAGTTTGTTGGTTTTATTTTTTCACCATCTTTAATTACTTCACAGCTCATGAAACAATTTACAGTGACACTAATACAGGATGAATAAATAACATCAGTCTCAACTGTGAGACATAATTTTGAATCATGGATGGATATTAAAATACATTTCATGTCAGATTATAATTTAATACCACTAACTCATTTACATCTTTTATCTAGTTATCTTGTTTTATCTATCAACAGTGAAGTTGAACTGAAGAATTGTAAACACTCGTAACATTTTCTGGTTGAATACAGTTTATTAGCAACAACAAACGCGCCCTAAGCTTTACATTTTGTATATACCATATTTATTTGTGTATAATACACACTCGTGTATAATACGCACCCCTAATTATGGGCAATTAAATCCTGAAAAAAATGTCTTTCATGTATAATACGCAGAGACTTTTCTTCAGTCTCATTTCAGGCTGTCTTGATCCGTCATCGGAAATAGCATAACAAATCCGAACTGAATTACGCAAGTTGTTACACTATCTGGTAATAAAAATGTGTTCTCTGTATATCTGACCTTATGTTTGTCATCTATTTTATTAATTTTATTTAAAATTTCATTCAATAATGTTTACCTAAATTTCGGCAAAAACATGTGTCCCTCCGATACTTACAACTTCCGTTTACCCCGTTCCTTAGGTTCCTCTTAACTACATACCGTGACCGCGCCAAATCACATTATTCACTGCAACAATTATAATATTTTCTTCTGTTTCATTTTTTACGAGTCTACACATCTAGATAAACATATATCATGGTTAACTTTTAGTGAGAAAATATGCCAAAACGTGAAAAACTTTGTCCATTTGCGAAGTTTTCCTTTGTTTACATCACGTGCTGTCATTGAAGCCACACGGAGTGTGAGAGTTACGTTCACTTTGATGAATAAATATATTTTGTCGTGTACCTCACAGTCGCACAGTTTTAGAAGCATATCTATATGATTATGCAAAACAATATGCAAAGCCCCCGGCTGTTCTGATTTTAGTGTTTGTTTTAAAACGAGTGAAAAGTCTGGTCTTGTGACAGGCTATGCAAATTAGCCCGTGGCAGTGGTGTTATGCGAAGTTATGTTACTTCTAAAAACGACGATTAATTAAAAACTAGCAGTATATTTTAAGATGTTTGCATATATTGTCTTCGGAAAATGGTCATAAATTAAGTTCAGGTGAGTAGTTTCATTGCAAAGCTGGTAAACAACAACATAGATATTTTGAAATTGCGTCAGTCATTTATTTCTGGACATATTTTTCCTTAATTGTGAGTCATAAACGCAAGAATCCTGCGTCAGGGGAAACCCTGCAGGCAGACATCCTGGGCCTGTAGGCCCATTGCAGGCAGATGTGTTGGGCCAGTAGGCCCATGGCAGACAGACGTGTTGGGCCAGTAGGCCCATGGCAGGCAGACGTGTTGGGCCAGTAGGCCCATGGCAGGCAGACGTGTTGGGCCAGTAGGCCCATGGCAGGCAGACGTGTTGGGCCAGTAGGCCCATGGCAGGCAGACGTGTTGGGCCTGTAGGCCCATGGCAGGCAGACGTGTTGGGGCCAGTAGGCCCATGGCAGGCAGACGTGTTGGGCCAGTAGGCCCATGGCAGGCAGACGTGTTGGGCCAGTAGGCCCATGGCAGGCAGACGTGTTGGGCCTGTAGGCCCATGGCAGGCAGACGTGTTGGGCCAGTAGGCCCATGGCAGGCAGACGTGTTGGGCCTGTAGGCCCATGGCAGGCAGACGTGTTGGGCCAGAAGGCCCATGGCAGGCAGATGTGTTGGGGCCAGTAGGCCCATGGCAGACAGACGTGTTGGGCCAGTAGGCCCATGGCAGACAGACATGTTGGGCCAGTAGGCCCATGGCAGGCAGACGTGTTGGGCCTGTAGGCCCATGGCAGGCAGACGTGTTGGGCCTGTAGGCCCATGGCAGGCAGACGTGTTGGGCCAGAAGGCCCATGGCAGGCAGACGTGTTGGGCCCGTAGGCCCATGGCAGGCAGACGTGTTGGGCCAGTAGGCCCATGGCAGACAGACGTGTTGGGCCTGTAGGCCCATGGCAGGCAGACGTGTTGGGCCCGTAGGCCCATGGCAGGCAGACGTGTTGGGCCTGTAGGCCCATGGCAGGCAGATGTGTTGGGCCTGTAGGCCCATGGCAGGCAGACGTGTTGGACCCGTAGTTTCAAATTTGTATTGGTCCTTATGGTCTGCAGTCAATTTATGTCTGGAATAATTTTTCTCAATAAGCTGCAGTTTGTTAACGAGGGCCTGACAAATTTAGTGCTTTAACTGATTTAGTGCTTTAAAATGCAGTATTGTGATTGTTTTGAATAGATATTGTTATGAGTGTTTGAGTTAAATTGATGAATGTCTGATCAAAAGTTGATACCATCATTTTCAAATCCAACTGCTCTTTGATTCCGGAACAATCTCTGATTCAGCTGAGGGTCCTACACAATAGACAGCATCAGTCTTTACCCGCCCTTTTGACAGGTGACTCAAGTCCCAGACTAGGTTAACCTGGAACTCTCAGTTTGTTTCTTTGTTTGTTTGTTGTTTAACGCTGCACTCAGCAATATTCCAGCTATATGATGGCAGTCTGTAAATAATTGAGCCTGGACCAGACAATCCAGTGATTGATATCATGAGCAACTATCTCCACAATTGGGACATGATGACATGCATCAACCAAGTCAGCAAGCCTGTCCAACCGATCCTGTTAGTCACCTATTACAACAATCAGTCACCTTTTGCGGCAAGCACAGAGTCAACTGAAAGCAAGCAATGGCCGCCATGAAACTCACCCTCCTGGCCCTTCTCCACACCTTGACAAGGAGGGGAACATTTTGGGGGGACACAGGTAACCATTGACTGGGTCCTTGTCCGCATCCCCTCCTCCCCGGCTGGAGTCACATGCAGATGAGCTTCTTCCATCAAAACCTGCCAAGAACGACATCCCCATCAGTGATACAACAAAACTGATTACGCACCAAATTCACTTTGTGGATTAGTCCTGTTACTTGCTCACACATATCTGACATAAAATATCAAACAGTTATGAAATATATGATGACATTAAAAATGTGTGTCATATGATATTATCATTAAAAGGTTGTTTGCTGTTTTATGCTGCTAAAAATAAACAAATTGAAACATTGGGAGTGATAATAAGTGCTTAAGGCAAGGTCTCCAGATATTTAATATAGGAAATATTGATGTGTGGGATGATCTCCTAGTGTGGGATGATCTCCTAGTGTGGTGTGACCTAGTGTGATGTCAAGATGTGACATGATCTCCCAGTGTGATCTCCCAATGTTACCTCCTAATGTGACATGATCTCCCAGTGACACGATATCCCAGTGTGACTCAAACTCCCAGTGTGACACAAACACCCAGTGCGACACGTTCTCCCAGTGTGACACAATATCCCAGTGTGACACAAACTCCCAGTGAAACACGTTCTCCCAGTGTGACACTTTCTCCTAGTGTGACATGATCTCCCAGTGTGACATGATCCAGACTCACCTGACTGTCCGAACCTGGGTAGTGACACCGGGCCTGGAGCACTGAGACTCTGGAAGTAGGGAGATCCACCAAACACACTGTTACAGAAGCTGTTTTGCCTGCAACACACAGATACCAATGCTATACACACATCTCCCCTGTACACATCTTTCCTACACACATCTTCCCTGTACACATATCATCCCTGTACACACATCTTCCCTGTACACACATCTTCCCTGTAAACACATCATCCCTGTACACACATCTTCCCTGTACACACATCATCCCTGTACACACATCATCCCTTACACACATCTTCCCTGTACACACATCATCCCTGTACACACATCTTCCCTGTACACACATCTTCCCTGTACACACATCATCCCTTACACACATCTTCCCTGTACACACATCATCCCTTACACACATCTTCCCTGTAAACACATCATCCCTGTACACACATCATCCCTGTACACACATCTTCCCTGTACACACATCATCCCTTACACACATCTTCCCTGTACACACATCATCCCTGTACACACATCTTCCCTGTACACATCTTCCCTGTACACACATCATCCCTGTAAACACATCATCCCTTACACACATCTTCCCTGTACACACATCATCCCTGTAAACACATCATCCCTTACACACATCTTCCCTGTACACACATCATCCCTGTACACACATCATCCCTGTACACACATCTTCCCTGTACACACATCATCCCTGTACACACATCATCCCTGTACACACATCATCCCTGTACACACATCATCCCTGTACACACATCTTCCCTGTACACACATCTTCCCTGTACACACATCATCCCTGTACACACATCTTCCCTGTACACATCTTCCCTGTACACACATCATCCCTGTAAACACATCATCCCTTACACACATCTTCCCTGTACACACATCATCCCTGTAAACACATCATCCCTTACACACATCTTCCCTGTACACACATCATCCCTGTACACACATCATCCCTGTACACACATCTTCCCTGTACACATCTTCCCTGTACACACATCATCCCTTACACACATCTTCCCTGTACACACATCATCCCTGTACACACATCATCCCTGTACACACATCTTCCCTGTACACACATCTTCCCTGTAAACACATCATCCCTTACACACATCTTCCCTGTACACACATCATCCCTGTACACACATCATCCCTGTACACACATCATCCCTGTACACACATCTTCCCTGTACACACATCTTCCCTGTACACATATCATCCCTGTACACATATCATCCCTGTACACACATCTTCCCTGTAAACACATCTTCCCTGTACACACATCTTCCCTGTAAACACATCTTCCCTGTACACACATCTTCCCTGTACACATATCATCCCTGTACACATATCATCCCTGTACACACATCTTCCCTGTACACATCTTCCCTGTACACACATCTTCCCTGTAAACACATCTTCCCTGTACACACATCTTCCCTGTACACACATCTTCCCTGTACACACATCTTCCCTGTACACATCTTCCCTGTACACACATCTTCCCTGTACACACATCTTCCCTGTACACATCTTCCCTGTACACACATCTTCCCTGTACACACATCTTCCCTGTACACATCTTCCCTGTACACACATCATCCCTGTACACACATCATCCCTGTACACACATCTTCCCTGTACACATCTTCCCTACACACATCTTCCCTGTACACACATCTTCCCTACACACATCTTCCCTACACACATCTTCCCCTTACACACATCTTTCCTACACACATCTTCCCTGTAAACACATCTTCCCTGTACACACATCTTCCCTACACACATCTTCCCCTTACACACATCTTTCCTACACACATCTTCCCTGTACACACATCATCCCTGTACACACATCATCCCTACACACATCTTTCCTGTACACACATCTTCCCTGTACACACATCTTCCATGTACACACATCTTTCCTGTACACACATCTTCCCTGTACACACATCTTCCCTACACACATCGTCCCTGTACACACATCTTCCCTGTACACACATCTTCCCTGTACACACATCATCCCTGTACACACATCATCCCTACACACATCTTCCCTGTACACACATCTTCCCTGTACACACATCTTCCCTACACACATCTTCCCTGTACACACATCTTCCCTACACACATCTCTCCTGTACACATCTTCCCTGTACACACATCTTCCCTACACACATCTTCCCTACACACATCTTCCCTGTACACACATCTTCCCTACACACATCTTCCCTACACACATCTTCCCTGTACACACATCTTCCCTACACACATCTTCCCTGTACACACATCTTCCTTACACACATCTTCCCTATACTCTCTGATTCCACGAAAACAGAAAAATTTGCAGAAAATGTTACTTACTGCAGAATTGCAGAAAATCAAAGAATTTGTCTGTTTTTTATAAATCAATACACTGTTTTTCATTATTTTCAAGCTTTTCTAACAAATTTTCCACTTGTTTGATACCAAAACATACGAAAGATGAATTCTACAATAGAATGCAATTTGAAATAAATAATTCTCACTTCAAAATGTTCTCGTTGTAATATGACTACATAAAGTCAACATGTTAAACTAAACCTGAAATGTCTAAATGCAAGAGACTAAAGTTTGTAATTAAAAATACTGAGTTAGTATTAGTCTCAGACGGGGAAATGATAATAATTTTACAGCAATTTCACTGCAGAATTTTGATAATTTCACTGCAGAATTTTGATTATTTTACTGCAGAATTCATCTGGGATGTATACATGCATCTTTCAACCAAAGCCCCTGGCATGTAAAAGCGTTATTTTGTCCAGATTAACTCCTTAGTTTCTTGAATTAAGAGAGTGCTAGCATTGCACTCAAAGGAAGGAGTGAGTGTGGTTTTATGCTGCTTTTAGCAATATTCCAGCAATATCACGGCGGGGGATGCCAGAAATGGGCTTCACACATTGTACCCATGTCGGGAATCGAACCCAAGTTCACCTGATGAAGAAGTAAGCATTTACTCCGAAACGTTGTGGTCCTCATAATAAAGAAGTTGACATCCATGAATTCTCTTCCTTAATGCAGGGTTAGAAATTGGTACTAGTCCTATAGTCCTTGCCAAACTGCCCAATAGTAAAGGTATCCTAAGGACTAGTAGAAATTAGCCATTTTTAAAGGTTTTGCTATATGTTATCATTATAAGGACTAGTGGACTGAAACTGTTAGTTTCTACCACTGTTAATGTAATCATGCAATGGGAAATGTTTAATTCCAATATGGGATTTGTTTACCAACAGACCTGCGCTGGGTATTGGTCTCAGAAACATCTACAAGGATGTATTGTGAGAAAGCTATTAGTATTATTCAGGACTGTATCTCAGGGTTTTACATGACGCACAAATATACATCAAGTACGCACAAATGTTGAGATTGGGTGCGGAAAAATAATATACTACTACGCACAATAATCATTGTACCTACAGCGCATCAAGAGCAGTTCTGGGTGTCTGTCATTTCATCTATCAACCATGACCACTGTCCACATGATCATTGATTGATTCCAGGTCTAAAGTAATTATATTATAGTAATTATCCAAACTAAACTACACCATTTTCAGGGTTCACTCTAGGAATCTTCTGACAAGGGACCTTTATGTGAAAATTTCAAATATTCCAGAGGTACAACCACACTTGCCCTTACAGCACAATGTTAAAATGCCCCATTGTATTTGAAACTGTGGACCTTTTTTCAAATTTAGGGGCTAAAAGCACAAGGTCTTAATCTAGAATTATCCATGCATTTTAATACTTTACAGGAACCTCATATTGCCTGCAAGGACCCTTAAAGTTAATCATAGGGGTCCACCGGACCAAACTTTTGTAAGTCAAGGTAAAATTGTGTTATCTCTCACTTACCCTGGGCCAGCCCCTGCGGAGCAGTTGGGACCCCCTGGCATCCCAGGGGGCAGTCCATTGGAGGAGCTGTTGGACTTTTTCCGCAAGGAAAGTTTCTTGGCCCCGGGCGTCAACACGGCCTTCCCTGTCTGCATCATGTCCTTGTTCATCTTCCCCTTGCCACCAACACAACTTGATATCTTCCCTCGCCGAACCTTTTTCTTCTCCTTCTCCTGAGATCTAAACATGAGAGTTGTGTGAGTGAGTGAGTTGGGTTTAACTCTGCTTTAAACAGTATTCCAGTTACATCACAGTGTGTCAGCTTAATGTGAGACAAAAGCCGTGATGCAGGTCTCAGACATTTACCACTTTCGTGAAACCCATTAGCATGGGTGTGCTCGGAAATCCATGTGCAGTGTGAGTCTCTGTTCTTCATGGTGGGGTATAAGGGATTTTATCTCCCGCTCAGAGATTTATTTCTCTTCCAGGCTGGATGCATAGTATTTTATAAATATCACATGGACCAATCAGATCTCATCATTGTGACGTGGAGGTAAGTTAAGGGTTCGTGTATCCCCCATGTTAGTTAGTTTAGATTCCCTTTGGGTCCAGGGTACATTAACATTGAGGGTTCATCAACCCATGTCAGCAGAGGTACTGGAGGACAACAAATTTATCTAATTACTTTGCAGGTATGTCTTCTTCATGATTTGTTTGATTGTTTATTAACGCCGCAATCAGCAATATTGCAGCCATATGACGGCGGTCTGTAAATAATCGAGTCTGGACCAGATGAGCATCGATCCACGCAATTGGGATACAATGACATGCATCAAACAAGTCAGCAAGCCTGACCACCCGGTCCCATTAGTTGCCTCCTATGACAAGCATAGTCGCCTTTTACGGCAAGAATGGGTTGCTGAAGACCTATTCCACCCCGGATCTTCCCGGGTCTTATGCATGAATCTGAATCAGTAAGAATACCACAATTAGGCATTAGATGGCAAAATAGCAGACATCAGAAAACAAAATTAAATGTAGTTCCTCTTGATCTATTTCATTAGGAAAATATTGTAATTATCAAGAGAAAGCCATCTTACACCATTAATTCAAGATACAAAAAAAAAGTCAACAGTTCGGCAATTCAAGCAGGGAATGTGAGAAATGTACCTTACATATTAGCAGGGTACATTGAAAATAACAGAATGGGTCTCAGCTAATCAGAAACCATCATTCATGTGCAAGGTAAGACAAAATGGAATGTTAGCAGTCAAGGCAACAAAAAAACATGGAATGAGTTGAGTATGGATAGTTTTTGCAGGGCTCTACTACAGTTGATAATACAAATCAAATTACATCTGACTCTAGACACACTGACCTTGACCGTGACCGTTTCCCAGGGGGCGGTTCCCCATCACTTCCCTTCCCGCCACTGTCCTCCTCAGCAGTATTGGGCGCACTTCCACTTAGAAACTTTTCAAATGAGTTTGAGAATGACCCCTGGTTGTGTGGACTCGTCACCTCGCCAGTCCCAGAACTACTAGCTGGGCTAGCATTAGTAAAGGGCGACGAGGCTGTGGAAAACAAACAGTTCGAATCTGTCACCGTAAACCGGGCGTCCATGATCAGTTTTTGGTCGTGTCCTGGCGGACTACATGAAGAATTGCTCAACGATGACACAGCCATCTCAGGTTTATTAATCGACTCCACAATCTGAGAGTTCGCAGGATGATTTTTCAGATCCGCCTCCGTGAATCCAGCAAATTCTGGTGACATCATCGACGATGAATCTGACATAGCACTATTATTATGAGATGGAGGCGTTGCCTGAGGTCTCTGCTTAACCACTTCACAACTTCCCGATGCTTGGCTCTGAACGACTGCATGGTCCAACGCTGTCTTGGCTCGTTCCTTGCTCTGCTCACAAAAGATTGTGAAGATCTGGAAATTAAATATTATATTCTCTATACTGATTACAGGACCAGCACATCTCAATATAGTGAGAGGCTTAGCGTTGGAGTAATCAGTAGCTAACTAACTAACACACAATAGCAGAGCAAGGGGGCTTGTCAACAGCTCTAGGGTAGAACTTCAACCCTTAACACTCCTTTGCATATTGAGCCGAATCATTGCAGCATGAGCCCATAGCTCCAGATAAGTTTTTGAGCAATTGAGTTTTTACTCGAAGGTTTCTATTGTAATTGGGTTATCACATTTTTCATTGCGTAACCAATATTTTTTCACTCATCTATTTATCATTCTATGGGTTTTTTCCCAAAATGAGCTAACATTTTGAGATTTAAAATAAAATAATGTTTTAGATGTTTAAAAGGGTTCTAACTAAATGCTTGACTCTGAAAGTATAAATTAGCTCGTAATTGGGTTTCGGAAATTAGCTCCTTTGTAGGCATGCTGAAAAAGCATCATTGGGTTTTTACGCATGCTGTTTTTATACATTTGAGTTTTTCAATTAATGCATGCGTTTCTGTACGCAAGTTAATAGGGAGTAATTGGGTTTGGCATATTTTTTTTTTTGGGGGGGGGGTATTTTACGCAAATACTGTGTTTATCTGTAGCTTTGATAAACCCAGTCATTCAGTCCACCAACTTAAACTGCAGTAAACATGGTAAATCAGAACTATGTTTGACAATGATTTGGAAAAATCTGTTCCGCTCAAAAACATAGTTAGGTCCACCCAAATCTTTCAAACTGTTGTAGATAATCTATCATGCTATGACATATAAATATATATAGTATGATGAATGAATCGGGGGGAGCCTTAACTTTATTTGAGTAGTATGTGAAGCTTGTCAAGAATAAATGCACAGACAATTTTACCATGGTTAGTGTTTTCGATACAGCACAGGTTCATGGAGTCCACACTATTCAATGACTATCATCTTTAGGAATTAAATGTGCTTTTTCCCAGGAAATATTATCTGGATTTGTACACACGAAAAGAGATGCCTGAAATTTTGTATCTTGACATGATTTGTGAAACTGTTAAGTAAAGAGGGATGGATGGCAACACCAGACAATGTAGAAGAGGAATACTGCATAGCTTCACTTGAAATAAGGCCAGACTTGGATGTTTAGTAGACATAACTTGAATGTTTAGTTTACTCGGCTATTTCTTATGCTCTGAACAGTAGAGACTGAAAATGTTTAACATGATTTTTAATAAAAAGGAATACTTACTGCACAATAGATAGGACTGGTTAGGAGTCGAAGGGTTAAGTTTTACCCCGGCCCGGCACACAAACAGTACAAGTAAATAAGGTGTGGCAGGGTAAATATGTTCTAAGCAGCTGGCAGTTATATGATAACAGAAGCTTCAGTTGTAAGCATGAAAAAATCCTATAGAATAAATGTAATCATCTTTGTCAGAGTGAGTGAATGTTGTTTTAAGCCAAAGTCGGCAAAGTAACAGCGACATTGCAACAAAATCTGGATGAGCAACTATCTGCGTGTTGTCTGGACATTATGACACAGACATTCACACATCGGGTCTATGACGCAACAAGCAAGCCAGTGAGTCTGACATGGACTATATCTCCAGGCTAGCATTTCATTAACCAACACTAACCCCTGGATCCATTCCCATGGTTCTCGCGATCTCAAATGACCCCCCCTTGTCTTGATTAACAGCTAATCGAACCTGCCCACCCAATCCACGTAGTCCTGTCTTTTGACCAGCAGACTATTCTAACCCGGAATCCCACCCGGCGTGTGGAATATGAAGTAGTCTGCCCACAAGATTTGTTTCTTTGTTTGTTGTTTAACGCTGCAGTATTCCAGCCATATGACGGCGGTCTGTAAAAAATCGAGTCTGGACCAGACAATCCAGTGATTAACACCATGAGCATCCATCAACACAATTGGAATATGATGACATGCATCAACCAAGTTAGCGAACCTGACCACCCGATCCCGTTAAGTCGCCTCTTACAACAAGCATAGTTGCCTTTTACGGCTAGCATGGGTTGCTGAAGACCTATTCTACCCCGGGTCTTCAGGTGATCAGTAGAGGTGATCACTGAGGGCATAATAACGGATGTAGTAGAGCTGGCAACCTACTTTACCCTTGGTCCCAACACGGCCTAACACCAGGGGTCATGTGAAAAGATCAAGAAAGCTTTCTACTTACAACATGTACAATAAACATGACAGACAGACATCAACACATCAGTGTTTACTCAAACAGAACAGCATGCTACAAAAGCTGCCCCATGGGAGCTCCACAGGTTCAGGGACACCACAAGGGTGGGACATGATGGGAACTCTCTACGTAATAGCCTTCCTCGTCGCAGGGATGGAAATTAGCACTGGCTCGCTAGCCTAGAACAGTCTTGTTAATGGTAAAGGTATCCTAAGGGCTTGTAGAATTTCAACACTTCGGGAGGTATCGCTGTATGTTATCACTATTGGGACTTGCAGACTTTCTTGATTAATTTTTATCTCTGCATTGAGAAACATATTGCATTGATGACCATTTACTTTAATTTCAAATGGTGAGTCTTTCCAGATAATATTACACTATGTCACAGAGACAGTTGTCAAAAAGTCAATTTCCTTCAAGTCATCTTGCCCCAAACTGTATCTTGGCATCAGTTTCAGTATATATCAGCGACACAAAGGACTTCTTTCGCTGAGCATATTAGGCAATAGTCATTACTTGATGCACTTGAGACTGAAGCCAAGGAAAGACATTACTGCCCCCCTCCCCCCTCGTGGTGAACCCTTCAAGTATCCATCTGCCACAGATGTGGCTGAAGAACATCACAGTTAAGCAGATGAGGATATGGACGTTTAAAGAATCCAGTGACCCTGATTTGACTCCAAACTGACAGAATTCCGTGCCAGATGTCCGGAGCTCCTACCAGCACTCATACATACCTTTCTTGCCTTTTCCTTGTCTGGCTTTACCGGAGCTATCTTCTCCGGCGTCGAGTCAGGGGTAGCATTCTCGGACGGGATCGGTTTGAATGCAGGAATGGTCTTTATGTTGGCATCCTTTTTCTAAAGAAAAAATATATTTTTGACTGGTTTCCTATCAACTAATAGAAACAGTTACATTTATCAGGTACTGGCTTGTCTTCAGTGATCATGGTTTGTTTGTTTGTTGTTTAACGCCGTACTCAGCAATATTCCAGCTATATAACGGCGGTCTGTAAATAATCGAGAATGGACCAGACTGTGCAGTGATTGACAACATGAGCATCGATCCACGCAATAGGGATACGATGACATGTATCAACCAAGTCAGCGAGCCTGACCACCCGATCCCGTTAGTCGCCTATTACAACAAGCATAGTTGCCTTAGTGATTATGGTGATAGGTCCAGTTGATGCTAACCTAGTAATACAAATACATTCAATCTTAACCCAAAAGTGCAACAAGGTGAATCTTGTAGACTTGACACATGACGAGATAGTTGTTGACAAAAAATATCACATAAATATCAAGTAGTGGACAATTCAAATTTTGTGAAAATCCAGTCCACATGATCTTGGATATTGTCATCTGTTTTCACTGTTAAGTTAGACATGTCAAAAGGACCAGTGTTGACCCATTAGGATTGCAAAGATTATACCATCATGGTCAAATATACACATATGTTTAACCTGTCAACTTTATGTAGTCATAATACCACAAGAACGTTTAAGAGTGGGAATTATCCATTTCAAATTTCATTTTATGTTAGGATTCATATTTTGCATGTTTGAGTTGCGTGTTAAATGTTTGGGCATCATTCAAGTACAAAATTTGGCTGAAAGGTTACAAATAACCAAAAATAGTGCATTGCTTGATTAAAAGAAACAATTTCTGCGACTTTTCTGCAATTATGTGGTACCGTATTTTCTTGAGTATAGTGCGCACCCATGTATAATGCGCACCCCCCTCTAGCGGGTTCAATATTTTGGAAAAAACGAAATTTGAATAATATGTGCAGAAAAAAATTACACCGTACCCCTTCAGCAAAGTCCGGCAAACGAACAGGTGATGAGAAACTTTGTCAGTACAAATTCGAAATTTGAGATAAAAAATCACCAGACATGTTGATTTACCGTTTAAATTGTATTTTTTGTTCAGCTAGGCATTGTTTTATATCCAGGGATTAAGATTACCTTGTGTATTTTCTTGTAAACTAAGCCGGAAACAGCAATCAGCTGTACACACGTTTTCTTGGAATCTACCGGTGATTCGGTCAAGACACACCCAATGATATAACTTTACAGTATTTTAATGCAAGGATCGGCAAAAGTTGTATCTGAAACTATTTTTTTATCAGGAATAATATATTCAAATATCTTGTTAATCTTGTTAATTTAGATGCAGCTTAAAAAAATAATAACCCTGATCGCTATTGTCGGGTATTATTTTTTACATGGAACCAGTCTGACCAGTCACCGTCAAGGATCCCGTACACGTGATCACGAGAATTACGTGTTGACATAGAACAAATATGACTTTTAACGAATCAAAGTATGGCATTTATGATATATGTATCCATTCTCTGTCAACTAAAGTTCATTTCAAGGCGTCAATAGCGGTAATCTGACCGTGGTTGCTGTTAATAACGGTGAGTTGTGTGATCTTCCGATTGCTTCACACACAATTTCGCCAATATTAATTAATACAATATTCAAAGGAATTTTGAATAAAATTAATGAAATAAGTTACAAACATAAGTCCAGATATACAAAGGACACTTTTCTTAGCCAGACAGTGTAATTACATGAATAATTTGCGAACTTCAGTATGGATTTGTTGACATGGTATTTCCGGTGTTACGTGCTCAGGGTAATGTCTTTCCATGGGGGAAAAAACATAAAAACTCATTATTTCGTGTATAATGCGCACCCCCTTCTACACAGCAGTGTTTTTTGGAGAAAAAAATGCGCTCTATACTCAAGAAAATTTGGTAAGTAAAATTTTCTGCAAATCTTTCAGTGATCGTGGAATTGCAGACTTTGTCTGGGACTGATACCAGCAGCAGACCACCCTGGATTCATGGAAAACCAGAGTGAATTGTGACAACAGCATAACATATTCAGTGAGCGAGTGAGTATGGTTTTACTCTGCTTTAAGCAATATTCCAGCAATATCCCGGCAGGGGACACCATAAATGGGCTTCACACATTAACTCTTTCAACACCAGTCAACCAGAAGTGTTTACTGCTGGGACACCGAGTTCCCAGAGACTCTTGTGTGATAGATGAAGCCAACATTTATCAAAGAAAATATCTGCTTGTAAAATATATTTGCTACTACATGTTATACACCATTTGAAAGGTCTGATCCTATGGTTGATAAATGTGAAAGTTATGTTTTTCACATTATTTAAAATAATGCATTTACAACATAATTAAATTCGTTGTAAATAAAAAATGTACGCTAACACGTTGTTAACATCCAGATTAAGGACCAAGAAAGCGAAAACTTGACGATTTTCGGCAAATATATGATTTCATAATATCCACGTACCTATTTCTGTTTTATTTTCATTGTTTACGTAATTGGAAAATCATTTTAAAAAGAATTATAAATAGTTTCTGTCATCACCCATTTCCCGATAACAGCGACTGTCCGCTCAGTAAAATGAAGAAATACCCCCGTTTTCGAGGTTTCGTGTGAATAACACGTTCGTCGAAGAATGGCATATGACACATCGCTGGAAAGCTTATTCCTTCATCTACACGCTCGTAACATCGACTGTTGTTTTTTCGTAGTTATAACAAGCGATTTCATTGGATTAAAATTGGTTTCTAATGACGCTTTCTTGCTGAAATCTGCTACAAGTTTCGTGATTGGTCAATTTTGAGCACGTGACCTAAGGCAGCCAATCAAATTACAGCTGTGATACCAAGCTCATGTTCGATAAATTACAGAAGTTTGCGAAAGAATTTTGTTAAATCGTGTTATTCTGAACGTTTTGAGCAGGAAATCACGATATATATTAAAAATATGGAACTTCGTGAATGTATCGTGCTAGGTTACGAGCTGTGACAAAGATTTTTCATGCATATATTTTTGCATTAAACATCGTGTCCGAGCCGAGAATTCAAGGCGACGAAAGCCGAGATGTCATTTGACTTACATTACACGCGATCGCACGAAAAGATGGAAATAATAACTTAGATGTAAGTTTGATTACTTTTAGATATATTTTTGTTGATTTTATTTATTACTTTGAATTATATATTTAAAGATTTGTTTAAAACGGCTTTATTTTCCTCTTTGACGTGTTCGATGTGGACCCGTTGTCGAAATGTGTGTCCGAGAATTTTATTTTCAATAACATCGCGAGAAATAGTGAATAATTTTTTAATTTAACGATAAAAAATGTTAAATTGAAATGGAATATGTATTTCAGACATTGTGAAATGTGATAGATTTAATAAATGAATGACATTACAGGTAGGTCCATAAAAATATATACTATTTTGACGTGACTATGGCTTGGCCGGATAACCGGCCTGCGGTGTCTGGGGACTCGATGCTTCTTGGCCGGATAACCGGCCTACGGTGTTGAAAGAGTTAACATATTCAGTAATGCTGCATCCCCCTTGATGTTGATGGTGAGGAGACACTACAGCCATACCATGAAACATCAACCAACCAGGGATGGTCTTCACTCGCCAACAGAGTTGTGACAGAAGGGGTTTATCTCGACCAGCAAAAGGCCGTTTTTAGGCCCCCAGTCAGAAGCAAATGACAGTAATAAACTTTCAAATTTGAACTAAAACTTTCCCAAAACCTCAGATTTTATAGAAATATGAACAGAAAATAGATCTGAAAACTATAATGATTTTTCTCCCAATTTGCCTGCTTTGGGCATGTTGGGCACTTCGTTTGGAATTCCAGATCAATCCCTGGACATACTACAACATGGTAAGGACACCATCTGTTACTAGTTGAAGGAGCACAGAAGCGGTGCATACCAGTTTCTTGTAGTGGTAAGCACAGTAGCCACAATACTTGACATTGTCGCCATAGTTACCAGCTTCTTCGCACAGCAAACCTTGTGCCTGGGCACTGAAACAAACAAATGGTCAAGCCTCATAATGGGATCCCAGGTTTACATCAAACTCACAAGTCAAGGGTTCTGCACCAAGTTTTACAAATTCAGCCACAGACCTGTATGTTAAGCCTAAACCTTGAACAACATTTTTATTGAAATAATGAGTTTCTAATAACAATGTATCAAAAGCCAGACACAAATTCAGGAAGATACGTTTCCCATGAATATGTTAAGTAAATTCTGGACTAAAATGATCAAGAATATGGTTTCAGATTGGTTTCTCATCTAGACATTGACTGATTGTCATCCACAATGTCCCACATTGACTGATTGTCATCCATAAAGTCATTGACTGACTGTCATCCACACTGTCCCACATTGACTGATTGTCATCCACAATGTCCCACATTGACTGATTGTCATCCACAATGTCCCACATTGACTGATTGTCATCCACATTGTCCCACATTGACTGATTGTCATCCACATTGTCCCACATTGACTGACTGTCATCCACACTGTCCCACATTGACTGACTGTCATCCACAATGTCCCACATTGACCGATTGTCATCCACAATGTCCCACATTGACTGATTGTCATCCACACTGTCCCACATTGACTGACTGTCATCCACAATGTCCCACATTGACTGATTGTCATCCACAATGTCCCACATTGACTGACTGCCATCCACACTGTCCCACATTGACTGACTGTCATCCACAATGTCCCACATTGACTGATTGTCATCCACAATGTCCCACATTGACTGATTGTCATCCACAATGTCCCACATTGACTGATTGTCAACCACACTGTCCCACATTGACTGACTGTCAACCACAATGTCCCACATTGACTGACTGCCTTCCACACTGTCCCACATTGACTGACTGTCATCCACAATGTCCCACATTGACTGATTGTCAACCACAATGTCCCACATTGACTGACTGTCATCCACAATGTCCTACATTGACTGACTGTCATCCACAATGTCCTACATTGACTGACTGTCAACCATAAAGTCATTGACTGATTGTCATCCACAATGTCCCACATTGACTGACTGTCATCCACAATGTTCCACATTGACTGACTGTCATCCACAATGTCCCACATTGACTGATTGTCATCCACACTGTCCCACATTGACTGACTGTCATCCACAATGTCCCACATTGACTGATTGTCAACCACAATGTCCTACATTGACTGACTGTCATCCACAATGTCCTACATTGACTGATTGTCATCCACAATGTCCTACATTGACTGACTGTCATCCACAATGTCCTACATTGACTGATTGTTATCCACAATGTCCCACATTGACTGTGAGTCATCCACAATGTCCCACATTGACTGACTGTCATCCATAAAGTCATAATTGATTGTCATCCACAATGTCCCACATTGACTGACTGTCATCCACAATGTCCCACATTGACTGATTGTCATCCACAATGTCCCACATTGACTGACTGTCATCCACAATGTCCTACATTGACTGACTGTCATCCATAATGTCCCACATTGACTGACTGTCATCCACACTGTCCCACATTGACTGATTGTCAACCACAATGTCCTACATTGACTGACTGTCATCCACAATGTCCTACATTGACTGACTGTCATCCACAATGTCCCACATTGACTGACTGTCATCCATAAAGTCATTGACTGATTGTCATCCACAATGTCCCACATTGACTGACTGTCATCCACAATGTCCACATTGACTGTGAGTCATCCACAATGTCCCACATTGACTGATTGTCAACCACAATGTCCCACATTGACTGACTGCCTTCCACACTGTCCCACATTGACTGACTGTCATCCACAATGTCCCACATTGACTGATTGTCATCCACAATGTCCCACATTGACTGACTGTCATCCACACTGTCCCACATTGACTGATTGTCAACCACACTGTCCCACATTTACTGATTGTCATCCACAATGTCCCACATTGACTGATTGTCATCCACAATGTCCCACATTGACTGATTGTCAACCACACTGTCCCACATTGACTGACTGTCAACCACAATGTCCCACATTGACTGACTGCCTTCCACACTGTCCCACATTGACTGACTGTCATCCACAATGTCCCACATTGACTGATTGTCAACCACAATGTCCTACATTGACTGACTGTCAACCATAAAGTCATTGACTGATTGTCATCCACAATGTCCCACATTGACTGACTGTCATCCACAATGTTCCACATTGACTGACTGTCATCCACAATGTCCCACATTGACTGATTGTCATCCACACTGTCCCACATTGACTGACTGTCATCCACAATGTCCCACATTGACTGATTGTCAACCACAATGTCCTACATTGACTGACTGTCATCCACAATGTCCTACATTGACTGATTGTCATCCACAATGTCCCACATTGACTGACTGTCATCCACAATGTCCTACATTGACTGATTGTTATCCACAATGTCCCACATTGACTGTGAGTCATCCACAATGTCCCACATTGACTGACTGTCATCCATAAAGTCATAATTGATTGTCATCCACAATGTCCCACATTGACTGACTGTCATCCACAATGTCCCACATTGACTGATTGTCATCCACAATGTCCCACATTGACTGATTGTCAACCACAATGTCCTACATTGACTGACTGTCATCCACAATGTCCTACATTGACTGACTGTCATCCACAATGTCCTACATTGACTGACTGTCATCCATAAAGTCATTGACTGATTGTCATCCACAATGTCCCACATTGACTGACTGTCATCCACAATGTTCCACATTGACTGACTGCCATCCACAATGTCCCACATTGACTGATTGTCATCCACACTGTCCCACATTGACTGACTGTCATCCACAATGTCCCACATTGACTGTGAGTCATCCACAATGTCCCACATTGACTGATTGTCAACCACAATGTCCCACATTGACTGACTGCCTTCCACACTGTCCCACATTGACTGACTGTCATCCACAATGTCCCACATTGACTGATTGTCATCCACAATGTCCCACATTGACTGACTGTCATCCACACTGTCCCACATTGACTGATTGTCAACCACACTGTCCCACATTGACAGACTGTCATCCACAATGTCCCACATTGACTGTGAGTCATCCACAATGTCCCACATTGACAGACTGTCATCCACAATGTCCCACATTGACTGACTGTCATCCACAATGTCCCACATTGACTGACTGTCATCCACAATGTCCCACATTGACTGATTGTCAACCACAATGTCCCACATTGACTGACTGCCTTCCACACTGTCCCACATTGACTGACTGTCACCCACAATGTCCCACATTGACTGACTGCCTTCCACACTGTCCCACAGTGACTGACTGTCATCCACAATGTCCCACATTGACTGATTGTCAACCACAATGTCCCACATTGACTGACTGCCTTCCACACTGTCCCACATTGACTGACTGTCATCCACAATGTCCCACATTGACTGACTGTCATCCACAATGTCCTACATTGACTGATTGTCAACCACAATGTCCTACATTGACTGATTGTCAACCACAATGTCCCACATTGACTGACTGTCATCCACAATGTCCCACATTGACTGATTGTCATCCACAATGTCCCACATTGACTGATTGTCATCCACAATGTCCCACATTGACTGACTGTCATCCACAATGTCCCACATTGACTGACTGTCATCCACAATGTCCCACATTGAATGTGAGTCATCCGTATTGCCCCACATTGAATGTCTTCTCAAAATTTGATAAAATCATGAGACTGTCTTATTGCCTTCTGTCTCCAGTGAAAGCCCTGCAGAAGCTTGGAACAACTTTAAATCCCAAAAGATAAAGTTCAATCATATTCTATATACTACCACTGAAACTGATGCACCTGAAAACAGTGTTTTGTCTGCATTTTATAAAACTAATTCATCAAATATTTGGAGGACACCCTGAGATTGTCTTCATGACACCAGCAGTAGAAACTAACATTTTTAGTCCACTAGTCCTTATAGTGATAACATATAGCAAAACCCTTAAAAATGGCAAATTTCTAACGCTGGACAAATTATTCCTGTTTTCCTTTTATTGCACAGCAATATTCTTACTTCACACTCAGCAATATTCCAGCTATATGACGGCCGCATGTATATAATTGTCTGGACCAGACAATCCAGTGATTGATATTGTGCAACGATCCAGGCCACCAGGGTATGATGATACCCAGTCAATAAAGTCAGAGTGTCCGACCACCCAAATGGTATGTCAACTCGTACAACCAGCATGGTTGCTGGGGAGCAACTGTAACCTGGAATCTCCTCAGAAACAACAACATACCATGTAACATGAAAGTTCTGCTTGCATCCATTTTTGTTACAGGTCATACAGGAGCCGGTGGTTGACTTCGTCTCCCGGCCCTGCTCCTCGCATATATAACATGTCTGAAACAAATACATTCACTTCAAATAACTGTCATCACAAAAATAGTAACTACTGGCAAAATTATCTGTACATTTTATCAAACAGCCTAGGGGTAATACTTCTATATATATTTTAAAATGGTCACATCAAAGCACAACGTGCTATAATCTGTTGAGCAGAGTTGCATCCCTTTGATGTGCCAGCATCCAGTTATCATGGGTTCAAATCCAGTAATGTCCCTGATTATCCTGACACAATCCTTGGTTTGTCAGCACCATACTCAAGCTCGGGAGTTTCACCCAAGTTGGAAGCGTCCAAGATCTGCATCACTTTGAGCTTTCCTGCAACACATTGGTTGTGTTTGTTTCTTGGTTTTTTTGCTGCAGTCAGCAAACATTCAGCTGAAGTCAGCAAACATTCAGCTGCATAACTTCTTGTGGCATGTAACATTTGTTGGTTTGTTTGTTGTTTAATGCCGCACTCAACAATATTCAAGCTATATGACGGTGTAAATAATCAAATCCTGACCATTTATCAGGTACTGGATTGTCTTCAGTGATCATGGTTTCTTTGTTTGTTGTTTAACGCTGCACGCAGCAATAGTCCAGCTATATGACGGTGGTCTGTAACTAATCGAGTCTGGACCAGACAATCCAGTGATTGACATCACGAGCATCAATCCACGCATTAGGGATAAGATGACATGCATCAACCAAGTCAGCGAGCCTGACCACCCGATCCCGTTAGTCGCCCCTTACGACAAGCCTTGTCGCCTTTTACGGCAAGAATGGGTTGCTGAAGACCTATTCTAGCTCAGATCTTTACGGGCCTCATGAAATGATAACAATCATCTTCATCATTTGTCTCCAGTAAAATCACAGCTATGAACAATGCCCCATGCCATCAGCTAGGATGATGCACAATCAAGTCATCGAGTCAGACCAGTGAATCCACCTCCTACTAGCAATAGGTTGCTTCAGACCCAAGCCTACATCCCCATGAAGTTATTTTTTTTAAAAACTATGAAAACTTCCAACATGTGCTAATGATTAAGAAATCAAGGTCCAACCCGACTTACTTTATTGAATCTCTCCGGGGGAACATTCTTCAATACTATTGGCTCCATTGTCTGCACATTGGCAAACCATGCCTCCGGGATAAACAATGCACACACTACATGACACCAGCCTGAAACAGAAGTTACCCATACAGTCACTCATACAGTTACTCTTCATCAGGGTGGACAATCTACACACACATTGGGGTGAGTTGCAACCTCTTGTAGGATAGAAAATCTAGAGGAACTTGCTGTTTTCGCCTAAAAACTATGTAACAAACGTTATATTTGTGATAACACTTTCTTAGTCAAGTACAGATTCTAATAGTCAGAGCTCCAGATAAGCTGCGTATCTGCGTGAAATACGAAATGCAGAAATACACAGTAAAATATAATCTAAGCGTATCAAATACGCAACGAACATTACAGATACACTACAAAAATCAAACTTGTGCGTATTATCAAAATATTGTGAAGTAACCCTGCGTATTCGATTAGCGAATCAGCAACTTATTTTGAAATTATAAACGGGAATTCCGTCAACCTTGCCAACAGTTACATCATGACCATTTGCCATCACACTTTCTTGTGGAAGTATCGTGGTATTTGTGAGTCCTATAAAGCTCTCGAACCCACACGACACCAGTTTGTAGGGACTAGATGAATAGTGTTTTTAAATATTTAACTTAAATACCCACATGTGTAGAAACTAGTGGGTAACAGAAATTTGAATACGCAGATAAAATTACTGATACCCAATGATTTTAAAATGCATGGGTAAAATACCCACCACACCAAAAGCTTATCTGGAGCTCTGAATAGTAGTACTTCCTTGGGAGGAGTCCCATCCGGGTCTCGTACCCCCACTGCCAGAGAGGGGCACCTGATCGCCAGCACACAAAGTCAGCGATCTAACCCGCTTAGCCAATGAGGCTTCCACAAAATGAAAGTCTGACAACTGGTAGTCTAGATCATGTACCCCTCTCAACCCAAGAAAGTACTAGTATGTGTACTTTACTAAGAAAGTTTTATCCCAAAAATAACATTAATTACATTTGACAACTTTCCAAATGACTTTGTATGTTCATCCTAAAATCTAGTTGAATTACATTAACCACCACTTCAAATTAAGCTGTGGAGCTGCTGGACATGACCAATGGTGTTAACCCCTGACTTTTTAACACTACCAGTACTGGGCACCTGCGTGGTATGGAATACCTAAGCCTTGACTTCTCCTCACCATAACATCTGCAGTGTAGGAAAATAAATATGGATACATGTTCCTTGTGGCTTTTTGTTAGAAGGGTGACAATTCACCGAAACATCGCACATTTACACCTGATGATATGGTACATTATACAGTTACCATGGTTACCTGTACCAATTCATGTTCTTATTCCGTACCAATTTTCAAGGAGAATATTTTCAAAATTTGTCAATAAGCCAGCATGCTATCTATTCCAGGTTTACCTAATTACCTATCGTGAAGCAAATGCTAGGGGCTTCTTTTATAATTCTAAAGGAACTAGCCTGCATTAACCAATGATGCAAGTTAAGCACAAACTGGTACCTATCACAACGTCATGTCAGCTGGGTCACTAGGAATGTGGGGGAGTAATGCAAAAAGAGCTTAAATTTAGAATTGGGATATGTATCAATATCTGAAGTAAGATGCCATGATAGCTCAGTTTTTGTCATCGTATTTTGAATATATTGTCCCCCCGACATTAGGGTCATGACAAGCGCTCGTTAACTTCCTCTTTCCTGATATAAATCACCATCCTCAACGGGTGACTCATCAAAAAGGTCAGTACGACCCAGTAATTGCATGACATGTTCATCAACACTTGTTTCATGACACGGAAACGTATGGAACAAGGCTCGCCTACTTCACGAAGCACCACCACCATCACCACAGAGGATCGTTCAAACTGATCAATTTCATCGATGACTGTTGGTTCATTTTTTCAATAGGAATCAATTATGAAACCCTTGATTGAATGTTTTTAAATCATATTAGTTCATCTTAATTCTATTTCTGGTGTAACACAATAATGTATCGTGTTGTTGCAAGGTTTCCGGATGTCCCATTTCAGAGCTCCAGAAAACTTATTTAGCAACTGAGTTTTTACTCAAAGGTTCCTATTTTAATTGGGTTATTACATTTTAATTGGGTAACCAATATTTTTTCACTCATCTTTTCATCACTCTATTTGGTTTTCCCCCAAATGAGCTAACATTTTGAGATTTATAAGAAAAGAAAATAATATTTTAGATGTATATACCCAGTAAGGGTTCAAACTAAATGCTTGACTCGGAAAGTAATTTAGCTCGTAATTGTGTTTCAGAAATTAGCTCTGTTGTTCAAATGCTGAAAAAGCATCATTGGGTTTTTACGCATGCTGTTTTTGATACATTTGAGTTTTTCATTTAATGTATGCGTTTCTGTACGCAAGTTAATTGAAAGTAATTGGGTTCTGAATATTTTTGGAGGGTATTTTACGCAAATACGCAGCTTATCTGTAGCTCTGCATTTGTTAATGAACTGGGCTCATCTATTCAATGTTATTTATAATAGGAGCAGTGTTCGAAAAGTAAGCAATTAAGTAAAGAGTCCTAGTCATAACCCTCAGATTAAAATACACCTTCCCGAGGCAAGGGAGTTAACTGACTGTAAAAAGTCCGTTTTCACCCTTGCTGAACTAGTCTGTAATTTCTAGGCTATATACGACAGTCTGTAAATAATCAAGTCTGGTCCAGACAATCCAGTGATTGACATTACGAGCATAGATCTATGCAATTCGGATACGATGATATGCATCAACAAAGTCAGCAAGGCTCGATCCCTTTGTCACCTCTTACGACAAGCATTGTCGCCTTTTACGGCAAACATGGGTTGCTGAAGACCCATTCACCCCGGATCTTAAGTCCTACTTTGTCATTACACCTCATTACGGCCATCACCTACCTTGAGTATCTGTTCGCTTTAGAGCACCATCCTTTTGAGGGCACAACTCACATCTCTGAAAACAGATGTCACCTCTCTGTAAAAAGTCAGTTTGCAATTAGGACATGAATAATGATGATCATATCATTGGGGCCAAATCAGGCTTTATGTTAACACATACATAACTTAGGGTTATAATGCTACACAACGTCATGATGTCTTGATGATAAGACTGCATCACAATTCATGAAAACTTGGCAACCATACTAGGGGACATTGTCCGTCACCAAAAGGAATAAGTGAGTTTAACATTGTTTTGAACAATATTTCAGTTATACGTCAATGTTGCAGCTTGATGTGGGTGGAACGCCTGAAGTAATACAGGTCTAGATGTTTGCCACTGTGGTGAAACCAACAAACACGGGTATGGTGCTGACAAAACTTCTTTCTCTCTTTCTTTGTTTGTTGTTTAACACAGCACTCAGCAATATTCTCGCTATATGACATGTATGATGGTGGTCGGTAAATAATTGAGTCTGGACCAGACAATCCAGTCTTTGACATCATGAGCATCGATCAGCGCAATTGAGATATGATGACATGCATCAACCAAGCCAGCGAGTCTGACCACCCGATTCCGTTAGTCGCCTCTTACGACAAGCATAGCCGCATTTTATGGCATGCATTGGTTGCTGAAGACCTATTCTACCACGGATCTTCACGGGTCTAAAAACAGAACCACTGAAGGCTTCTGGTATCCTTATGGGATGGAACTCTGCACAATAAATTGCGGTCCTAAGAAGAACGAGCCACCCATGATTCAACAAAGGGAATGTATAGAATGAAAGAATGTACCAAGACAATCAAAAACATATTCAGAAGATATCAGCTCATTAAATGAAACAATGTACCGAGACTCCTTGTAAGTACAAGAAGAAAATAGTATTTCACAACACTAGGGGTTTTTTACATCCACCTCACACACTGCTGCATGTAACATACACTGTATTGTAATGCACTGAATTTAAGGTGAATAGTTACACTCCTAAATGACACAAACATATATGGCACAGGATAGTTTTAAGAAATATTTGGTCAAGGTGCAGAATATAAAATGTGTCAATATAAAAAGGTAATTACAACTTTTCTTCAATCAGAATCAATAATAAACAATGACAAAATAAATACTAATACTATAGAATGACATGACTCCAATCACAGGCCACAGAACACATGCATAAGCTTTAGCTTTCATTAAGTGTCATTATTATTTCTTTAACATTTTTCCATTTCGAACATGATGAAAGAGTTACCTCGCATGCTACAACGGATGTAAGGGAGGTAAATCCGTCGTGTCCTTCAAATTAAACATTTTTAAGTTAATTCATTCAATAATCTAAATGGATTGAAATATGCTTCAGCAGAAGTTTGAATAGTTATACCAAGGACATGTTCTGGTGTTTATCAGGTCGCATGCAAGTCGCAAACATACAAAAACAGCATTATAACGGGATCTGATTGTAAACAAACATTCAAAATGGCCGCTGATACTAACCACTCGTGCCTGTCTCTCTTGACTTTCGCATTTCCGACAATACCAAGGCCCCGTGGGGACTTGTACAATACCATAACAAGCTGAAACGAAAAGAGTTACAATTTGACAGTCGAAAATAAAAAATGAATAGTGTCATTTTCTTAAGTTTTGATGTCAGATCGCATAATATTTTGATACAAACCTTGGTGAACGGCCACATTGCAACCATGGCCATCGCAGTACACGAGGGGATTTTCGGCCCAGCCTCTCTCATCCGAGCAAACACAGCAGCCACCTACCATCTCTTTCATGTTGGGCAACTTTATACTTGCGTGCAAAATTTCAAGATCAGTTTTCCGACCGTAAACATCATTGTGGGCTGAATGTGGAGGATCTATCCCTCCATTTTCAGCCCGCACTTGCCGACATAGGTCATAGCGCATGCGCTCTTCTACGGTGCAGATGAAATAATAACCCATTGAAATAATGACCGCATTTCCGTGGACATCTTCCGACCAGGACATATTTACATGTGAAAATCTTTTAATATGCATGATTACTTCATTTTCTTTCTAAATTCAATTATTTGAACAATAAAAACACCGAAGAGATCTGGTGAATATTATCTCGTCATATTTCCCGTTTTCCATAAAACCTGTCAAAACAAAATTTGTCAGCAAACACTGCTTCTTTTAAACACACTTTATGGTGACAGAAATACTACTTTTAACTACACATAATTTGTCAAAATAAGGGAATTCAATAATAATATCATACGAATTAAGTACAGATCGTAGACGTCTACGACATCGGTGAAACTACGACAGGTAGACCTTTATTAATTTAAATGTCGGGAGAAAATCTACGCGAAATATTGAATATGCATTTTATTGAAATTTCCTACTCAGTGTTTCCCATGTTATGTAACGCCCCACCCAGCTTACATCTCGGCAGTCTGATAGCATGAGCAAGCAACATTGTGGCACACTAGTACTGTGACCACCCGATCCTCATTATACGACTGTTACGATATGCATTAGCTGCTAGGTATCCCCAAGGTGCCACACCAGAGAAAGTGTCCTCAGTGATCCAATTCAGTCACGACGATTTTCGGTCGGTTTAGTAAATATTTAATAAAAATTCTTGAAAAATGTTGAAAAAAAGAAATTGTTCTGAAGTGTTCTTCTTTTAAGAAATCAGTCTCATCTCAGATCTGGTTTTGTAGCTGTAGCTGAAAATTTACCAAGTATCGAAACAAAATCCAAAACTGATAAACATGTAATACATGCATTACTTCGGCCTTTCCTCAGGTCTTCAGCAACCCATGCTTGCCATTAATTGTGACCTTGCTTGTCGTAAGAGGCGACTAACGGGATCAGGTGGTCAGGCTCGCTCACTTGGTTGATGCATGTCAACCGCCTCCATGGTCTTGGTAGAGCGTCCACCCGGAGAGCGGAAGGTCCGGGGTTCGATCCCGGGCCGCGTCATACCAAAAGACGATAAAAGATGGTACTTGTTGTTACCCTGTCTGGCGCTCGGCATTAAGGGGCTTAAAACAAGGACTGATCGGCTCGGAGTCAGTATACTGTGTCTGAGTGGGGTATTCATGTTAAACTGAGGCATGGTATCTCAGTGAGCTAGCACTATAAATCGGCATTAGTCCGGACTAGTACAAGCAGCCACACACACGTGCATATAAGTGCAATAATCTTGGACGCGACACCTCACCTGATGCGTGTCATCGTATCCCAATTGCGTGGTTTGAAGCTCATGATATCAATCACTGGATTTTCTGGTCCAGACTCGACTATTTACAGACCGCCGTCATATAGCTGGAAAATTGCTGAGTGCGGTGTTAAACAACAAACAAACAACAAAGTCCGCTGAGAAACGGATCAAAAGAAAAGTTTTGCTTATTGAAGTGTCCACATTTACGACCTCTTCAATGCAGAAATATCTGTTCAAAGCTGTGTTAAACTCACGCACCCAACACATACAGTACACATTTTGATAGTAAGCTTGACCATAGGAAATTATTATTATGTAAAACTGAAATATACTAGCACAACAAACGAAGTATTTCAGTGAAGTGACTTTCAGGCGTTGTCGGATCCTTTTCTATGGGGCGTTAATTGAGCAAACACCGGTATGACAGGGTTTGTTGTCATATTCACCATCTGTTCCACGCGTTGGCGCAAGCTCGTATCACATTTTAAGCCAAATGAAATAAATTATTCACTTATTATTTGAAATATCCGTGGCAACACTTCATGCTTTCTTTATAAGGACTGATCTAACTCCATGTTGAAATATTCTATATTGTGGATTACTAATTCAGCAGTAATTGTGATATAAATTTTTAAGAAATTATTTTTAATTATCATTTACAATTTGATCTAAAAACTGTAAGTTTTATCATGTACGAAAATGTCACATATGGCATTGTTTGCGTTTTATGTACTTGTACATTTGTATCTATGTTCCACAAAGTATACACGACTGCATAATCGGTTGTTCATGCGTGTGCATGATGGTGTGTGCATGTGCGTGTATGTATAAGTGCAGGCATGCATAATATGCACACACAAGGATCTGTATGTGTGGTATGTATAAGTAGGCAGTGTGCACGCATACATGCTTATTAATATGTATTTTTGTGGGGTTATTTATGTGTCGGAGGAATGTAATATGCGTGCACAGCTATGGTTTTGGTGTGATATAGTTTCAATGTGTATGCTAATGTGATCGTATTGTATTTACTTCCATCTGTGCTCTTTATTCTAGTGTATATCATTGCACAGGATGTTGAACTTAATGACTGTACATGTGTGTCCCAAAGACAACAACTCTCAGATGGAAGTGTTGTTAAATTTGTACAAATATGTTGTTCTGTTTCATCACTTAACTGTACGTACACATGTTTTGTTAAGGGCCCCGGTTATAACCTGATTATCTGTTTTATCGTTGAACAATATATCTCAATAGTCACTTTGTCACGCTTCCGTTTAAACTGTTTAAGATGAAAGATTGCATACCTCCCCCTCTCCCTCGCTGCCCCTCCTTCCACACACACACACACACACGCACACGCGCACACACACACACACACACACACACACACACACACACACACACACACACACACACACGCACGCACGCACGCACGCACGCACGCACACACACACACACACACACACACACACACACACACACAGACACACACACACACACACACACACACACACACACACACACACACACAGACACACACACACACACACACACTCTCTCTCTCTCTCTCTCTCCCTCTCTCTCTCTCCTGTGTGTTTGTCTCTCTCTTAGGGCTGGGGCGAGTCTATATTTACTACCCGGGTACCCGACCCCTATTACCCGACCCTTCCCGGGTACCCATTGCAAGTCTCAAGAGAAGGGAACAAAATGTCTGATTGGTAATTGTTTTACCGCAGTCGTGGCTAAAGCTATTTAGATACATGTATCAAACAATCAGATCATGCATTCACTGAAGTTGACTGAAACTTTATCCTTACTCAAACATATACAAGTCAAAAGGAATGTGTGCATCGCCAGAAAGAAATTCGAACATTAGCGACTTGTAGAGTAACCACTGAGGGATATAGTGAGTTTTTGTCATTAAACAATATATCACGTGACTAACCAAGGGTCCGGGTAGTCCCGTGGGTACCCGGGACCTACTCAGGACCTACCCGACCCGAGTTAACCCGTCCCAGCCCTAGTCTCTCTCTCTCACTCACTCACTCTCTCCTGTCTCACTCGCTTTCTCTCTTTTGTGTGTGTGTGTGTGTGTGTGTGTGTGTCTCGCTCTCTCCTCTGTGTCTCTCTCTCTCCCCTCTCTTTCCCTTTCTGTCTCCGCTCTCTCTTTCTCTCCTGTCTCACTCTCTTTCTCTGTCTCTCCCCTCTTTCTCTGCGTGTCTCTCTCTCTCTTTCTCTCACGTCTCTCTCTCTTTCTCCTGCCTCTCTCTCCACTCTCCCTTATCCTGTCTCTCCCCTATTTCTCTGCGTGTCTCCCTCTCTCTTTCCCCCTCTCCCTCTCCCTCTCATTGTAAGAATTGTGGACTCTATTTCCTTGCCCCATCCAAACCCGAACATATGTGTAAGGTCAGCGAATGAACTTAAATTTGCGAAGGTGAACTGCGCCTGTCATGCAATGCGTCACGTGATCAGTTCGTAAATGTGACCACATAAATACTAACATCCAGTGTGCAGCATCACAGACACTGATACCCAACTGACATTTAACTCCCTGCGTAAAACCAAGTTAACTCCTCAAGTGAGTGAAGGGTGTTTGACGTCACTGTGAGTGAGTGAGTTGGGTTTAACGCCGGTTTAGACATTGTTCCAGCTATCTGACGGCGTGTCAGCTTAATGTGGGAGAAAATCCTGAAGTGATGCAGGTCTCAGACGTTACCATTTTTGTGAATCCCACAAACATTGGTATGGTGCTGACAAACCTAGAAACATAATCGGGGTGATCCGGGATTCGAACCCACAATGACAGATTTCTGGCACGCCTTGGGACGCGACTCTGTATAACTAATTACAGCGCCCCAGGCGACTGGACCACCCGTGTCAGGGGAGACAACCACCGACCTACCGTACCCCAGGCTGTCGCTATGTCCTCTATATCCACCGAAACGGTCTCCATTAATAGAACTGAGACATTTTAGAGATACATAGAAGCCACACTTTAAAATGATTCCTAATGGTACGCAGGATGCGAAGCACGTGATCATTGTCATTGTATCCTTGCGTCCTGTGAGACAGAACTAATTCATTCTGTGAGTGAGTGAGAATGGTTTTACGCCGCTTTTAGCAATATTCCAGCAATATCACGGCACGACACCAGAAATGGGCTTCACATTTTGTACCCATGTGGGGAATCGAACCCGGGTCTTCGGCGTGACGAGCGAACGCTTTAACCACTAGGCTACCCGATCGCCCCTATTCATTCTGTGCATATACTAATAAGTAGTACCTAATACCTAAACATAATTATTCTGATGCGACCGTTCCTGTGGAAATCTTTAAAAAAAACACGACAAAAATATAAGATAAAGGTATTTTGTCATTGATGGGTAAAATGAGTGAATAAGTGAGAATGGTTTTACGTCTCATTTAGCAATAATTCAGCAATATCACGGCACGACACCAGAAATGGGCTTCACATTTGTACCCATGTGGGGAATCGAATCCGGGTCTTCGGCGTGACGAGCGAACGCTCTAACCACTAGGCTACCCGATCGCCCCTATTCATTCTGTGCATATACTAATAAGTAGTACCTAATACCTAAACATAATTATTCTGATGCGACCGTTCGTGTGGAAATCTTTAAAAAAACACGACAAAAATATAAGATAAAGGTATTTTGTCATTGATGGGTAAAAGTGAGTGAATGAGTAAGAATGGTTTTACGTCTCATTTAGCAATAATCCAGCAATATCACGGCACGACACCAGAAATGGGCTTCACATTCTGACCCATGTGGGGAATCGACCCCGGGTCTTCGGCGTGACGAGCGAACGCTTTAACCACTGTGCTACCCAACGCCCCTGATGGGTAAAACGATTATAACTGCACGACCGTGATACATTGGCGACCGGATGGTCCAGCGGATAAGGCGTTCACTTTTTGTGAAGGTGATGCACGTGCCTTGTGTCTCAGTGCCGGCAGGGTGCTTCCGAATTGTCTCCTTTTGGAAATTTGTTGAAACTTAATCTAAAATTGGAAGCGCTTCTTCCTATAGGTTGTAGAGCGTTATACAAGATGGATCGTCACATCGTCTTCCTGTAGGTTGTAGAGCGTTATACAAGATGGATCGTCACATCGTCTTCCTGTAGGATGTAGAGCGTTATACAAGATGGATCGTCACATCGTCTTCCTGTAGGTTGTAGAGCGTTATACAAGATGGATCGTCACATCGTCTTCCTGTAGGTTGTAGTGTTATACAAGATGGATCGTCACATCGTCTTCCTGTAGGTTGTAGAGCGTTATACAAGATGGATCGTCACATCGTCTTCCTGTAGGTTGTAGAGCGTTATACAAGATGGATCGTCACATCGTCTTCCTGTAGGTTGTAGAGCGTTATACAAGATGGACCGTCACATCGTCTTCCTGTAGGTTGTAGAGCGTTATACAAGATGGATCGTCACATCGTCTTCCTGTAGGTTGTAGAGCGTTATACAAGATGGACCGTCACACCGTCTTCCTGTAGGTTGTAGAGCGTTATACAAGATGGATCGTCACATCGTCTTCCTGTAGGTTGTAGAGCGTTATACAAGATGGACCGTCACATCGTCTTCCTGTAGGTTGTAGAGCGTTATACAAGATGGATCGTCACATCGTCTTCCTGTAGGTTGTAGAGCGTTATACAAGATGGACCGTCACATCGTCTTCCTGTAGGTTGTAGAGCGTTATACAAGATGGATCGTCACATCGTCTTCCTGTAGGTTGTAGAGCGTTATACAAGATGGATCGTCACATCGTCTTCCTGTAGGTTGTAGAGTGTTATACAAGCCACACGGATCGTCACAGCTTTTTCAACAAACATATTTCACCGTGAATTTTTATTAACTGAAACAAACGACTTGCCATATTCAAACATCTCCAGCTCTTCATATCAACCAACCAGTTGCCTATTCACCACCAACATGTACCTCTTAGTAACCACAACACATACACAGTCAACAGAGTCAGAACAGTTAGAGTGAGTGAGTAAGTTGGGTTTAACGCCGCTTTTAACAGTATTCCAGTTATATCACGATGTGTCAGCTTAATGTGGGAGGAAATGATACAGGTCTCAGACGTTAACCACTTCGGTGAAACCCACGAGCACGGGTAGGGTGCTGACAAACCTAGAAACAATTCGAAGGATTCGAACCCACAATCATAACTTTCTGGCGTGCCCAACTGACGCAACTCTGCACAGCGAATTGCGGCGCCTTAGACGACTGGGCCACCCGTGCCCCTCAGAACATTAAGAAACAGTGACACCTAGCTTGTCGCTTGAGAAGTAAATGCAGTTCACATGACTACTGACTCGTCTGTGAGTACCCAGCCTTTTCTTTTCCGTGTTTGTTGTTTAACGCCGCACTCAGCAATATTCCAGCTATATGACGGTCTTCTGTAAAATAATCGAGTCTGGACCAGACAATCCAGTGATTGATATCATGAACATCGATCTACGCAATCGGGATACGACGACATGCATCAACCAAGTCAGCGAGCCTGACCACCCGATCCCGTTAGTCGCCTCTTACGACAGGCATAGTCGCCTTTTACGGCAAGCATAGTCATGGGTTGCTGAAGACCTATTCAACCCTGGATCTTCACGGGTCGTATATCCAGTCACCACCGTCGAGCTCACTGACGTCAGCAGCAAGGCTAGCTAGGTGAGTGTGTTTGTTGTTTAACACGGCATTCTGCAATATTTCAGCCATATAACGGAGGCCTCGAGACAGTCTAGTCTGGACCATATAAATGGACAACCCAGGGGTTGATATTATGAGCACCGCCCACGCCGTCGTGGCACGACGACACGTAATGACACCAATCCTGACCATGCACTCAAGCCAGAAATAGCTTCATACGGTAGGCATTAGACTAACACTAGGTCTATGAAAACATTTCTTAAAATAATTGTATTTTTCTTTATTCAAAATAACCTTTCCTCTGTTTTGTGGAATCAAGGACACTACTTTAATTTGATCTAGATATTCCTAGGCTTTTAGAAAGTATGTATATACATTGTATATATATATATATTCCACAGTCATGGCTCAGGACCAGATAAACATTGGTTGGTGAGGATCTATCATTCAAACCCTAAAAAAAACAATGGGTAACGGTATATAGTGTGTTTGTTCACAGGGTTATACTATTTGCAGCTTAACCAACATTTAAGGGTTCATTCCTGTCTATCGTATTGACCAGCATCGCCCGGAGTCACTCGGAGTGCCCGACGTCTGTCTCCAACAGGGCAACATGTTAATTATATATATAATCAAGAGACAGGACTTAAAGCATTTAATTGGTATTCAAGTACAACGCTACCTCCTTCATTAACTATTGTTGGTTTAGTGGTTAAAGCGTTTGCTCGTCAGACCGAAGACCCGGGTTCGATTCCCCTCATGCGCGAAGCCCATTTCTAGGGTCATGCCGTTATACTGCTGGAATATTGCTGAAAGCGGTGTAAAACCCACCTCACTCATTCGCAAACTGAATAAGGTTTGAAACGTGCAGTGAAGGACTCCAGCTGTTGTTTGTTGTGAATGCCGACTACTACCCGGAGTTGGGTTTAACCTCGCTGTGTGCAGTGTCGCCGTGGCATCTCGATGGGCTACCATGATGCTGCAAGCAAGCCAAGAGTGATGCCAGTAGAGGACACTGACCACCATTAGAAAGGTAATCTGGGCGAATACGTGTTAAGTAGTTCGTGTTTGCAAAATCTTAAAACATATATACAAAAGTAACAAAAAACTATAAGGGTCACGAAAATTCTGTATCATACATATGGATATGATTATGTATTGAATCAACTTTAAAAAACATATTCTTTAAGACTACGAGACCCCCCTGTTGGAAGCGAAAGAATACACGCTCGTCAAGTAACAAAAATGGCGCTTTGCGAAACATTGAGTTTCGATTGACGAGTCAAATGAGAAATTTACAATTTGTAAAGAAAATGTTTCAAGAAAATAAACGGCATGAAGCGATATTAACTCCATAAATGGCCATCTGTCATTATTTTGCCTTGTCAATGTGGAACTAACTTAAAAAGGAAGTCAACGGTTTGTGTACGGGCTAGACACTGTGAGGAGACAATGTGAGGGGAGGTAACTCTTGTATGACAAAAGTTTCGTCAAAGTCTTAAGTTCACTGCAATGAAAATATCACTTTTTCACTTCGAAGAAATCAGCCTTTCACACTGAAGTATGTAATATATCAGGTTTCTAGAGGTTTACAGATAAAATATCACATATGTGATATCTCCCTAGCTTGTTGGGGGCGTGGTTAAATCCGGACTGGCGATAGGTTGTTGCATGAATCCCAGCTATTTTGGGGTTGAATATGCTGCTGACTGACGTTTATATTCAACAAATATGCACATTACACTTATAAATTATGCGAAATTTGCACATTTATTCCAACCACTTAAGTGCAACTTTACATAAACCACGCCCACTTCTGTAGGTCCCCGCTATGACCCTGTTGAATGAAAGATATACGTCGTGATTGACAGGGCCCTGGCTGTCTGATTGGTTATTGAGAGCAAATAGGGTGGGGCTATGCAAGAAGTTAAAATTTTCATAATAGTTGTTCCATATGATTGTTTCATCCTTGACAATCAGTGTAACACGTGACTTGATGAAGTCTGTTCTCTCATATAACAACTTCTTCAAGGGGTTTGGAGACTTATCACTACCGTGGATTGAGAAAGAAGTCCCCAAACCTTGCGCCTCACAATCATTCTCTTGTGTGGTGCCATCGCCGGCTGAAACAGGATAAATCAGTGTTATAAAAGACAAAAAGTAAAATTTTCATCCGATAAATATGCAGTAATGGATATCAATCTTAATTAAATAATTAAAGTTCATTAAACAAATGAATTGACTTACACCCTCCATCGTTAGATTTGGAATCGCCGACGTTGAAAACCCAACCACTGGGCGTGTCAAACCACATGTCAATCTTGATCTTTTCGTGGCGCTGATTGGATGACGGCTGACGGAAGTCTAAACGGACCAATCCCTGACGACCACACAAAGACGACGACTCCTCTGAGGGCGGATGAAGCCATATGATGTCGCTATGGTTACCCTTGACCCTCCCGGAGTCTAGATTAGCGAAGACATCATAGGATTCTGTAAACAAAACATCATAAACTTGTATTAAAATCAAAGCAGAGCGTTGTGGTGGGGTAGCCTAGTGGCAAATGCGTTTGCTCTTCACACAGAATGCCCGGGTTCGATTCTCCACACAGTGAAGAATCATGAAACCCAATTCCGGTGTCCCCTGTCGTAATACCTTTGGATTATTGCTTGAAGCCTCATAAACACTCACTCACTCACTCACTCACTCACTCACTCACTCACTCACTCACTCTCATACCAGGTCAAATTATTCGAAAAATGAAACGTTTCAACACAATTATATTATAACGGTAACGCTATATTTCAGGGCATTATCATTTGCAGACGTCCGAGGTCTTCCATTAATTGCCCGATAAAGGAAGGCAGTAGCTAAACATGGATGGAATTTGTTATCAAATAAAAGGAAACACCATTATTGGTTTTGGAACATTTACTGCAATCAACACAAATGTCACTGACCCATTTTTACAAATTTGATAATTCTATCCATTTTAGCTATACTGATGGTGTGAATCTAGGAGGGTCACAGTTGGTGTTGACTGTGGAGCCTTAACACTATTTGATGGTGTGAATCTAGGAAGGCCACAGCTGATGTTGACTGTAGAGCCTTAACACTATTTGATTGGGTGAATCTAGGCCCGCCACAGCTGATGTTGACTGTAGAGCCTTAACACTATTTGATGGTGTGAATCTAGGAAGGCCACAGTTGATGTTGACTGTGGAGCCTTAACACTATTTGATGATGTGAATCTAGGATGGCCACAGCTGATGTTGACTGTAGAGCCTTAACACTATTTGATTGAGTGAATCTAGGAAGGCCACAGTTGATGTTGACTGTGGAGCCTTAACACTATTTGGTGGTGTGAATCTAGGATGGCCACAGCTGATGTTAACTGTGAAGCCTTAACACTATTTGATGGTGTGAATCTAGGATGGCCACAGCTGATGTTAACTGTGGAGCCTTAACACTATTTGATGGTGTGAATCTAGGCCCGCCACAGCTGATGTTGACTGTGGAGCCTTAACACTATTTGATTGTGTGAATCTAGGCCCGCCACAGCTGATGTTGACTGTAGAGCCTTAACACTATTTGATGGTGTGAATCTAGGAAGGCCACAGTTGATGTTGACTGTAGAGCCTTAACACTATTTGGTGGTGTGAATCTAGGAACGCCACAGCTGATGTGGAAAGTGAAGCTATGACAAATTTGACAGTGAGAATCTGGGAAGGACAAGGTTGATACTGACGGTAGATCCTTCACAATATTTGGCAGTGAGAATCTATAGGATGCCAGCGATTTCTTCAGGTTTAATGAAACATTTAAAGTAGTCAAAGTCGACGAACAACATCAATATTTGTGTCGTCATAATGTCATATGTAAAACCTTAACACACATTCGGTAAAATATTGCTGACTGTGGCTTTAAACAACATTCATTGGCTCAGCCGCCTGCCATCAAAACGGTATTGCTAAATTGAATTTGTTTCAAGCGAACGTTAATGAGAACCACCCAACCTCTCTGATGTACAGCTCCCTTCTCATCAGATAACAGCACCGTAGAGAGGGAGAAACATAACCGACTGAGTTTGTATGCAGACCCACATCTGAAACACTCTTTGTTACATAACATACACACATGTGGCGTGTTTCCCTCTCCGGGTGTAAATATTTCCTGCCTGTCGCTACTCAAGGTTAGGAATACGTCAAACTGACCACGTGTTGCCGGAATGGGTTTCCACAATTAGACGCCCCGCCCTTGCGATTGATGGGGGACACGCGACCGTTTATCAGGTCAACACGTCCATTGATAGGCTTGTCGGGTCGCACAAGGTCAAGGTGTATTCGTCTAGCTGATACCAGGTGCTTTAAAAAGTGATTTAGTTCTAGATAACGCCACATTCAATAATATTCCGTCTATGGTCGGTTGTCACATGATAAATATAAACATGGATATATAATACGCTGGATAATCGAGGGTGACACCATGATGATGTCCTACGTCTTCCCTTGCTGGGTAACACATGAACGTGACATCGGTGAGAGAGACTGAAGAGAGAATGTAGAAGGACTGTAGGGAGAATGTAGAGAGAATGTAGTTTTACGCAGTCAACCCGTAGATAGCCACGGCGAGACAAACAAGTGGTTGACAGCATGAACATCATTCTACAACGTCGGGGTACAGCGTCACGCCAGGGTACCACCACCTGATCATCAATAACAGAATACAATTACGACAAGCATGGGATCGTTATGTGTGGTGTGTGTGTGGGTTTTGTGTGTGTGTCGTGTCGTGTGTGATATGTGTGTGAGTATGTGGTGTGTGATATTCGTGTGTGTGTAGTGTGCGTGTGTGTGTGTGTAGTGTGCGTGTGTGTATGTAGTGTGATGTGTATATGTGTGGTGTGTGATATGTGTGTGAGTATGTGGTGTGTGATATGCGCGTGTGTGTGTAGTGCGCGCGTGTGTAGTGTGTGTATGTAGTGTGATGTGTGTATATGTATGGTGTGTAGTGTGGTGTGGTGTGTGATATGTGTGTGAGTATGTGGTGTGTGATATGCGTGTGTGTGTGGCGTGCGTGTGTGTGTGTACTGTGCGTGTGTGTAGTGTGTGTATGTAGTGTGATGTGTGTATATGTGTGTAGTGTGATATGTGTGTGAGTATGTGGTGTGTGATATGCGTGTGTGTTGTATGTGTAGTGTGTGTGGGATGAGGGTAGTGGTCCAAACCAAACAGTCCTTGTTTTATCCCCTCATGCCGAGCACTAGGCTGAATTGCATGTAACATAATTCCTTTACCACATAAATGGCGTCTTTATCGCTTCTCCGATGTTCCATTAGAAGGTTAATGAGGTGGAAACGTTCTGCTACACATGTTGACGCCTATTGCAAACGAACACTGTTCCTTGGCTGAGAAAAGCTGTCACTGCTAACACAGGACCACCTGACGTCCAAACCAAAGGGAATGTCACTGTAGAGTGGCTGCATTGTATGGATTCCGGGTAGTCGAGGTGTTCAAGTGTTCGCTCGTCATGTCGTAAGCCCGGGTTCAAATACCAACGTGTTTATGTGTGTGAAAAATCTTTGTGATGTCATCCACCGTCACATGGCTGCACCTTAGGTAAAAGTGACCATTCTCAATCAGTAATAATAGCGTTCTTTCAGAAATACACCAGATCTTGTTTCCTCGAAGTTCAAGGAAGTAAATCCATTTTATATAATTGTTACGATAATTAAGGCATGTGCTTTATGTTTTGCACAACTAATATGAGAGAGAGAGAGGGAGAGAGGGAGAGAGAGAGAGTGAGAGAGAGAGAGAGAGAGAGTGAGAGAGAGAGTGAGAGAGAGGGAGGGAGAGAGAGAGAGGGAGAGAGGGAGGGACAGAGAGAGGGGGAGAGAGAGAGGGGGAGAGAGAGAGAGGGAGAGAGAGAGAGGGAGAGAGAGAGAGAGGCAGATAGAGAGGGAGAGAGGGAGAGAGAGAGATGGAGAGAGAGAGAGTGAGAGAGTGAGAGAGAGAGAGAGAGAGAGAAGGGGGGGGGGGGGGGTATGCAATCTTTCATCTTAAACAATTTAAACGGAAGCGTGACAAAGTGGCTATTGAGATATATTGGCAAACGATTAGACATATGTTCAGGCTATAACCGGTAGTGTTAACACAACATTTGTACGTACAGTTAAGTGATAAAACAGAACAAAATATTTGTATAAATTTAACAACACTTGCATATGTGCAGTGTTGTTTTTGTGACAGCCGGCCGAGATATCCGCTTGCCACAGACTCATTGAGAACTGACTATCCATCAGCATCCCCGCGCCTCGGTGGGAACACGGTGCTGGCTCCAGGTCTGATGAGAGCAAATTACACCACTGTGCGCGAACAGTGTCACTCAGACTGCCGGCAGCCAGGTTAATCTTAACGTTAAAACGTGATACAGTGTTGCAGCGTTCGTAACGACGCTCAGACGTATAGCGGCAATCCTCGTTATGGCAGATGGTACTGTTATGAGGGAAACTTAACCGTCCGGATTAAAAAGGTTCATGATTACCAGATCTCGGATAACAAGGAACATCCACAACTTTGATGGTCTTTTAGATATGGTTTTCAAACTATCGGGGTCTAGATTAGGGGATTTCAAAGGGACACTGAAACCAACGAGCATGGGTAAGGCGCTGACAGACCAAGGGTAATAATCGGAACAAATCTGGGAATCGAACCAACATGGTCGGATGCTGGCAAGGTTAAGGGACACAACTCAGCAAAACAAATAATCATCACATTAGAAGACCGGGTTGTCCTATGTGACAGCCATCTTGTACGTGGATTATTGCTGAATTTGGCGTTAAACAAACAAACCCCGTGATTCTGATATTGTGTGCATTGTGACCTTGAGCCGCAGTTTGCAGGGGATAAGGGAAGTAACTCTGCACAATAGACCGAGTTATACATGGTGTAATATTCCACAGCATCCTGCGCATGCGCACGAGGGGATTGAATAGATGGTCAGGCTCGGCGACCTTTATGATTGTCGTCGGTCGTTGCAATAATATCAATCAAAAGTCCGGGTTCGACTGGTTGATGATATCGCCCGTCGTGATTTTGCCAGAATATTGCTTAAAGCGACTTTCTTAACTCACTTTACTGTAGTTATTAAGAAAAACGGTTGAACTGATTTTACATGTATCTTAACTTTACCCCAGAAACGTGAAGATCCGGGGTACTTTAGGTCTTCAGCAACCCATGCTTGCCGTCAAAGGCGACTATGCTTGTCGTAAGAGGCGACTAACGTGATTGGGTGGTCAGGCTCGCTGACTTGGTTGATGCATGTCATCGTATCCCAACTGTGTAGATCGATGCTCATGATGTCAGTCACTGGATTATCTGGTCCAGACTCGACTGCTTACAAGCTGCTGTAATATAGCTGGAATACTGAGTGTTAAACAACAGACAGGCTACACGGGAGTGGCGTAAGTCTACGTTTAAGGGATGCAGCTCACCTTCATCAACGTCATCAGAACCATCTCCAAACATCACTGGTGGCTTAGCTGTTGTAGACGTACTTGAAGACACTATCGTCGACGTTGTCGGCACCTTAGTGGATGTCGATCTTAATTCATCCTCGGTGTGGCCATACGATGCCTTGTGACCTCCATGTGGGTCGCTACCCTCGCCGGTAGATGGCGCCTTCACAACCTGAGAGTCTCTCAGTGCTCTACTAACGTCATTTCTGTCTCCTTGAGGAACACGCGCACCTCCTTCGTCGGGTATACCATTACCACTCTCCACCAAAATATTCAAGACATCCTTGCTCTTACTGACATCCTTTGAGTTCGATCTGTTGAAAATTGCGATCCGCCGGGAGTTGTCTCCCTTCGCATCGTTCACATCCTTGCTGTAATACTTCACAGGGTTGCTACGAGATTCGCACGTGCATGACTTGTATATTTTCTTGAGGTATCTCCGTGTGTGTTTGTTCTTCTTTAATTCTCGGGATTTATACTTGACGAGTTTGTTCTGACCTGCGACCAGTTGAGCTAAAACCCTTCCTTGTTTTTCAACAAGCTTCTTGAGCTCGATGATCTGCAGCTGGGCGGTCTGAAGGGCAGACTTGGACACGACCTCGGACTTAAAGTCATGACCTCGCAGAAGGTCAACGTAATGGACGTCAGAGGTCACAGCGTTTACCGCTGACGCCAACAGGAATATAAACATGTACATGGTGACTAGAAAGGTACTTGATTCATCACACAGAAATTATGTTAACCTCTTTTTCAAATTTCAATTCACATCTATCATCGTTTTGGTCTTCCGAAAAAATGGCCTTTTTGGTATATTAACCTAATTCCTGATCCAAACCCTGATGTATTCGTTATTCGTTAGCTCTCTGATCCATTTGGACGAAAACGCATGTTTAAGTCTTTGTTCACGAAACCACAAGAAACGTATTTTCAGAACGTAGTTATTGTATATCCAGCGAATCACAATCTCTGATTGGGTCCATTTGGCGTTTGGTTGACAGGTCACTATACGACGAACACAAACTGGGCTCCGTCTATTCACATCACATTATCATTTAACGTCGCGCAGTGAGAACCGTGAACCACTTTACCACTTTAAGAAAACGACACGTACTTCCTTTATTGACAAAGAATCTTCACAACGACCCACGATAATCCGTCACAAGCCAACACAACATCCTATGTTCATCTGTAGAGTAATGAAGTGAGTGAATGGCATCGCCTTGATGAAGGTCCAGACTTATCCTCTTTTAGATACAACGCTTGACTGAGTACCACTGCTCACTAACGTTACATCCTCTTCCTCCCCTGATGAAGCATCCCATCTGTTGCGGTACATGTCCCGCGTCAGTGGCTACTTGCAATTATTGAATATTGGCATTATGCGCATGCCCTGACAAATCAGCTTTCTCATACAAATACGGCGAAGAAAGCACAGCTTGGGGTAATCCGCGGTTTAACTGAATGAGGGTGTCAATCTCATAAACACTCATCCTCTGCTGCGCTCAGTTCTGTCAATACAAACATCAAATAGGCCTGTGACCGCAAAGCCCTCTTCCCGAGTTGGGAGCATGAAACCAATTATGTGTACATTACACGCCAAACTCCCGCAAATAAGTATCTACACATGCTCTTAACAAAAACTGTTGACGCTCAATCCTTACTAGTTTGTATGACCTTGTTTTACTCGGCCCGAATAGAACTTGCCGTAACGGTCCGATGTGTTCCGAATGTTTCACCCTTACTTGATGTGTTTTCCAACTGACCTCGCTGTCTGACGTGATTGTATGGCTTCGACAGATGCAGAACGTGTTATGGTAGCTGGCGGGTTATGAATTGGAGAGAAACTTTAGTTTGGAAGTTTTTTGCATAAAGAATTTTAATGTTTATTTCACTGTTAATGTTTCCTGTTAAACAGCGTCATTGTGTATTATATACACACATGCTGTGCAGATAATATTTCAGCCTCTCACTCACTGAATTGGAGCGTGTTCAAAGAGGAGAAAAGAGTGGGAGTGCATCAGCAATATATCACGCCAGTGGTCGCATATGTACAAGAGAGTAAAAGCAATGATTGACAGTGTGAGTAAAGATTCACATCGGACCCGTGATGATCCGGCTTAGAATTTGCCTTCACCAACCCATGCTTGTCTTCCCCTGGGAAGATCCGGGTTAGAATTTGTCTTCACCAACCCATGCGTTGTCTCCTCCCGTGAAGATCCGGGTTCGAATATATCTTAAGCAACCCATGCTTTTCTCCCCCGTGAAGATCCGGGTTAGAATTTGTCTTAACCAACCCAGGCTTGTCTTCGCCCGTGAATATCAGGGCGTCCCCTTCCGACACGGAAACGGACAAAGTTCACCTCGTGCTACGTCAATCTTACATCCATTCTTTAACACAGACGTACGATAGTCCTAGCAATGTTAGCGCTACGTCAAGCTTACACCCATTCTTTAACACAGACGTACGATAGTCCTAGCAATGTTAGCGCTACGTCAAGCTTACACCCATTCTTTAACACAGACGTACGATAGTCCTAGCAATGTTAGCGCTACGTCAAGCTTACACCCATTCGTTAACACAGACGTACGATAGTCCTAGCAATATTAGTGCTACGTCAAGCTTACACCCATTCGTTAACACAGACGCACGATAGTCCTAGCAATATTAGTGCTACGTCAAGCTTACAACCATTCGTTAACACAGACGTACGATAGTCCTAGCAATATAGGTGCTACGTCAAGCTTACACCCATTCGTTAACACAGACGTACGATAGTCCTAGCAATGTTAGCGCTACGCCAATCTTACACCCATTCTTTAACACAGACGTACGATAGTCCTAGCAATGTTAGCGCTACGTCAAGCTTACACCCATTCGTTAACACAGACGTACGATAGTCCTAGCAATGTTAGCGCTACGTCAAGCTTACACCCATTCGTTAACACAGACGTACGATAGTCCTAGCAATGTTAGCGCTACGTCAAGCTTACACCCATTCGTTAACACAGACGTACGATAGTCCTAGCAATGTTAGCGCTACGTCAAGCTTACACCCATTCTTTAACACAGACGTACGATAGTCTCAGCAATATTAGCGCTACGTCAACCGTAAATTACACGCATTCTTTAACATTAACGTAGGATAGTCGTAACGCTTATAGACTGCGTTGACGCAGAAAAACAGATCGGTCGTCCCTGCTGGTCATACATCCTATACTGACTCCATCAAAGTTGGCCATTGTGACCATCCAATCCTCACGTCCAACTCTGAAATGGCCTGATAAACAAGATTCTTACAATACCTTTGTCTGTATTGACTTCGGTGTGATCGCATTTCCAAAAACGCCCAGGACAAAAAGGTTGATCTGTAGGCAGTTGTATTTCCACACATAGCCTAAATCAAACAATGTATGTGGGCCGCATGTTTTGTATTTTTTATGTTTAGCTTTCGCCGAAAGTCTAACGTTATTATTGTGAACATCACGATAAGACGTCACACTGAATATTCAATGGATCGGCAGAAGAGATAGCATTTGAAGGTGTGTGATAATATTTACATTGTCGGTTTACATAGGTAAACAACACGTGCGTTGTATGCTCTGTATAGCCGGCAATAATGAGTCGGCCATTTAATATTCTTGGGTGTTGGAGGCTTGGAATTAAAAAAAAAAAAATATTCAGAAAAGAATAATTTTGCCGCAGGTTTTGCAACTGAAATAAGTGTTCTCGGGACATACTGTATGTATAGAAGCGTTGTTGTATGTATGACACGTGCTGACATATACTACAATGGTGCGCACGAAATACTGTATTGTGTACACGAGATACTAAAGCGGTCCCATGGGTTACTAAAGCGTGCTCATGAGTTACTTAAGCGTGCTTACGAATTACTAAAGTGTGAGTGAGTGAGTGAATGAGTGAGTGAGCCGGTTTTGCGCCGTTTTCAGCAATAATCCCGCCGTATCTCAGCGGGGTACTACTTGGAAGAGACAGACAAGTGTATGACTTTTCTCTATTTCAAACCTATCACTTCAGTTTCGGACTATAATTAAATATGCAGCATCATTCACTCCCTCAAAAAAGAAACGCAACCCCAGTCTGAAAATGTGAGAAAACCCCAAGAAGAAAGATATTGATTGTAAATACAATTTTTCTGATATGCACTTATACCATGTACACTGTTTATTAGGGGCGGTCGGGCAGCCTAGTGGTTAAAGCGTTCGCGTTCGCCGAAGACCCGGGTTCGATTCCCGACATGGGTACAATGTGTGAAAACCATTTCTGGTGTCCCCCGCCGTGATATTGCTGGAATATTGCAAAAAGCGGCGTAAAACCATACTCATTCACTCACTCACTGTTTATTAACGTAAGCGCCCAAACACACCAATTTTCGTGCACAAGGGCATTTTATTGTTACTTTTATCATAGTGAGCAAAATTTTCTCGTGGCCCATACCAAAAGCCTCATGCACAAGCAATTCATGGAAAGAGCAGTAGAAGTATTGGTTTATAAAAGCACGTGTTGATTAGCGATTCACTCTTTCATTTTCACCGAAAGACAAGGTCGAATATGCCACGGTTGCGTGCTTCAGATCGAAATATCGCCATTGGTCGTATTGAGGCCTGACAAAGCTTTCGAAACGTTGCCCGGCAACTCAATGTTCATAAAACAACGATTTCCCGACTTTGGAGCCAATACACCCAGTTTCATGCAACTGAAGATCGCCCACGAAGTGGTAGGCCAAGGGTTACCACACCACCTCAGGATCGACTCATCCGGGTCACCCACCTACGTAATCGGCTAGCCACACCTACCGTCACTGCAACACAGGTGCCAGGTTTGAGAAGAGTGTCCACACAAACAATTAGGAACCGTCTACGAGAGGCCGGTCTACGTGCAAGAAGACCACTTATTGGACCTGTTTTACGCCACGAACATCGACGCCAACGACTCAGGTGGTGCACCAACGTTCGGATATGGACCCTCAGAAACTGGAGGCGCGCCTAGTTTAGTGACGAATCACGTCTTCTCTTACAACGCCGTGGCGGAAGACAGCGTGTCTATAGAAGAGGAAACGAACGTTTTGCCCCGAACTGTGTTCGGCAGGTCGACAGATTTGGAGGAGGGAGCGTCATGGTGTGGGGAGCCATGTCTTACAACCAAAGATCAGACAGCCCAGCGCTATATCAATGACGTCTTACAGCCTCATCTTCTGCCGATTATCGACCAACAGAGGGAGCTCTATCAACACGACAACGCCCGGCCGCACACTGCTTATGCAACAGTGAATTTTCTCCAGAATTCTAACGTCAACGTGTTACCATGGCCCTCCCGATCACCAGACATCAACCCAATCGAACATCTTTGGGATTATCTGGACCGACGAGTACGTGCACGTACACCGCCGCCGCAGACGTTGGATGCACTAGCCGTTGCACTGCAGGAGGAGTGGAGAGCAATCCCTCAGGAAAGAATCCGGCGTCTAATCCGTTCTGTTCCTAGGATGTGTAATGCTGTGATCTCAGCTCGTGGCGCTCATACGAGGTACTGAGAAAGACGCCCCATTGCGTCACGTCAATCTTAGTGAGAGAACTGTCGAAGTCTGGACTTAAACTTGCAGAACTGTACTGCCACCATGCCAAATTTCACATTGTTGTCTTCAATGATAAATGTGTTATAATAACTTGAATATTGAGATAAACATCTTGAAAATATAGGGGATGCGTTTCTTTTTTGAGAGAGTGTATTTCCGCCCTAATTGTGTGTTTACAGATGACTTCCGAGCTGACCAAACTGCCACATGTCCTGGTGATGGTTGTCGAGGATGTCGCTAGCCCGTGTGTGTGGTGCGGGATGGTGCACGTTTATTAAATAGTTATAAGGGAAAAACTGCACTTCATGCAAACAATATTTGTGATGAATAATAATATGTCGTAGACCACAACGCGTCCTCTTTATCTGTCACCATTTTACGGTTGAGTGATTTCAAAGCGGTGTGATACTCATAGCACAGATTCTTGGGTATGAGGCCTTCTTTCTTCGAATGTATATTTTTACAAAGATCAAAAGTGAAGTAGGCCAATTAATTTTTCGGGAAGTTCGACAGCAATTTTTACAGTTTATGTCTTTTGTTTATAAAGCTGGGGCCGCATCCGTCTTCTAATGGCCAGAGCGTCTGTGGTTTTGGATTGGTTTGGATTGTTGTTTAACGCCGCATTCAGCAATATTCCAGCTATATGACGGCGGTCTGTAAATAATCGAGTCTGGACCAGACAATCTATATATTAATAACATGAGCATCGATCCACGCATCAACCAGGACAGCAAGCCTGACCACCCGATCCCGTTAGTCGCCTATTACGACAAGCATAGCCGCCTTTTACGGCAAATGGGATGCGGAAGACCTTTCCACTCCCGATCTTCACGACTTCCATTCCAGATTATGGTAACATAACAATATGAATATTACCTTTTTTCATTACGAGTTTGGATCGTTATCTATAGTGTATTTACAAATTTCCTCAAAATTATTGTTCATATATGTGTAAAAATGCTCAACGAGATTGTGAGGTCTTGTGTGTACTTTGAAACAGAGCGATTGTGTGTCCGCTTCACAAGAATAGTGCTCAAGATCAGGTTAACAACCACAGAGAAATCTCTTGACTTCCGGTCAAATGGGAAATATTTTCCAAACTCTTAAATGAAAGCCGAAAAAAAGATCATCTCTGAAAATCAGTTTCGGACTTCGAAAAAAATCGTTCCACAGCAGATAGTGTGTTAACGTTTTATGGAATAATAAGGACATACATTTATCAAAACCTACTACTTTAGGAAATCTTTTCAGTGTGTAAATCACTCTTCCCTGTGGCATCGCCTTCTTAATTATGGACTTAATGGAAATTGTCTGACATTGTTTCCTGATAGGTACTCTAAGCTTAAAGGTGTAAGGACTGAACATGTTCTAACGGAGTATTTCAACTGTTGTGTCGGAACACAGGAGTCCGTATCTAAAAAATAGACGCCCTCATGCATATTCATGACCATCTCCACACGAAGGGCTCGCGTGTGGAGATGGTCATGAATATGCATGAGGGCGTCTATTTTTAGATACGGACTCCTGTGGTCGGAACACGTCAAGGATGTGTGATAAGTCCAGCATTATTCACACTATTTATCAATGAAACTGTCACTGAAACAAGCAATTTGCAGGGGTATTTTCATTTCAGAAGAAGAGCCAAGTACTTGTTCGTTGCATACTCCGATGACGTCACCAACTCAGCTGACAGTGCAGGGAGATTACAGGATCAACCGTGTCGGTGATTTTTGTATGAGATGGGGTATGGCTTTAAATGTCGAAATTTTCAAAAATAGAAGTTGTCAGAATAGACATGGCATTATAGAGGAAATCAATTAGAAACAAACTATTTTTACAAATACCTAGGTTTAGTCTTCACGTCTAAACTAATCTCGACAAGAGCAACAACTAACTTAGCACAACAAGCGGAAATAGTCTTCTGATGTTTAAAAAAACACCTTCTTTCTGGGGGTTTAACAGTGCATACAGCCACGACAATGTTTGATGCTATGATTCTACCAATTTTATCCTACGGTTCTGAATTATGGGAAATCCGTATTGTGGACACATAGGAAGGACACCCCAAGCGTCTACTTGAGCTGTCCAGAGCATGTAACGACGCCGTTCTTGGTGAATGTGGAAGACACAAACTGTATGTACATTATACCATCAAGTATTAAACTACTTTCTATAAAACAGTAACAAACAAACGTATCTAATGCTGTATGGACGGGATTAAGTAGGTCGTGTATCTTGGGCTACTTACATCAAGAACCTTATTTTCAAATACGGATTTGGATATGTATGGATAATACTAGGTGTTGGAAATAATGCAATAACGGGTTCTGAACTGTGACTTTAAAAAATGGCACAGCAATACAATGTCTTAAATCTGAACTCCAAGCCTATTCAACTTAAGGGGGACACGGGTGGCCCAGTCGTCTAAGGCGCCGCGATTCGATGTGCAGAGTTGCGTCCCTTGGACACGCCAGAAACCTATGATTGTGGGTTCGAATCCCGGTTCGCCCCGATTATGTTTCTAGGTTTGTCAGCACCATACCCGTGCTCGTGGGTTTCACCGAAGTGGCAAACGTCTGAGACCTGCATCACTTCGGGCTTTCCTCCCATATTAAGCTGACACTCCGTGATATAACTGGAATACTGTTAAAAGCGGCGTTAAACCCAACTCACTCACTCACTCACTATTCAACTTAAGACCCAAACTCTCCTTCAACTCTTGAAGCGGAACTAAAAGTCCATAAATTACATCGACTGTAAACCTTACAGGATATATGTAACGCATTTCTGCTGAGGTTGTCATAAACTCAGAATTAAGACAGGAAGACATAAAAGAGAAAACTCAGAAGAACGTTTATGTAAATATTGTGTCAATTTTGGAATGAACTATGACGAAAATGAATACCATTTCTTGTTAGTATGCCAACACTATTCATAATTACGAATAACTTGCTGCGCATCGAACCCATTTTAAAACAATTCAGTAAATCTTATGTCTCAAACATGTAAACATACGATTTATCAATTGTTTAAATACTAACAACTTTTATATTTGGGATTACAATGTCCTAGTAAAGTAAGTCCCGTCCGGGGTTCGAACCCATACTCCCAAAATAAGGCATCTTATCGCCAGCACAACAAGTCAGCGGTCTAACCCACTCAACCACCGAGGCTTCCTCAAAACGAAAGTCTGTTGTCCAGATCATGTACACTGCCCGAAGAAGGACTAGAATTTGTACTAAATTTACACTAAGGGTAATCCAAAATATAACATTTGTTCCATTTGAACACTTTCAAAAAGACATCGTGTATTCATATTTAAATACTAGTACATGTATCACACTATGAAAATTTAAATGTTTATTAGATTATGTGTATATATTAATCATGTCGTTTTAGTTTATAGGCCTGTGGCCTAAGAAGTTGTGATGAACAAACTCACTATGATTATATTTAAATGACCCGCATGGCGCTGTGAATTAAGAAGATAAAAGAAAGACTGGTCCGCTCGGAGTCAGCACAATGTGTCTGAGTGGGATACCCATATTAAATTGCAGCATGATGTCTCAACGGCCTAACACAATAGAGTGCAATCCTCTTGAACGCGACGTTAAATCCTCATTTATAATCACACGTTGTTTGAAACGTCGTAAAATGTCGCCTGACAAGGTAGACAACTCTGTTATTACTTACAATTTCAGGGAGCAGTCATTAAAAGATAAAATAACGCAATCTTATGTCGATATGTTTGCAAGAAGGATTTCAAAATACCACCATATCAAAATCTGATTAGTATATTAGTTAACAAAAAAACTTATTTCTTTTAATTTCGGTCATATTTAGAAATATATAGTCCAGGTGTAAAATTCAAAATCTGCATAATTCAGACCCACAAAATGGCGACGGCAGGTAGTCGTCTGCTGAAAATAGCTTTGCTGACGTTGTCAGTGTCTGTTGCTGTATCTTGGGACAATATTGACTTTGAGATATTTGATTTAGTGGAGGAAGTGAATTATGTGAACTTCTATGAAATTTTAGGTGTTGACCAGGTGAGCGCGAAGGCATACAATTTATACTGAAATAAGCCAACGTGGTTGTGTTCGGTTTCAGTATGGAAGCCGGTGGACAATAATTGTCGACTGTTGACACGGTACTTCTTCCCTCAGTGATCTCCACCGTATCGCCTATATTTCCACAGCATGTCGGAGATGATGCGAGTGTGGGGTGGGCTGATTACTAAACAGTACTTACTAAACAAATGACCGGCTGATGTGACTGCTCAACCATATGCACAAGCTGTTCACGGCTCTTCACGGTTCAATCTAGAGTTCCGATTTCCGAGTTATGGTTGTCTTATTTGACCAATGGTCACTATGTTGCTGAAATAGTGCTGATATTACTTTATTCTTATTAATACTTGTGATCAAATGTTCATAATATCACTAAAACCACTATTTTGAAGATAAGTGTCAAGATTTTTCTTTTTCTGGTAACTTTTAATATGACAGTTATGCTTTGAGTAAAATCTAATGTTGTTTATGCTATTAGCATGATTACAGACACGTTAAGTATTGGACCAGGTTGAAGTATTGCAATGCATTGATAACATCATCACAATAAATTATAAGTGGCAGTAGGCTAGTCTACTGGTTAATGTGTGTGCTTGTCACGTCAAAGGCCGGGTTCCAATTCTCCACATGGGTACAATGTATGGAGCCCATTTCTGATGTCGCCTGTCATGAAACTTTTGGAATATTGCTGACAGCAGCATAAACCGTATTCACTCAATCACAATAAATCCACAGTAACTTAGCTTCAGATGATTTATTTAACAAATGTTTTTTTCATCTGTCAGCAATTGGCACCACGATGATCAAAGTCTTTTGTTTTTAGAGTGCAACAACTGCTGAGATCCGCCGGTCTTACCGCAAGTTATCCCTGCAATATCACCCGGACAAGAACAAGGCTGATGATGCGGAGGATCAGTTTAGACGGGTTCGTACTCTGCTCAGATATTACAGTTAGGGTTCTTAGTGTGGAGCATCGTCAATACATAAGCAAGCCCAGATGTTGTACAAAACAGAAAAGACACTGTTCTACATAGTCATAAATAACAGTGCTGAAGTTACAGGGCATTTTTCATCTAACAGCTTCATGAATGTTTGCCATTGTTTTAACTTTAAAGGATGCTGTATATTTAAGTAATAAATGACTTGTGGTCATTGGTTTTTGTAAAATCAAACACTCAGTGACTGCAGGGAGAATAAACCATGAGGGGCGCACAATGAACAAGTGTTTTATTGTACGAGAAACAACAACCACGAGTCGTTTAATTTTTTATATGTGATATAAGCATTATGTGCAGCCTTGTCGATTACCGGTAGCTTTTCTCCTAATTCCGTTTGTTATGTTTCTCCCACTTTTGGACGTGATCGTTTGGCCACTGCGTTTATCAGCGTCACAGCCACGTCTGTGGGTACCACTGACTAAACACTTCCCTCTAAAAGATAACGTCGTCCAAAATATGATGTCATCAAGTTGTGAGCGCATATTTGAATCTCAAGCAATAACGTCCTGATAGAACAATGTTTTATAACGTGAAATAAACCACGCCTTGTTCTTCATTGTTCTTTGCTATTGCGTAGCTATCTTATATAATCTGATAATAGGGATCAGTTCCGATCAGTTCATATTCCAGGACACTGACTGTTTGAAGGTCCTAAAGATTCTTTTTCAAAATAACCACTGGTAGTAGGAATGATGGAGAGGAATGGTCTAGAATATGCTGATGCCATTTGTCTCTTGCAAAATTCCTGTTACTGCAAATGTAAGATGTATAATTCTATTATTTTGCAACCAGGTGATATTCCTCGTTTACATAAATTGCTGGTGTTGGAAACACTATGTATATATCATTCAGTGTTCTAAAGTAACAGCTACAGAGTTGCAATCAACCTATTATGGCAAAATGTAGTAGTCCACAAAATATGTCATCAGTCCTTCCTGTATGTAAGGTGTCCTGGACAAGCAGACTTATGTAAGTTTCAAGCCCTGGTTGTGTTGTAGATGGTTGCAGTGTATGAAGTCCTCAAGGATGAAGAAAGAAGACAGAGGTATGTCAATTATGGCATTGTCCCAAGATTATGTTTCCAACAAGATCTGGTGCTGAGTAGAACATGAGTCAGTAATGGTTGACGAGGAGTTGTAAACATTGTGTGCCAGCAGCAATAAAATAAGATTGTTCATATGTATGTTAATGATTATTTTCAACACTATTAAACTGATGGGGAATTCATGGCTGATTATTTGCCCAGTATCACCGTTGTTGTAAGGGCCCAATTGAGGATAGGATGTGGGTTCAAGTAGTGACCTGGCTGATTGTGTGTCATGGTTGATTGTGTGTCATGGCTCCCTGACTGTGTGGGTTCAAGTAGTGACCTGGTTGATTGTGTGTCATGGCTCCCTGACTGTGGGTTCAAGTAGTGACCTGGTTGATTGTGTGTCATGGCTCCCTGACTATGTGGGTTCAAGTAGTGACCTGGCTGATTGTGTGTCATGGCTCCCTGACTGTGGGTCCAAACAGTGACCTGGTTGATTGTGTGTCATGTCTCCCTGACTATGTGGGTTCAAGTAGTGACCTGGCTGATTGTGTGTCATGTCTCCCTGACTATGTGGGTTCAAGTAGTGACCTGGCTGATTGTGTGTCATGGCTCCCTGACTATGTGGGTCCAAACAGTGACCTGGTTGATTGTGTGTCATGTCTCCCTGACTGTGGGTTCAAGTAGTGACCTGGCTGATTGTGTGTCATGGCTCCCTGACTATGTGGGTCCAAACAGTGACCTGGCTGATCGTGTGTCATGTCTCCCTGACTGTGGGTTCAAGTAGTGACCTGGCTGATTGTGTGTCATGGCTCCAGGACTGTGGGTTCAAGTAGTGACCTGGCTGATTGTGTGTCATGTCTCCCTGACTGTGGGTTCAAGTAGTGACCTGGCTGATTGTGTGTCATGGCTCCCAGACTGTGGGTTCAAGTTGTAACCTGGTTGATTGTGTGTCATGGTTGATTGTGTGTCATGGCTCCCTGACTGTGGGTTCAAGTAGTGACCTGGCTGATTGTGTGTCATGTCTCCCTGACTGTGGGTTCAAGTAGTGACCTGGCTGATTGTGTGTCATGTCTCCCTGACTGTGGGTTCAAGTAGTGACCTGGCTGATTGTGTGTCATGGCTCCCAGACTGTGGGTTCAAGTAGTGACCTGACTGATTGTGTGTCATGGCTCCAGGACTGTGGGTCCAAACAGTGACCTGGCCGATTGTGTGTCATGTCTTCCTGACTATGTGGGTTCAAGTAGTGACCTGGCTGATTGTGTGTCATGTCTCCCTGACAATGTGGGTTCAAGTAGTGACCTGGCTGATTGTGTGTCATGGCTCCCTGACTATGTGGGTTCAAGTAGTGACCTGGCTGATTGTGTGTCATGTCTCCCTGACTGTGGGTTCAAGTAGTGACCTGGCTGATTGTGTGTCATGTCTCCCTGACTGTGGGTTCAAGTTGTAACCTGGTTGATTGTGTGTCATGTCTCCCAGACTGTGAGTTCAAGTTGTGACCTGGCTGATTGTGTGTCATGGCTCCAGGACTGTGGGTCCAAACAGTGACCTGGCTGATTGTGTGTCATGTCTCCCTGACTGTGGGTTCAAGTAGTGACCTGGCTGATTGTGTGTCATGGCTCCCTGACTGTGGGTTCAAGTAGTAACCTGGTTGATTGTGTGTCATGTCTCCCAGACTGTGAGTTCAAGTTGTGACCTGGCTGATTGTGTGTCATGGCTCCAGGACTGTGGCTCCAAACAGTGACCTGGCCGATTGTGTGTCATGTCTCCCTGACTATGTGGGTTCAAGTAGTGACCTGGCTGATTGTGTGTCATGGCTCCCAGACTGTGGGTTCAAGTAGTGACCTGACTGATTGTGTGTCATGGCTCCAGGACTGTGGGTCCAAACAGTGACCTGGCCGATTGTGTGTCATGTCTTCCTGACTATGTGGGTTCAAGTAGTGACCTGGCTGATTGTGTGTCATGGCTCCAGGACTGTGGGTTCAAGTAGTGACCTGGTTGATTGTGTGTCATGGCTCCCAGACTGTGGGTTCAAGTAGTAACCTGGTTGATTGTGTGTCATGTCTCCCTGACAATGTGGGTTCAAGTAGTGACCTGGTTGATTGTGTGTCATGGCTCCCAGACTGTGGGTTCAAGTTGTAACCTGGTTGATTGTGTGTCATGTCTCCCTGACAATGTGGGTTCAAGTAGTGACCTGGCTGATTGTGTGTCATGGCTCCCTGACTATGTGGGTTCAAACAGTGACCTGGTTGATTGTGTGTCATGTCTCCCTGACTATGTGGGTTCAAGTAGTGACCTGGCTGATTGTGTGTCATGGCTCCAGGACAGTGGGTCCAAACAGTGACCTGGCTGATTGTGTGTCATGTCTCCCTGACTATGTGGGTTCAAGTAGTGACCTGGCTGATTGTGTGTCATGTCTCCCTGACTGTGGGATCAAGTAGTGACCTGGCTGATTGTGTGTCATGTCTCCCTGACTGTGGGTTCTAGTAGTAACCTGGTTGATTGTGTGTCATGGCTCCCTGACTGTGGGTCCAAACAGTGACCTGGTTGATTGTGTGTCATGTCTCCCAGACTGTGGGTTCAAGTAGTGACCTGGCTGATTGTGTGTCATGGCTCCAGGACTGTGGGTCCAAACAGTGACCTGGCCGATTGTGTGTCATGTCTCCCTGACTATGTGGGTTCAAGTAGTGACCTGGCTGATTGTGTGTCATGTCTCCCTGACAATGTGGGTTCTAGTAGTGACCTGGCTGATTGTGTGTCATGTCTCCCTGACTATGTGGGTTCAAGTAGTGACCTGGCTGATTGTGTGTCATGTCTCCCTGACTGTGGGTTCTAGTAGTGACCTGGCTGATTGTGTGTCATGTCTCCCTGACTATGTGGGTTCAAGTAGTGACCTGGTTGATTGTGTGTCATGGCTCCCTGACTGTGTGGGTTCAAGTAGTGACCTGGCTGATTGTGTGTCATGGCTCCCTGACTGTGTGGGTTCAAGTAGTGACCTGGTTGATTGTGTGTCATGTCTCCAGGACTGTGGGTTCAAGTAGTGACCTGGTTGATTGTGTGTCATGTCTCCCAGACTGTGTGGGTTCAAGTAGTGACCTGGCTGATTGTGTGTCATGGCTCCCTGACTATGTGGGTTCAAGTAGTGACCTGGCTGATTGTGTGTCATGGCTCCCTGACTGTGTGGGTTCAAGTAGTGACCTGGCTGATATTGTGTCATGGCTGATTGTATAATACTGTTTACTGCAGCATAACTAATATTGGTTACTGCAGCTAAACTTTAATATTCTTACTGCCATAACCAGTGAGCGTTCAGAGTAAGCATATTTGTCCCCAGCTTCAAGGGTGGCAATGGATTGGAAAGTTCAGTAGTGATGTATCAAAGTATCATGATATATCAATATATTGATTATAAACATGATTATCAAAATCGATAATGTATTGACATTAACAATTTATCGATACGATAGTGAGATATATGGTGACATTGCTACGGCAACCTATGCATGTCGTAAGAGGCAACTAAATGGATCGTCTTGTGGTCAGGCTCTGTAACTTGGTTCGGTGCAGGTCGTCATAATCCAATTGTATGGATGGATGCCCATGATGTCAATCACTGGTTTTGTCTGGTTTACACTTGATTATTTACAGACTGCCCTCTTATAGCTGGAATATATTGCTGAGTGTAGTGTTAAACATAAACAAATTACTGTAGCGTTTACGTCAAAACACAAGCTCACATGCAAAAAAGACAGTAGAATGACCTGATTATTGTTGTGGTTGTGTAACCTGCATGGTGGGCCCAGGTTTTCTATGTAACCTGCATGGTGGGCCCAGGTTTTCTATGTAACCTGCATGGTGGGCCCAGGTTTTCTATGTAACCTGCATGGTGGGCCCAGGTTTTCTATGTAACCTGCATGGTGGGCCCAGGTTTTCTATGTAACCTGCATGGTGGGCCCAGTTTTTCTATGTAACCCGCATGGTGGGCCCAGCTTTTCTATGTGACCTGCATGGTGGGCCCAGGTTTTCTATGTAACCTGCATGGTGGGCCCAGGTTTTCTATGTAACCCGCATGGTGGGCCCAGTTTTTCAATTTAACCTGCATGGTGGGCCCAGTTTTTCTGTATTATTTGTTTTTGTTAACTGCCACACTCAGCACTAATGCACTTGCATCAATTTCCAGCTTAAATGCTTTGTTTTTTGTTTTTGTCCAGGTATGACCAGGTGCTGGTGGAGGGGCTCCCTGACTGGAGGCAGCCGGTGTTCTACTACCGCCGTGTCCGCAAGATGGGCATGCTGGAGATGACCGGCCTCCTGGGCTTCATCCTCACCATTGGACAGTACCTGGTGGCGTGGGCTGTCTACTTCGAGAAGAGGCTCTCCCTGGTCAGTCTTGTCACATGTTGGACAATGTTATTAGGCCATACCTTCTTAATTTTTGTGTGTATGAATTCGACCGACCAAGTGCAAAAGTCCCAATTGGGAAATAAAATTAGTTTAGATTTATTTATATTTGACTCACTGCTCTGTTCCACAAAATAGTTTTTTAATAATGATTGACCAAATGCAGTGTGTATCCAGTGTTCCAAAGTAAGCATGTTATTTAGGGAAATCTAAGGTTACAAGTTAAAGTTTTAGGGGTCCCTATATTCAAATACCACAGATAATACTGAGAGAACTCCTTAATTTTGAACAGTGTCTATTTGTGGCCCATGCAGAACCCATTTCAAGGGAACAAAGCCTTCTCTTGTAAATATCTTTACATGCTGTTTTAAATACACTAAAATATCCTGCACTCTAAACAGAAAGAGCATAGGTGCTTTTTCTTAAAAATTATCTCATGACATCTGTGGGTGTAAGTGAACATCTATGCTTAAAAAGAATACAATTTTCAGTTGCTACCTATTTAACCACTATTCTCTAAAAGAAAAACATTTACAGCTGCAACCTCTGCTCTCAAATAGAGCTACATAATCAGTTGTGTGATATAGGAAGACGTCTATGCCTCAAATATAATACCATGACCAGTTGTGTGATATAGGAAGACATCTATGCCTCAAATAGAATAACATGACCAGTTGTGTGATATAGGAAGACGTCTATGCCTCAAATATAATAACATGACCAGTTGTGTGATATAGGAAGACATCTATGCCTCAAATAGAATAACATGACCAGTTGTCTGATATAGGAAGACGTCCATGCCTCAAATATTATAACATGACCAGTTGTCTGATATAGGAAGACGTCCATGCCTCAAATATTATAACATGACCAGTTGTCTGATATAGGAAGACATCTATGCCTCAAATAGAATAACATAATCAATGGGTGTCAGTGTTTGCATTCTTCTCCAAAATAATGGGGTCCCTATGGCGCCGTAGGTGTGAAGCTATCTAGGGGAGTTTGGGGGCATGCCCCCCCCGAGAAATGTTGTTAAACGTGGACCTGAAATGGTGAACTTTAGGCCATTCTGAGCATAAATAAGTGTGTGGTTAAAATCTTTTAAGTGTCAGTTTTTATGTGTGTACACGAAACATCTTTGAATCTTCATAGATTAGCCACTTGACTCTTTCAACACCCGTCAACCAGAAGCTTTAACTGCTGTGACACTGAGTTCTCAGAGACTCTTATGTGATAGATGAAGCCAACATTTATCAAGGAAAAGATCTGCTTGTAAAACATTAGTCCTGCACCATGACTGTGAAATATGTTTACTTTATGAAAGCAACACCAATCTAGAAACGTATACAAAAGCAAGTCTAGCCAGCTCTAGCTAGGAAATCAGCATAGGGGAAATTATATATTTATTTTTAGAGTCAAGAAGGGTATTGTGTAATATAAGATTCATAGACTAAATATTAGTCTAGCAAAACATCTTTGCAACTACATGTAATACACCATGTACACCATTTGAAAGGTCTAATCCTACTGTTTATACGTATTTATGTTTATCACATTATTTAAATAAAGCATTTACAACTTAAGTAAGTTGTAAATAAAAATAAAATAAGCTAACACATTCAAACGTCATGATTGAGGACCAAGGAAGCGAAAATTTGACGATTTTTGTCAAATATAAAAAATCATAAAATCCACTTACTTATTTCTTTTTTATTTTCATTGTTTACGTGATTTGAGAAGTATTTTAAAAATAATTGTAAATAGTATCTGTCATCACCAATTTACCGATAACAGTGGCTGTCCGCTCAGTAACATGAATAAATATGTCCGTTTTCGAAGCTTCGTATTAGAAAGTTTATTTTTTCATCTACACTAACCTCGCCCAGAGTCTTTTTGTCGCTGTAACATGCTTTCTTGCTGATATCTGCTCCGAGGGTGGTGATTGGTCAAACTAGAGCACATGACCTAAGGCTGTACAACAATGGTGCGTGTGTAATGAATTTAAGATTTTGGCGAAAGGTTTTTGTTATTCTGAACGTTTCAAGCAGGAAACTCGCGAACAGTATTAAAAACATGGAACTTCGTGGATGTATCGTGCTAGGTTAGGAACTGTGACAAAGGTTTTTCAGGCATATTGGAATCATCATATCCGAGCCGAGAAATCAAGGCGACGAAAGCCGAGATGTCATTTGATTTACATTACACGCAATCGCACGAAAAGATGGAAATAATAACTTAGCTGTATGTCTACAACTTATAGATATATTTTGGTCGATTTTATTTAATACTTGTATGCTAGATCTATATTTAAAGATTTGCAAGAAACGTCTTTATTTTGCTCTTTGACATGGACATTTGACGTGGACCTGTTGTCAAAGTGTGTGTCCGAGAATTTTATTTTCAATAACATCGCGGGAAATAGCGAATAATGTTTAATCTATCGATAAAATATGATAAATTGAAATGGAATACGTATTTCAGACATTGTGAAATGTGATAGATTGAATAAATGAATGATATGACAGGTAGGTTCATAAAATTATATAGATCCACCCTCTATTTTGACGTGACTACGGCTTGGCTGGTCTACCGGCCTTCGGTGTTGAAAGAGTATATGGCTCTCCAAGCAAACTTTCTTGAAACTTATTTTTCTTTTGACAAAGTTTCGGCGATGCCATTTGGACCTTAGTCCTTGACATTGCCAAAATACTGTTAACAAGGTGTGCGATTGGCTTACGTTTCTATTTCCGTTTTGTAAACCAATCAGCGATGCCATTACGGACACGACATGGAAGAGAAACGTCATCAGATACCTCTTAGTTTCACGCGTTCACACCGAAATCTGGCTAGCACCGGAACTCAGCGAATATTGGATGCACATAACCACATGGGTTTGGGTAGCGAGAGAAACACGAAACAAAACAACAATAAGTTATGCGTGAAGTGAACTTTTTCCAGAATGAAAAACGCATAAGGAGACGCGTGTATGTTGTGTTTTTTGCGTCCTATTTTTTTTCAGTGCGTATTTTTGTATATGGGACGCCGTAAACGCAAGCACTGGGTGTGATGTAGGAAGACGTCTATGCCTCAAATAGAATAACATAATCAGTTGTGTGATATAGGAAGACTTCTATGCCTCAAATGGAATTACATAACCAGTTGTGTGATGCAGGAAGACTTCTATGCCTCAAATGGAATTACATAACCAGTCGTGTGATATACATGATATAGGAAGACGTCTATGCCTCAAATGGAATTACATAACCAGTTGTGTAATGCAGGAAGACGTCTATGCCTCAAATAGAATAACATAATCAGTTGTGTGATATAGGAAGACGTCTATGCCTCAAATAGAATAACATAATCAGTTGTGTGATATAGGAAGACTTCCATGCCTCAAATGGAATTACATAATCAGTTGTGTAATGCAGGAAGACTTCTATGCCTCAAATAGAATAACATAATCAGTTGTGTAATGCAGGAAGACTTCCATGCCTCAAATAGAATAACATAATCAGTTGTGTGATATAGGAAGACGTCTATGCCTCAAATAGAGTAACATAACCAGTTGTGTGATATAGGAAGACGTCTATGCCTCAAATAGAATAACATAATCAGTTGTGTGATATAGGAAGACTTCCATGCCTCAAATAGAATAACATAACCTGTTGTGTGATATAGGAAGACGTCTTTGCCTCAAATAGAATAACATAATCAGTTGTGTGATATAGGAAGACGTCTATGCCTCAAATAGAATAACATAATCAGTTGTGTGATATAGGAAGACTTCCATGCCTCAAATAGAATAACATAACCTGTTGTGTGATATAGGAAGACGTCTTTGCCTCAAATAGAATAACATAATCAGTTGTGTGATGCAGGAAGACTTCCATGCCTCAAATAGAATAACATAACCAGTTGTGTGATGCTGGAAGACTTCTATGCCTCAAATAGAATTACATAATCAGTTGTGTGATGCTGGAAGACTTCCATGCCTCAAAAATAATTACATAATCAGTTGTGTGATGCAGGAAGACTTCCATGCCTCAAATAGAATAACATAACCAGTTGTGTGATGCTGGAAGACTTCTATGCCTCAAATAGAATAACATAATCACTTGTGTGATGCAGGAAGACTTCTATGCCTCAAAGAAGAAGAAGGTGGCCGATAAGAACAAGAAGAAGAGCAAGGTGGGGGTGGAGGAACTGGAGGAGGAGATAGAGGAAGAGCTGAAGTCCCTGCCCCGCCCCCAACTGATGGACTTGTGGATGTTCCGCCTGCCTGGTTTTCTGGTGTACCTGGTGCGCATGTCACCTGAAGCAGTCCGGGCACTGATCGAGCTTGTCAAGTCTCGGAGGGAGGTGGAGGAAGAAGAGGAGGAGGAAGAGGAGGAGGGCCAGGGTTAGTTGTGTGGAGGAGTTGTGTGACAGGACTTATTCTGTAGCCAGAGTTCATTGTTCATATCCAGGGTTAGTTGTGTGGAGGAGTTGTGTGACAGGACTTATTCTGTAGCCAGAGTTTATTGTTCATATCCAGGGTTAGTTGTGTGGAGGAGTTGTGTGACAGGACTTATTCTGTAGCCAGAGTTTATTGTTCATATCCAGGGTTAGTTGTGTGGAGGAGTTGTGTGACAGGACTAATTCTGTAGCCAGAGTTCATTGTTCATATCCAGGGTTAGTTGTGTGGAGGAGTTGTGTGACAGGACTCATTCTGTAGCCAGAGTTCATTGTTCATATCCAGGGTTAGTTGTGTGGAGGAGTTGTGTGACAGGACTAATTCTGTAGCCAGAGTTCATTGTTCATATCCAGGGTTAGTTGTGTGGAGGAGGAGTTGTGTGACAGGACTCATTCTGTAGCCAGAGTTCATTGTTCATATCCAGGATTAGTTGTGCGCAGGAGTTGTGTGACAGGATTCATTGTTCATATTTGGCATTGTTGACAACCCTTACACGTCTTGGACATCTTTGAATTATTTTTGATAGCTTCTCATCTGAGGTTGCCCAGTTGTAGTCTATGATTTTAATCAGAAAGCCAGAGTCTAGTAAAATTCTTCTGCTCTTGTGAGATCAGCTTATTCTAGTTCATGTACTAAGACTAAAAATGTACTGAAAAGTAAAGGCAAAATAAGTGCTTGACTCAAATGTATTTTGCATAGACTGCAGTTGTCTGAAGTGTGCAATTTGAAATGCAGAAATGCATCCCTTTGGCGTGCAAGATTTCTATGATCTTGGATTTTATTCACAGATTCTATTGGTTAATTTCTGCAGCAAGGTGCACCTGCACGGTAGAGTTTTAAAGGTTATTTAGGAGATGGGCGACCCCCACTTTCCACCCCCTCAGGTTATAGTGTCAAATTCGGAACCAGGCTTAGAAATAAACTGTCCCTTTTGGAATTTTATATTCATAGAAGGGGTTGAATTCAGAAATATATTTATGCATACAAAAAAACAATGCTTAACATACTGATCACCTATCTTAAATACCAGAATAGAGACCTGTGAAGCTCCAGGTTAGAACTGGTCTTCAGCAGCCCATGGTTGTCGTAAGAGGTGATAAATGGGAGGTCGGGTGGTCAGACTCACTGACTTGGTTGATGCTAGGGTTGGGACGAGTCCAAATTTACTACCAGGGTACCCAACTCCCTATTACCCGACCCTACCCGGGTACCCGCTGTAGGTCTCAAGTTGGGTACAAAATGGTCAATTGGGAATTGTTTTACCGGAGCCCTGGTATATGAATATGGTCTAAAACGATCTGATCGTGGATACACTGAAGCTTTGTCTTTACTCAAACATATAAAAGTCAGAAGGAATGTGCGCATCGTCAGAAAGAAATGCAAACATTAGCGACGTGTACAAGTATAATGTTGGAATTTTAGTGTTATGTCACTAAACAATATATGGCATGACTAACCACATGTCTGGGAAGTCCTGTGGGTACCTGGGTCCCACTCTGGACCCAGCTGACCTGTGTACTCCCAGCCCTAGTTGATGCATGTCATCATTACCCAATTACATAGATTGGTGCTCACTATGTCAATCACTGGATTGTCATCATAATAGCTGGAATATTGCTGAGTGCGGCTTTAAATATGAAAGAAACAAAAAAACACAAACAAACCCGAATGGACCAGAATGTTCACATCCATGTCACGATACCCAATGACAAAGAAAGTTCTCACCTTAATTCATGATGCTCATAGATGGTGGAATGCAGCATTAAACGACAAAAACAACAAATAAACAAATTATTCATTTTCAGAATCCACACGGAAAGCAAAACGGAAGAAGGTGGAGATACCTGAATATCAAGCCGATCTGTATCAGCATCTCCTGTCCAATCAGACAGAAGCGGAAGTTCAGTCTGCAGAGAGTGAACACAAACACAATAAAGTACGGTTATGCAATAGTTCCTGACTCTTCGGCCATTCTGAAATAAAGTAAGGTTGCACAATAATTCTTCATTCTCAGGCCTTTCCACAATCAAACTAGGCAATGCAACAGCTCTTGACTCTTTGGCCTGCCCATTGACTGACATATAGTCCACAAAGTCTTTTATTACACAATAGAAGATTTTATGGACTATATATATGTCAGTCAATGGGAAGGGCAAAGAGTCACGAGCTGTTGCATAGCCTAGCTTGCTGATGGAAAGGCCCGAGAATAAAGAAATTACACAAAAAATCTGTGAAGATCCGGAGTAGAATAGATCTTCAGCGACCCATGCTTGCCGTAAAAGGCGACTATGCTTGTCGTAAGAGGCGACTAACAGAATTGGGTGGTCAGGCTCACTGACTTGGTTGATGCAATTATATGTCATTGAATCCCAATTGCATGGATCGATGCTCATGATGTCAATCACTGGATTGTCTGTTCCAGACTTGATTATTTACAGATCACCATCATATAGCTTGAATATTGCTGAGTGCGGCGTTAAACAACAAATAAACAAAACAAAATTATTACACAATACTTTTTTCTCCTCTAAATTCTTTTCCTAATGCTGATTTCAGAAACAGTGGAATAGAGCTGGCTAGACTCCTTTTTGAATGGTTTTGTGCTGTAGCTGACAGCTGATTTGTTTTTTGACTTGATCAATGTGTCCATGTATGTGATCCCCCTCTGTTAATGTATCACAGAAAGATGGAGACTGGACTGATGAGGAGCTGATACTGCTGGCGAAGGCTGTCAACAAGTTCCCCGGGGGAACAGTGAAGCGATGGGAGAAAATAGCTGACTTCTGTGGCAGGACAGTTGAGGAGGTGGGATAAGCCACATATAACATGGCAAGCAAGTACTGGGTGTTACATTGTTACTTCATGACAGGACAGTTGAGGAGGTGGGATAAGCCACATATAACATAGCAAGCAAGGACTGGGTGTTACATTGTTACTTCATGACAGGACAGTTGAGGAGGTGGGATAAGCCACGTATAACATAGCAAGCAAGGACTGGGTGTTACATTGTTACTTCATGACAGGACAGTTGAGGAGGTGGGACAAGCCACATGTAACATAGCAAGCAAGTACTGGGTGTTACATTGTTACTTCATGACAGGACAGTTGAGGAGGTGGGATAATCCACATATAGCATGGCAAGCAAGGACTAGGTGTTACATTGTTACTTCATGACAGGACAGTTGAGGAGGTGGGATAAGCCACATATAACATGGCAAGCAAGTACTGGGTGTTACATTGTTACTTCATGACAGGACAGTTGAGGAGGTGGGATAAGCCACATATAGCATGGCAAGCAAGTACTGGGTGTTACATTGTTACTTCATGACAGGACAGTTGAGGAGGTGGGATAAGCCACATATAACATGGCAAGCAAGGACTGGGTGTTACATTGTTACTTCATGACAGGACAGTTGAGGAGGTGGGATAAGCCACATATAACATGGCAAGCAAGTACTGGGTGTTACATTGTTACTTCATGACAGGACAGTTGAGGAGGTGGGATAAGCCACATATAACATGGCAAGCAAGTACTGGGTGTTACATTGTTACTTCATGACAGGACAGTTGAGGAGGTGGGATAAGCCACATATAACATGGCAAGCAAGGACTGGGTGTTACATTGTTACTTCATGACAGGACAGTTGAGGAGGTGGGATAAGCCACATATAACATGGCAAGCAAGTACTGGGTGTTACATTGTTACTTTATGACAGGACAGTTGAGGAGGTGGGATAAGCCACGTATAACATAGCAAGCAAGGACTGGGTGTTACATTGTTACTTCATGACAGGACAGTTGAGAAGGTGGGATAAGCCACATATAACATAGCAAGCAAGAACTGCATGTTACATTGTTACTTCATGACAGGACAGTTGAGGAGGTTGGATAAGCCACATATAACATAGCAAGCAAGGACTGCATGTTACATTGTTACTTCATGACAGGACAGTTGAGGAGGTGGGATAAGCCACATATAACATAGCAAGCAAGTACTGGGTGTTACATTGTTACTTCATGACAGGACAGTTGAGGAGGTGGGATAAGCCACATATAACATGGCAAGCAAGTACTGGGTGTTACATTGTTACTTCATGACAGGACAGTTGAGGAGGTGGGATAAGCCACATATAGCATGGCAAGCAAGGACTGGGTGTTACATTGTTACTTCATGACAGGACAGTTGAGGAGGTGGGATAAGCCACATATAACATGGCAAGCAAGTACTGGGTGTTACATTGTTACTTCATGACAGGACAGTTGAGGAGGTGGGATAAGCCACATATAACATGGCAAGCAAGTACTGGGTGTTACATTGTTACTTCATGACAGGACAGTTGAGGAGGTGGGATAAGCCACATATAACATAGCAAGCAAGGACTAGGTGTTACATTGTTCAGTGCCATAGCCAGCCGGGGTGGCAGGGAGGGCAGTTGCCCCCCTAGATTTTTTATAGAAAACAGTTTTATTTGAATCAAGTTGGGGACAAGTGATACTTGTACAAATATTTACCCCATCCTGTCAAAAAAAGTTAACTAAGGCCTTGTTGTTACTTCATGACAGGACAGTGACTGAATAAAAATTAAGTTGAATGTGTTCTTAGATAGTATGAAGTTCATTATGTCCAGACAATAGGATCTAGAGTTAATAATTTTGGATTTTAGTATTCAAGGTTTGGGCCTTGTGCTTTTAGCCCCTACAGCTGAAAAAAGGTCCACATTTTCAAATACGATTGGGCATATTAACATTGTGCTGTATGGGCAAGTGTGGGTGTACCTCTGGTATATTTGAAATTTTCGCTGTGTAATTGTCATCATGGCCATGTTTTTGTGCATGAATTGGTTGGTGAACACTCCTCAGAAGTTGACTGTTGACAAAGTAGACACAAGGTAGACACAATTTATGGATAACAAGTTCTTTTATATATTATTATGATAGCGATGTTTCGGTTAGCGATGTTTCGGTATCGATCCTTGTATCGTTTGACTTTATGTTTATATTCAAACAAAAGTTCTTTTTCAGGATCTTGTTAGTTGGCATCTAAGGATAGCCTCTTCTTTTTAAATACAGTTTGTTTTGATGTGTATAATTTATTCCTTATAATTAGTTTCTATAATGATAAACCACAGTCTACTGCAGTCATTCACTTAGGATACCCAAACCCAAGACTTACTGAGAGAAGCAGGCATAAAATCAATCCATTGCACAATAACAAATTTTTTTTTGAGAATAGCAGCGATGAAACCTGACTTCAACAGCATTAGAAATTAGCAGTAGTCTTGTAGTCCTTGACAAACTGCCCAATAGTTAAGATATCATAAGGACTAGTAAAGATTTGCCAATTTTTGTTATCATTATAAGGACTAGTGGATTAAACCAGTGTGGTTCTACCGCTGCTTCAAGATGACACTTGTCAAATGAAGCGGATGTACAATCTGGCCTTTTTAGACACTGTAACAAGTCGCAGGACATGGCCAGTGTGTCAATTAAAGAGGGCTGCAATCAAAATTCTTTGGCCAAGCTTCATAATGTTTTTTGGCCTAATTTAAGAAATGTAATGATGTGACAAATCTTGTTGCCCACTCGGTGTTTAACAACTGAAGAGTACATACATTGAAGAATGTAATTGCAATATGGCTAGTTCTGTTTTGTGAGCAATTGTAACAGGTGTTGGGAATTGATCATTCATTTTTTTCCAAATCATCAATCATCTGATACAATTGCTTTCTGACATTGTATACATTGTCCATGAATTGATATATGAAACAGGTGCTTGTTATTGGAATGATTTAAATCCTTGAAACAGGGTTCACTCTAGGAATCTTCTGACATGGGCCCTTTATGTGAAAATTTCAAATATTCCAGAGGTACACCCACACTTGCCCATATAGCACAATGTTAAGATGCCCAATTGTATTTGAAAAAAAATGTGGGCCTCTTTTCAAATGTAGGGGATAAAGCACAAAGCCCCACCCTAGAATTATCCCTGTTGAAATATGTAAGTCTCATTCACTATCATGATTAAAGGAAATGTGTGATGATACACTGCTTTGAGAAATGCTACAAATAAAAAAGGGAACTTTGAGGCCCATTGGACGTTGTTATAATCAAAGTTAGTTGCGAGAAGGCATCAGAGACAACTGATCATTTCGAGAGTGTGTAGTTTAGTCCACATTATTCAGAGCCTGTTCTTTGTTTCCAGGTGACTGTTAAATCTAAAAAGGTGAAAGGTGGCGCTTTTGCAATGAACCTGAGTTCTTCTGTTCAAGGTAATATGCTGGTTGATTTCACTATGGGGGGCACGGGTGGCCCAGTCGTCTAAGGCGCCGCGATTCGCTGTGCAGAGTTGCGTCCCTTGGGCACGCCAGAAACCTATGATTGTGGGTTCGAATCCCGGTTCGTCCCGATTATGTTTCTAGGTTTGTCAGCACCATACCCGTGCTCGTGGGTTTCACCGAAATGGTATACGTCCGAGACCTGCATCACTTCGGGCTTTTCTCCCACATTAAGCTGACACGCCGTGATATAACTGAAATACTGTTAAAAGCGGCGTTAAACCCAACTCACTCACTCACTCACTGATTTCACTATGCCAGTAAGCACCTTTATAACTTCACCATGTTCTTTGTGTGGTTCCATGTGCAGCACTCAACAAACAAACAAAACAACAGTACTATGAAAGATTTGACCTGTGGAAAGGATACAAAATCACTGTCTTATTGTTTCTTGAATTTTATTCATCCAAAACTGGCTTTAAATTGTTTGATCGGCATTACTTAGAGGCTGATGGATGACAAAGAGGACACAATTTATGGATAACAACTTCTTTATTGACTGTAAACCCGTCGGTATAGATCCTTATACCATTGTCACACAAGGCTGCTTGACAATGGTATGAGGATCTATACCGAAACATCGCCTTTTCAGTAAATATAGCAGTTGTTATCTATAAGTTGTGTCTACTTTGAAAACTGGCTTTCACAGGAAATACCGATTGGGTGAGATCATGTGATGTCTCCTTGGAGATAGTGCAAGAAAGAACATGGTGAAATTGCGTTACAATGCTTGTCTATAAAAGTTTAAGAGACTCTGAGTTTTTAAACTTTTATTGACTTGTGTTAACATATTTGAGATAAGAAGACTCGACTCAAGGGTCAGATTCTCTGTGTAGCCAGTTTGTCAAATGCTAATAGCCAATGCTATTTTCCCAACAGGTGGTAGTTTTTCTGGGAAAACCAAGAAACAAGAATGGGATATAAGTGACTCTATCATAACTACAACAGATTCAGTAGCATCCTCAGAAAACACAGAGGAGGAGAATAAACCAAGGAGAAGAAACAAACCGTCCAAAGTGGTGAAAACTGCTGATAGATCACTGCATATACCTGACAGTCAGCCAGTCTCCAAACCTGCAGCTGCACCGCCCTCAGAGAGGGAGGCACCTGCCAGTGCGAGTGGCTTGAGTCAGGACTCAGTACAGGGTAATACCACAGAGTCTGTGAAGCTAAAGACTGGGGATACAACATGGACTCAGAATCAGCAGGTCATATTTGAGTGGGCTCTGAAGCATACACCAAAAGGGGTGGAGAAGAGATGGGAGAAAATTGCTGATCAAATTCCAGGAAAATCAAAAGTGAGTACTACTATAACATGATTAACAGGGCTTTGCATAGCCTTTTGGGCAGTGGGGTAGCCTTGTGGTTAAATGGGGGCGGTCGGATAACCTAGTGGTTAAAGCGTTCGCTCGTCACGCCGAAGACTTGGGTTCGATTCCCGACATGGGTACAATGTGTGAAGCCCATTTCTGGTGTCCCCCGCCGTGATATTGCCGGAATATTGCTAAAAGCGGCGTAAAATCATACTCACTCACTCACTCACTCATTGTGGTTAAATGGTTCACTCGTCTTGCCGAAGGTCTGACATCGATTCCCAACATAGGTATTATCTGTGAAGTTCATTTCTTGTGTCCCCTGCCTTAATGTTACTGGAATATAGTGCTAAAAGTGGTGTGAAACTCTCTCACTCATATAGCCTTTGATATCTGATGTATTCATGACACACTATGATTTGTTTTAGGAGTTGTAGATTTATAAAGCATCAGGACTGTCAGACATTACAAAGACTTTATGATCAATAACCATACCTTGGTTTGAAATGTTGTGTCGATGTTGACTTATTGAAACTATGAACTATGAGTAATTTGTCAAATATGCAGGGTCCATGTGTCATGTGAAACTCTCACTTTTAGCATGATGAGTATTTGTATAAATCTTATGTATGTATGTTTAAGTGAGTAGCAGGGCTCCAGATAATGTTTTAGGCCACAGAGTATTTACGTTATGACTCTATATTATCGCGGTACATGTATCTGTAAGTCTTGTAATCCACACCCCTTGTTGTCTGTTTGCTTATTCAAATCAAAGCACAATATTACAGTGTCACGGCTACTTGTTAGTATACACTTTAACTTTTTTTATGATAGTTTCTGGAATGTTTTTGAAGTGGAATTACCCCTACCACCATTCGAAATTGGTTTGACAAGAACAAGAAACAAGAAACATTTTGTGTATGACATATTTAATAGTGTAGTAAGCGTGCACCATTATTAAATATCTTCTGCAATAATTTTGCGTACCACGCTACTCTCATGTTATCATACACATTGGGTATTGATGGTTTTCTTTGGTTATTCACTATATGTTTACTCTCTTGGATCCAGTCTGTTGGGTATTTAAAATGATAATGCTGTTTGATGTTACTTTTTGTTTTCTTCTGTTCTTGTGGTGCCCCAAATGTGTCACCTGTTGCTTTACCTCACAACAGCAATACAAGTGTCAGTTGCAAGTGTGTCAGAGACATAGCACTCTTGTGCATTAGTCACTGCAGTTTATGTGTTTATGTATAGGTGATACCTGCATTCAATCAGTAAATAAAGATATTCAATTACACAACTCTGTAAGGCTACATTGGTAATTACGCACAGTGATGTTTTTACTTGTGGGTTTTTAATGTACGTTTATACTTAAGCAATTCAAAGTTAATTGGGTTTAGTGTTATTAAATGGATTATAATTAGCTGCGCTTTCTAGACCAAACAGAACTTTACTCGACCCGGCAGCGATGAAAACTAGTAGTTTCAGTCCACTAGTCCTTATGATGTGCAACGTTGCATCCCTTGGGCACGCATGAAACCTGTGAATGGGTTTGAATCCTGGTTCCCTTTGATTACGTTACCAGGTTGTCAACACCATACCTGTGCCTATGGGTTTCAACAAAGTACCGGTAAACTGCTAAGATCTGCATCTGTTTGGCATTTCCTCCCACATCGTGAGCTGGCATGTCATCCTATAACTAAATTACTGGACTGCCACCGTTGTCTAGTGGTAGAGAGTCTGCCCAGAGAGTGGAAGGTCTGGGGTTCGATCCCAGACCGCTTCATACCAAAGGATGTTAAAAGATGGTACTTGTTGTTAGGTTGTCTGATGATCAGCAATAAGGGACTAATACAAGGACTGGTTTGCTTGGAGTCAGTGCACACCCACACACCCACCCACCCACACGAACACACCTACACGAACACACCCACACGAACACACCCACACACCCCCACACACCCCCACACACACACCCCCACACACACCCACACACCCACCCACACCCACACCCACACACCCACCCACACCCACACCCACACCCACCCACCCACACCCACACACACGAACACACACACACACACACACACACACACACACACACACACACACACACACACACACACACACACACACACACACACACGTTGCTCTATAAGTGCAATACGTTAAACCCCTTTTCACCTCACCACCTCTGTTCAAAGTGGCGGCATTAATCCCTTCTCACTAACTGATTGCAGGAAGACTGCATACTGAGGTTCAAGCACCTTGCTGACCTGGTCAAGAAGAAGAAGACTGGCCAGACGTCTGAGGAACAGAGTTGAGGTCTTGGAAAGTGGATCTTCTCTTGGTGCTAACTGACTTACCTAGCAGTGCATTTATTATGGACAAGCATTACCTATGGTGAAATATAGCCCGTGGGGGCTCTTTATGAGGCATGTGATACAGAAGATACATGTATATAAAGGCAATGTTATAGGATGTGGTGGGAAATATTGCTATTTAATGTGATGGTGTGTGTTTATGGGATGGATGTCGTGAGGCACCCTGTGATAAATGTTTCAGGATTCTATTTTGAAACATTATTTTGATTTTGTCTTTATGGGTAGATTATGCATTATGTCTTCATGCATATATTATGCACCATACATATTGTAAAACTAGAATATATTCTTGGTTCTTGGGAACTGCATTGATGACAGGTTTCGTATACACTGCTTTCCTCCATCAGTGGTGGGGTAGCCTATTGGTTAAGACATTGGCTTGTGACGCCGAAAACCCGGGTTCAATTCCCCACATGGGTACAGTGTATGAAGCCCATTTATGGTGTCCCCCGCCGTGAGAGAATATTGCTAAAAGCGTAAAACCATATTCACTCACTCACTTTCCTCTCTCAAACATGAATGCATGTGTCTGATTTTATGTTTTTAGCCATCTAAGAAAATAATGCCGTTTATGACTCATGGAGTGTGTGAGTGAGTATGGTTTTACGCCGCTTTTAGCAATATTCCAGCAATATCACGGCGGGGTCACCAGAAATGGGCTTCACAATTTGTACCCATGTCGGGAATCGAACCCAGGTCTTCGGTGTGACAAGCGAAGGCTTTAACCACTAGGCTACCCGACTGCCCCTATGACTCATGGAAGTCCTAAGAGCCATACTCATGAAGGTGGCCCGTGAAGATCTGTGTAGTGGTCTGCAGCAACCCATGCTTGCCATAAGAAGCGACTATGTAAGGGGCGACTAACGGGATCGGGTGGTCAAGCTTGCTGACTCGGTTGATGCATGTCATCGTATCCCTATCGGGGAGATCGATGCTCATGATGTCAATCACTAGATTGTCTGTTTCAGACACGATTATTTACAGACTGCTGTCATATAGCTTGAATATTGCTGAGTGCAGCATTAAACAACAAACAAACAAACAAAACTCATGAACGTGCCTCATGAACATTGTGCACACTTTTCCACTGCGAGATGTTAAAGCAGTATGTACAGCAGATAGCTGTACAGCTGTGGTACATATTGCAGGAGAAATATTGCTGATTTTGTGATGCCATCTGAGGCATCATTCGTACAAACACTTGCTGGGTTCCTCAGTCCTTGTCGTGGCTTGTTGGTTGGGTGTGACTACATCACACATTGGCCATGTGTATTCATGATTGAGGAAAGATTGTAGTGTTTACAAACCCACAAAGTAAATTCGATGTGCATGCTGCTGCATTGTCCAAACTGACTTACATTTTCACATTTATTGCACTTTTAGTATCCATTCTACACCTTGACAGACTTTCCAACATGTTTCAACAGCCCCCCACGAGGAAATGTTCATAAGATCATTGTTTTATATGTTGTTTAATATGTTTATGATCATGTTTATTTCTGTCACATTATTGCTGTTGCTATTTGAAGTGACACTCACCACCATGTATATGAAATATGAATATATAAATAATGAAATGATTCTCAGCCCATAACATCATCATGTTTTCTTAAATGGATGAATCTACAATATGTACTAAATAATCATCATAATGATAACGTAGGACAAATTTGATTATATGATCATCATAATCATGACCGATAGATTATTCAATTTAGTCTTGTCATCATGTTTGTGTTTGAAGCTGCAGCCTTGGCTGGGGAAGTAACAGTAGAGGTCAATTCCACCCTAGTGGTAGATGTCCAGTGTCACTGTAGTGAAACCCACATCCAGCTGACATGCCGGGATATGACTGGAATACTACTCAAAGCGGTGTTAAACCCAACTCATTCACTCATTGAAAACAGTCTACCACATCATAGATTGGACATATTTAGTCTCATTTCTTCAAAACATGTCTTGCCAATGTCACGAGACAAAAAACAATGTCTTTTGTTTGTTGTTTTTGTCAGACGTAGAGGGCATTTGTAGACTTTTCCCTCGAAAAAATCAAATAGAAATTGTTATATTTCTTTGCTTATTCCTTAATTTTTTTTAATCTACCCAAGATATATTATGATTCATATTTTTATTATTCTTGTTTTGCAGTAGGAATAAGCATTGTCTTTCTTTTTGACTTAACTGAGCAGCCCTGTGAAAGGTTTTGCCATCCATGAATTCCACTTGGAAACTGCAAAGATAGTGGACATTATAGTATAGCCTGGCATGTTTATCTTCCACTTCTTATTGAGAAATTTTTCAAGGTCAAGGTAATGCATTAACAATCGCCCATTAAAATAATTGCGGTTGCACTTTCGCGAAACATATTCTTTTATCACTGAAATTTGTATGTGCATTTTAGGATGTGGTCCTGCTTTGAATATTTTTTATTTTTGTCAAAGAAAGTTGCAGGTCAAGGTCACTGGGTTATTTCAAAACACAAAACAATGTTTGCCTATGTCACAGTGTCAAAAGTCATTGGCACATGTCACCTTTGAAGGCCCTCATAGTTATCAAGATATATGGTCATAGCATGCATTGCCAGATATTACTGCTCTTTTGTTCAACCTTGACATTTCTCAAGAAGTTCAACTGAATCTCAAGGTCACAACTGGGTGTGTGTCAAGAACATGTTTATATTTGTCATATCAGTCGACCACTGCGGCCTACTTTACCTAATTAATGTGTCATGTTTAGTTATGACGACACTGAATATATCCTTGTGTTTTGACAAATATTTATGGCCCAGGTGAATTTTCTTAACATATGTTTTACTTATGTCTAAGGTCAAATCCACTCTCAAGGGCATTTTATGAGTCACACAATCAGTTGCTGAAAGGGATTTCAAATTTAATATAGATGTTATGCATAGCCTTGATAGGTGTCAGGGGCATAGGGGTTGCCTCGGGGTCAAGGTGTTCGTTTGTCACGGGGGGGGGGGGGGGGCACGGGCGGCCCAGTCGTCTAAGGCGCTGCGATTCGCTGTGCAGAGTTGCGTCCCTTAGACACGCCAGAAACCTAAGATTGTGGGTTCGAATCCCGGTTCGCCCCGATTTTGTTTCTAGGTTTGTCAGCACCATACCCGTGCTCGTGGGGTTTCACCGAAGTGGTAAACGTCTGAGACCTGCATCACTTCGGGCTTTCCTCCCACATTAAGCTGACACGCTGTGATATGACTGGAATACTGTTAAAAGCGGCGTTAAACCCAACTCACTCACTCGTTTGTCACGGGAAGGCCTGGGTTCTATGTCCCACATCAGTAGAATGTGTGAAGCACGTTTCTTGTGTCTCCTGCTGTGATATTCCAAAGTGACAAAGTGATGTAACACCTTATTCACGTGCTGTTAAACTCCAAGTTCCCATTCAAAGTTTAACCATTACTTTTATGTTTTGTAAATCTAATTAAGGGGTCAACAATAGAAATTCACAGGAAGACTTACTGTAGATAGTTTGCTTATAAGAGAGGCATTTCTAGCGTATTACAAGGACAGCTGTTGCCTTGTTGGTATTTTGTGATAGTAGTGATGTTATGAGATGAGTTTCTGTGAGTTGTAAAGTCAGTGTTCTAAATTCAGCATAAAAGTCAAGGTGTCCTTATCATAACCAGGGTATTACACGATATAGAAATGTGCATCTCTCATGCACAAATGTCTTGAATGGATGCAGAAAAGAATATACTGTCATCTGGATGGATGCACAGTAATATTCATTCCTGTAAGGGCCTTTAGATTACTTATTCAGGGGGTTCCCTAGACCCCTAGTGTTGTAGGTCAAGGTAAAACCATGCATAACCCTTATGTTAAGAGTTTAAGATTTAGGGGGACTCTAGAAGCCCCACTTAATTTTAAATATAAGTAACCAAATTGACATGTTCATCGCTATCTGCGTACTTGGTACTCAGCTTTTGCTACAGAAAAGGCAAGGCAATTTGGCTGCTTCTCTTTTCCATGTAATTCTATCCATAATTAGATTTATCTTAATTCTTTTACCTGTTCTTTTCTTTGCTTTTATCTTGTTTCTCTGTTAAGTGCAATAATCTTGAATGCGATATTAAACACAATTTCAACTCACCTCACTAAGTGACCTGGGTAACCTAATGACCTTGTGACCTAGGTAACCCAGTGACATTGTGACCTGGGTAACCTAGTGACCTTGTGACATAGTGGCCTGATTTCTATTCCCAACATGGGTACAATGTAGGAAGCTCATTCCTCTTGCCCCTGCCAAACAAAGTGAAAACTATACTCAACTTTTCTGTATTGATCTTTTGTAATGAAATTTTTGTGAATGTTTTTGTAGTTAGAACCATGTACATGTTTATACGGATAAATTGGAACATTATGGAAATGTTGAATATATTTGTTGCAGAAAGTTATAAGAATCATTGATTATATCTTACAGGTGTGAACATAATATTTTTCTATTAATGCCAAAGATTATGATCTTATACTGAATGGAGAAATTCATGAAAATTACCCCCCCCCACCCCCCCACCCCCCCCCCCCCCCCCCCACCCCAACTTTTTGTGAAACTTGTGAGAAATAAAGATGCACGTCAGGTATTATACATACTTTGAAAGATGTGACCAACAGCTCCAGGGAAGGGTATCCTCAGAAAAATAAAGTTGTTACATTGATTTCCTTGTCTTGGTGATTGTGAATAACAGCAACAAAACCCTTTCCATATTCATAAGAAATATCTCACACCGATTCCAACAAAATCACAAGCATGTGTTTGTGAATCACAATCAACTAGTGATGATACCAGGTGTTTTATAAGTACGTGTGACACAGTGACTGTGTGACGCAGTGACCGGAACATTAATCTAGACTAGACATCGTTGCATGAAAGGGTGATCAACGTGTTGACCTACCCCTCACAAAAGTACTCAATAGCATTTCCATTTGCTTTTATGTTACGATTATGAAATCTACTGAGGGCCTCTTCCACGTGGTTGCGATTGCGTTGTGCTCATTCAACCAAATACGGGACCCACATTTCTAATGACTTGTCTCTCCTTTGGGATTCGGGGTTAGTAGGGTACCACCCTTGGTTTACATAAAAGGTGACTAACTAAATTGATCGGGTGCTCAAGTCAAGGTGACTTGCCCAGGACCAAAGAGATGGATTTTACACCTTTGAAACATGCAAATACAGTAATCAATGCATGCAGTGATCGGAAACAAACACAAATAGAGTAGTAAATGCATCCAGTGACCAGATTACTTTTAGGATTCTCGATATGAACTTTCAGCGTTTGGTTGATATTAATCCTTGCCTCCTTGACTATGCATTAACTAACCGAATTTCTAGTTTAAACTCCACTTGGCATTGACGGAACTCCTTTTCCCTTAATTTACCTTGATGCTAGAACAACTGTACGAAAAACGTGTCGCTAGCGGTATTCGAACCCGTGAAGTCAGTATCGAAAGCTAACGAATGTAGTCATCTGGTAAGAATCGTGTGGAATTACAGTGACATTTAATGACATTAAGGCTATTAAGTTACCCGTTTATGAAGGGGGATATTTGTGAGTTATTAAATGTTTCTCTTTCCGTGATCATAGCTATGCTCAGGGGCGGTCGGGTAGCCTACTGGTTAAAGCGTTCGTTCGTCACGCTGAAGACCCGAGTTCGATTCCCGACATGGGTACAATGTATAAAGCTCATTTCTGGTGTCCCCGCAGTGATATTGCTGGAATATTGCTGAAAGCGCCGTAAAACCATACTCACTCACTGTGTTTGTTCTATATGAAGCTCTAAAATAAATATCCTGAACGTTTCTGGTGTCATGATTGCACACAAAAGCAGGATATTTTGTTAGTGGGTATGGATAGAAATGTCAAGAATCCCGTGTTTTGTGCATTTTACGAAGGTGAACATTTTATTGTTTCTACTCGAGTCCACTCACGGCGTAAAAATGCTATCCAACGAGAATGTAGTATTTACATTAACATCTTGCCCAAGACACAGTTCGCAAAGTTTCATGTTCCCGAAAGCAATACTCTGTCATTGCGTCCCACCCGTACACAAATTATCACTTGTGCATAATATCTTCAAATATCAAATAAGCTGTATAATTGTTCCGGTTACCTTCAAAGCTGGTATATATAACAATGATTTGGAATGAAAGGTGAACCAATTTGAAAGTCTGTCTTTGGAAGGATTGTAAGTGAAATGCCTTAGCGCACTATCCCCAAAAATAAAAGATGGAAAATCACTGACATGCACCAAACTGGCATGTCAAGTCGGGCTATTGTCACCGCCATTAACATTAAACATTCTGTAAGCAGTCGACTCATTAGAAACCCTGCATAGACTGGAAATGTGAGGGGCTTGCCGAGATCAGGACGTCAACGGAAGACCAATGCCAGAGAGGACAGGATCCTTGTGCTCCAGGCTAAAAGGCAGCCAACTTGCACTTTTTAACAGATTGTCCCTTAGCACCACCAGACGTCGACTGAATGCAGTAGGAAGGCCAGAAGACCACTCCTCGCAGCTCAACACATGCGGGACCGTTTAGCCTGGTGTCAGGCTCGAGGACGCTGGAACTTGAGGTCATGGATGATGATTCATTAGTCTGACGAGAGTCGGTTTTGATTGCACCACACTGATGGTAGGACTCGTGTCTGGAGGCAGATGGGAACACCTTATCATCAGCGCAACATCCAGGGAACTTTGGCATGTGGTAGCAGCTCATTGATGGCATGGGGATGTTGCACCTTTAGACATTAGATGGACAAGGTACCAAGATACAGATTTATTGGCACATGCAAGTAACCAGGATGTATACCGTAGACGGCATGTTTTACAGGTGGAATGGTCAATGTTTGAGCGGGTTTGCTATCCGCGGTCAGTAACCGTATCTCGTGCAACAAAGTCTTTTGTTTGTTTGTTGTTTAACACCGCACCCAGCACTATTCCAGCTATATGACGGCGGCCTGTAAGTTATGATTGTTACTAAATCATTGAAATACATTTTAACTGTTGTCAAAATCGCAATCTTCCGTTTACCTATGATCGAAAAATTAGATTTTCAAGGGGATTTAAATCCTTGGTATATATGCACAGCATTTAAGGTTATTGCACACGTCAGAAAATACTTGATATCGATGCACATCTTATTCACATACATCTAGAGAATATTATGTTCATTGTGATTTAAATATTCCTCTATTTCAATACCTACGTTAATATGTGCACATTTTGCTGCCAAATAAAACGTATATATCAAACATTAGGCGTTAAACAACAAGCAAACACGACAAGAGTACATTGCCAAACTCTGCTATATATACTCACCGCTAGAAGAAATGCGAAGCACAGAATCATATAGAGAAGTATGTACCCCTGTTATAAGATCACGTTTAAATAATCAAATAATGCTTGACATAAAAAGCAACAAAACCCTTTCAATATTCAGCAAAAAGCAGAGTCGATTGTACGATTCCGACTATAAAAAACAACCAATGATTCAATGAACGAAAACGACAAAAAAACTGCCTATAATCATAACACATCCCCAGGAAGCATGAAAGCATAGTAATTAAAAATAAACGAATAACAAAATCTGGTAATGACATAATAAACATTGGGTTCAGAGTCACGTGAAGAAATTTGTTCACTTACGCCCCATTAATTGGTCAAGACGCAGGCGTCTGGTGAAGCCAGTGCTCTTATATGGCTGTCTCTCTAAGTACCTTTCACCACCTTCATTTTGACGGAGTAGATGTTCTTCAATACTCTCCCTACGGGCCAAGATGCTTACCCAGCTGTTGACAATTCCGTAGCGGTGGTGTTGAGTGGTAGGTGGAGGTTGACGTAGTTGCAGTCGTTCCCGTACCACCACCCCGTGCCCTGAGACTCGGCACACCCTGCAGGGTCTGGGTTCCCGGCAGCCCCAAATCTCGCCCCCAACAGGTTCCGGTTGTCGCCATAGACGAATCCATCTTCTAAATCATCAGAGGGGCGGTCGGGTAGCCTAGTGGTTAAAGCGTTCGCTCGTTACGCCGAAGACCCGGGTTCGATTCCCGACATGGGTACAATGTGTGAAGCCCATTTCTGGTGTCCCCCGCCGTGATATTGCTGGAATATTGCTAAAAGCGGTGTAAAACCATATTCACTCATTCACTCACTCTAAATCATCAGAGCTGAAAACGTCCCACGACACTTCATACTTGTCACTGGACCCTTTCAGGAAGAACTTGCTGTAGTAAGCATGACCAGAGAAGCCATCCCCCACGATTTCCACATCCAGCTTGTAAGACTCACTCTTCAAGATCTTCTCAATCTTGTTGAGGCCTAAAAAGGAGGAACAACCTCCAACGTCCCCGAACCCGATGTCGTAGTCGTCGTACTGTCTGTTCATGAAGTCGGTGTCACAGCTCGGGTTGCGCTCCTCGATGTAGGTGTATCCCCCATCACCCAGGTAGCACTTCGCAAAGAACGGCGCAATGACATCCAGGGGCTTTATCTGTATAACCTCGATGTGACCTGGGACCGTCAACCCGGCGGCGAACGCAGCACTGCAATCTGTATAGAAACATCATGTTATATAAGATTACATGTATCAGTTCAAGGGGCCGTGGGATAGCCTTAAAGCACACATGGGTGCAATGTGTGAAACCCATTTCTGGTGCCCGCCGCCGTGATAAAAAAATCAAATCAAATAGGTTGCTCCTTAATTCTTATATTCAAATAGTTTGCTCCTTTATTGTTATAACCAAATAGGTTGCCCTATATTCTTATAACCATTTAGGTTGCCCTATATTCTTATAATCAAATAGGTTGGCCATTTATTCTCACAATCAATTAGGTTGCCCTTTATTCTTATAATCAAATAGGTTGCTCCTTATTCTTACAACCATTTAGGTTGCCCTATATTCTTACAATAAAAAATAGATTGCCCTATATTCTTATAACCATTTAGGTTGCCCTATATCCTTACAATCAAATAGGTTGCCCCTTATTCGTATAACCATTTAGGTTGCCCTATATTCTTACAATCAAATAGGTTGCCTCTTATTCTTATAACCATTTAGGTTGCCCTATATTCCTACAATCAAATAGGTTGCCCCTTATTCTTATAACCATTTAGGTTGCCCAATATTCTTACAATCAAATAGGTTGCCTCTTATTCTTATAACCGTTTAGGTTGCCCTATATTCCTACAATCAAATAGGTTGCCCCTTATTCTTATAACCATTTAGGTTGTCCTATATCCTTACAATCAAATAGGTTGCCCCTTATTCTTATAACCATTTAGGTTGCCCTATATTCCTACAATCAAATAGGTTACTCCTTTATTCTTATAAGAACTAAATCTGTTTTACAAAATGCCAGCTGTTTAACTGTCTTCATGCTTATGTTATTTTTGTGTCTTGACTAATTAAATGATTTTATTCGTGTTTTTTTTAATTTTTTATAATACAAAATGTTTTGCAATGGCGAATAAGGGCATATGAGGTGTACTGTATTCCAATATCTTTGAAATTGAATGTTTTGCAGAAAACATTTTGCAGTGTTTATATTTATCAACTGCTGTTTTCGGCACTGAGTGAACTGATTTAACTGAAATTGATTTAAATTCGTTACATTTTAAAGTTAAAAGTAATCTGGATACCACTATTTTTTACAAAACATTTATTTTACTGGGAAGGGGGAGTTGAGGTAAAATGGAGTCTCTATCGGAAAATGGGCTGTGTTTCATTTGGTTATAACAGTAACTAATTTTGTAATGTGAAGTTTACGCGATATACGACTTTTCCACAGGACGAGAGGTGGGTCACATGACGTTTTTCACGTGACTGTATTCCTGAAATGACGTAAACACTGACTACTTCCACATTCCTGGTGAAAACTCTGGAAATTCCCTCGTACGAATTCATACAGAAGCGTTGTTTCTCATCATTTAGACCCTTTAATTTTGAACGTAGCGTCTTAGCATACTCTGGGATAAGTCACAGAGTTTGGTTGCATGCCCGTTCAAGGACACCCTCGCTACAACCCATCCTAGAGGAAAGAAAAACAAAAAATCCAAACTATCGTGGTGACAATCTACAGCAATCTATGAATTTACCGTAGTATCTATTTGACACATCTTTACAATCATCTTTCAATGATCGGCCAATTATTCCGGAATGGCCTATTAAAGCTAATAGTAAGTCAAGGCACCATGCGTGTATATGATCTGTTATTATATCTGTTTAACAAATACGGTTTTGGGCGTTAATAAAATACACTGACGCAAGTATATTCTAATCAAATCAAATGGATAATTGAATATGCTTTATTTTACATATTACATAACATCACTACACAAAATTTGGACAGTTGCAGTAACACACTACGGTGATCGCATTAAACATCACTTTGAACAGTATTTCAGTTATATCACGGTGTATCTGACTGATGTGGGATAATAATCCGAAGTGGTTCAGGCCATCCAACGGGTGTTCGCGAAAAGGTGATCGTATCCTGCCACACAGGTGGCACCCGTCACAAACACATGCAAGGACAAGTCAACTGTTCACCTGAACAAAGAACGGAAACACACAATGATGCCCGTCCTCGCTATTCCCGAGCATATAAATTATATTGTCCGTCAAAAACTTGGACGAGTATAAACAATATGTTCCTACAGGTAATACATGCATACATTTGACAAAATGAATTGACTCAAAGCATTATTGTTAATCACAGCGTATAGACCCGGCATGCAGATGAACTCATCAGCGCATTTTTACACTTCATTTTTTAATTGGCATGTTAGACTTGTATTTCATAACTCAGTTTTATTTGCACGGATCACTATGGAATCTTGGAAGGGGCATTGTCGCGCTGTCGTATTGTCGCATTGACGCCCTTACGCAAACAAGCAAAACATGTCAAAATTAACCAAAGCGCGACAATTGGACAACGCCACATTTTGGGTATTTGTCGCATTGTCGCGTTGCAAGATTCAATTTGCATTTATTTCATGTGACAACAGACCGCCGTCATATATCACTGGAATACTGCTGAGAGCGGCGTTAAAACTACATGTGTAGTACCAATTTAATCACTCTGTTTCGAATATTCAGCAGCAAAAATATATATTAACCAGCTGTGAGGAGAGATATACGATTCTTATAAGCAGTCAAATAGGGATGATAAAGGACCCCTCACTGATCAGGTTCTTGTTTACTTAAGAGCAGAGTTGGCCATGTTATATAGAACTATATAGAAAATAAAGGTTTAATTTCTCATTCTTGGAAGGTGTTTAATAATAGTTTTTGTTTGATTGTTTGTTGTTAAACGCCGCACTCAAAATATACCAGCTCTAACTGGTCTTATAGTGTAGCGCGGTATCAACGATTACTATATGATATCCTCACTTGTCATCGATGTATTGACATCGAACAATGGACGATAATTCGACAGCTTATTCGAGCTAAAAATAGCTTCAACAGGGACAGTACCGGTGGTATCAACATTTTCAAGGTTAAAAATATGTATCTACAATATATAATCTAAAGGAGCCAAGAACAATATTGTTTTGTTAGTGCTTACTTCCATGGATAGAACTGAGGCAATCTGGGCTTGCCAAATCGTTCTAGACTTGAGCTGGAATCCTTTTAAATTTATTCTCTATGGTCTGGGAGACGTACAATGGTGTCAGTATCGCATGGAGAACGGACGTTTGGGAGAATCCAGCTGGGTCAGTGTAATCGGATATATTGTGGAGTTTCGGGTTTGGGCTGTTTGCTGAATAGAACAAGGGCTCACGAACAAGGGCACAATGTAGAGATTAAAGGCACCTCTGTTTATATCAGATATGTTATTGTGATTTGAAATCTCTTTTTGAACACTTGCGAGTTATTGTATACTCTGTATTCTTTCGTCGTGGTAGAATATATATTTTCTATGTTGCTTTTTGAATTATCTACAAATAATGAGAACTACAATGTAAACATCTGTCTGGAGATATACAATAATACTACTGAAGGGCATATCTGAAATCTGGGACTAATCGACTTATATTTCATTCTTAAACACTGTCCGTTACAGGCATTCTAATCATTATATTATACTTTGTACAGTTTAAAAGTTAAGAAATATTGCATTTCAAATAATTGCAAAGTGTGTATCTTTCCACATTTTGAATTCATTATAATTTCTGCAATAAAATCTTAACATCATATAGTGATATAAACGAATATGATCTATACTGTGATAAATGAATTATTAACTTCGTATTATGAATTAAATAAATTGAAATATGATAGTACATACTATAATTATTTTAATCTGTTCGTGTGAGTAGGTTACGAAAGATCGAGGCAACTCACCAACGTAACCATTTGTGAAAAATCAAATATTAAAAGTTTAGGGGTTTGAACATGTGCATTGAATGACAGACAAGAAAGCAACGCAATGATTACATTATGAATCAAATTATTCTATAAAGAAAACTAACTATATAGAAAAGAAAGGTTTAATTTCTCATTGTTGGAAGGTGTTTAATAATAGTTTTGTTTGATTGTTTGTTGTTAAACGCCGCACTCAACAATATACCAGCTATATGACGGCGGTTTGTAAATAATCCAGTCTGGGCCAGACAATCCAGTTATTGACATCAAGAGCACCGATCTATGCAGTTGGGATACAATGCCATGCATCAACCAAGCAGCGAGTCTGACCACCTGATAACGTTAGTCGCCTTCGTACAAGCATGGGTTGTTGAAGGCCTATTCTAACCCGGATCTTCACGGGTATTTTTTTAAATAATAAGGTACAATGAAATTCTGTATATGTCCATAATAAGTGTGTATAAGTAAATGGATAATATATCCATACACGCCAATTAAATGGGTTAGACTGCATATGGCCTCATAGTCGCCTATAACGGCAAGCATGGGTTGCTGAAGACCTATTCTAACCCGGATCTTCAAAGGTCAAGTGGGATTCAATTGATATATTAAGATGAAATAAAACTGAATTATATGTGCTGTTTACATATCGAAAGTTTGCCAAATTGTTACAAAATGTTTGGCCACAGCAAGGCTTCGTATTCACAACTTATTGTGCTAGGCACAGTATAACTCATGATTCTGGACTGAGGGAGGGCCGTATTCCTCCTTGTGGGTCCCCTGCTTTGCAATATGGGACGGGAAAACTGCAGGGGACGAGGGCAGTTAACTTGATGATACAGACAGATAGCAGAGATCATTTTACAAATACAAGCACATCCAGTCCCCAACCCCAAGTCTGCATTTATCAATACTTATACCTGCCACATCCTCAACCACTTAACTTACTTACACAATCATATCACTACATGTTCAACAACCCTCGTATCACAACGCATACACGCACGCACGCACACATCGCATTCATCTTTCCCCTTTATCCCTACAACCATCTCATTGTGTCTACGTCAGCCATCATGGATACATGCGCAAGCTTACATACATAATCCATCCTCCCACACTTTCCCCAACATCCATCGAACTATAACTGTTTCCGCCTTCATGTATCGGTATTCGTGCTTA